ATACACTTAAGCTTTCAAAGAGTTGTGGTGAGACTAATGAAATACCATTCACTTTTATATATTTTCATAAACAACCGGCTTCGACACGGTCCCAAAAATATTACTTTTTTTATTTTTTGGCGTTTTGGACGAGGTTTTTTGTAAGATTTGGCATTTTTGTTTTTTTTTGGTTTAATGGTGGGAAAGGGGGAGGGGTAAAAATGAAAAAAAAATTTTGAAAGCAGAACTGGGTAGGGTAAGGTAGGCTAGGCTAAAGTAGGCTAGGTCAAGACAGTGTAGGGTGGGGTCGTTTAGAATAGGGTAGGCTACACTAAGGTAGAAGATAGATTAAGTAGGGTAGGGTAGGGTAGGTCAAAGTAAGGCAAGATAGTGAAAGGCAAGGCAAGGCAGGGAAAGGCAAGGCAAGACAAGGCAATGTAGAGCAGGATCTAGCAAATGGTTAATATTTTGACACTTTTAAAGGCGTGTTGGGTGTTATATAGCCTTAAAAAATTTTTTGATACGGTGTACGGTGTGGAGGCTTGGCAAGACCTGCTTGTATTTTTTTTTTAAGAAAGTCGGTTATTTTTTTTGCTAAAATATACATCTTTTTCTTTGATGTGTCTACGTATTACAATTAAAAATGACAAATTTATTTATTACGCATTTCCGTTTGTGTTTTTATATAATAGTAGTATCTTCAACTGCTCGTTTTTATAATAATAAATTATAAAAAAGAGTTATTTTTACTCGTTTTTTTCAAAAATGAGTAAAAAACACCTGAAAAAGTAATGGAAAATTCCACGTTGGATTTTCAATTTTTGGTTTTGTCAATTTTAAAACAATTCACGTAGGCCAAAGGTTAAACAAGGGTAAAGGAGGGTAAATAGAATTTTAACTAGGGCTCAGGCAGATGCTAGGACTCAAGCTGTGGCTAGGGCTCAGACTAGGGCTTAAGCTCACGTTTGGGCTGAGGCTATAGCTAAGGCTCTTTCTCAGGCTCCAGGCTAGGGCTATTGTTTTGCTTTGGGCTATTGCTATGGCTAGGGCCGGCGCTAGGGTTAGGGCTGGTTCTAGGGCTACCGCTTTTTCCCCTTAAGTATAAATTTTATTTTGGACTAGAAAATCATATTTCTTACCTTTTTTTAAATTATATACTATCATTAGACCTGAAAGGGGGGGGTCAAAATTAGGAACGGCCTGACCTCTTTATTACAGATCTAAGATCTAATAACCATACACTTTTTTAATCTAATACAACCTTTAAAATTCATACAGTTTTTTCTCCTCCCCCCCCCCTACAAGCCTAATTAAAAAAAACTAAGCGCAGAAATGCATGTTGCTCATCCCTCAGCATTATTCTTTTTTTTGGGCCGCCCGCCTCTTGACCTAAAATACTCTTCAAACGGCCGAAAGTTCCGTTTATGAAAAGAAATATTAATCAAGGATGGTTCCAGCTACACTTGAGCAAAGTGCATTAAGATGTTTGGCCGAAATTCGCGCAAGCATTTTTTTAAATTTAATGGAGAAGGGCGTGTTTATTCAGGCGTGAAGAGTTGGGCATGTTCGGGTGGGCAGGGATAAGAGGAGGTTGGAAAAATTTGCGAGGTTGGGTAGGGTAGGGTAGATTAAGGTGGGGTAGGGTAAAACTTTTTTTTCCACTATAAAATGGGGGGGGTGAAATTCAAAAAATGCATAAAAAAGGATTTTCAGTTTAAAAAAATTAAAAAATGCTATTTTTGTTTTAAAATCTTATGAACATAGGTAGGCCGAAAGGGTCAACTTACAAGGAACGTACCCAACCTGAGCCGCACCCGCCCCTAACAGAATCACTTCAAAATGTTTATATGACTTCCTTGTACCACCAATAGTGCCCACAAACAATTTTAACCCCCGCTTTTGAGTTTAAAATTTTAAATATTTGATTTTCCCCAAACCAGTAAAATTAGAAAAAAAAAATTGAAAAACTCTTCTTCCAAACTTAGACAGCCCAAAAGTATACCCTTTCTTTCACGTGCCAAACCCTTCATTAGTTATTAGAGTTAATAACCACTTAGCGTTTCATAAGGAATTAAGTATTCCATTACTTCCTCTGCCTTTGAGTACTATTTTTTCTCTAATTTGCAAAGTTTTTTCTTAACTTTTTTGTAAATTATGTGGGCATGGTGCTATTATGTTCTTAACGTTTTTGTAATATAGTATATGTTTTTCAAAAATATTGTTTTGAATTAAAAATAATGTTTTGGGTCATGTCTTAAAGGTTTTGTTTTTTTAAATCCAACGTCAAAAACAATGTTTTGAAAAGAGATTGGAAAACAACACAGTGTTTGGTAGTTTAAACTTTTGTTTGTAAAATACGGGTCAAATTTTTTCTTTTCCATAGATAGGTACTCATGCACCAATTTTTCAAAAAAAATTTTGTTTTTTTTTACCTATTTTCATGTGAAATTTTTTTTGGATTAGCTTTGGGGCTGGGAGGTGAGGGGTACAATTATTTACCTTGTCTAGCTAGAGATTTGCAACGAATATTTTTCGACTTTCGAACGAGACCTATATGGGATGAAAGAGCATAAAATGTTACTTTGAAAACTATTTTCAAAAAGTGTGAAGTAACTTTGGCTAGCCATTTACAATACGCTCAATATTCTTATATGTTTACAAGGTATAGCTTTAAAACTTGAAAAATTATATTTTTTGATAAGGTTTTATAATGAAAGTAGCTAAAAACAAAAATTTTGATTAAAAAATATTTTTTAATCAAAATTTTATTTGATTATCCAAATGGCCTGCCATAATGGCAAAACGCTAAAAGGAAACCGCCGGGATCCGAAATTCCCGCCTTTCGTACTCTACGCTGGCTTCTTAACCCCTCGGCTACACTGTTTTGATAGCGAAATCTATTCGTTTTGTTTAAGGCGAATAAGGTACGTCAAGTAGAATAGTGTTATCGGGTAGGGTAGGTAAGAATACATCCTATATACATTTTTTGCTCGCTGTAGCAGTTGTTGAAAACAATTTTTAGGTAACTTTTAATGCTCGTTTTAAAAGCCGAGGGATATACGATGCAACCTCCTGGTAAGCCAGCCATATTTTATCAATTTTTATCAACCCTATATTAAAGACCACTTGGCCAACCCCCCCCCCTTACCAAGCCTTTGCCCCGCCGTTCTGAAGCCTAATATCCAGCCGCTCCCAATCCTAATATCCCGTCGCTCCCAAGCCTAACATCCCAAACATTACGGGGGGTTTTATTGAAGTTTATTGAATCGAGTCGTCGGCCGATGCCTCCAACCGTTTTTTCTTCGGCGCCAAAATCGAATCGGAAACTATTTGTGGCCTTAGGGGGGCTGAAGGGAGAAAGGCGAATAAAAAAACAGGAAAAATATAAATCGACGGCGTTTTGGCCGCGTGTAGTACATGGTGTGTACCAAAATGTCGGCCAAACGAGCCAATCGAGTGGGAACGTTTCAAGGGGATTCTTAAGCGCCGAAAATGCGGTTTCATCTTCGTTTTTCAAAAAGTTTTTTTTATTTTTTTTTGAGAAAAGTAATATGGTGTTATTAAGGTTTGTCATCGGTAATTATTTTTAGCTGTTGTCTTGGGTTTTTAATTTTTTTTTAAATCTAGTGGTACTAATTGAATAGTAGTGAGTGGATGGATTGAGAAAGAGAGGGGAGAGGGGATGAGGATTTTTTCTGCATAAATTTTAAAAACCCTACTCACTATACATTATCTTACTTCACCATACCCTACTCTACCGTACGTGCCTTGTCTTGCCTTGTCCTGCTCTGGTCTGCGATACTCTTCTCTGCCCTGACCTGATTTGACCTGTCCTGCACTACCTTGCTCTACACTGTTTACCCTACCCTACTCTATCTTACTTTACCTTACCTTACCATACTCTACCATACTCTACCTTACCCCTCTTTTCTCTATTAATCTCTACGTTTCCCTGTATTTTACCTACCGTACCAAAAAAAAATCTTTATCACCAAAAGGTTTAAGCTACCCCTAGTATTATTTTTAAAAAAACTTGATATAGTCCAAGTTTTTCCCCCATTTACTCCATTTAATCCCACGTGCCGAATCCAATTTTGAGGGTTCATTTCGGCTTGTTTTGACCGGTTTTTAATCAACGAAAAAATGAAAGAAAATTAGAAGAATTAAATTTTTTATGGACTCGGGAAACCGGGCTGATCTCTGTAAACTTTTTTTTGCTAGGGCAGGGACTAGAGCTCGGCTTTTCTGTGCTGGGCTGAACTTGGATTGGCTGTGCTAGGGCCGAGTTAGTTCTATAAACAACCTCAGAACACAAGCTCAAAACAATAATCATTCCGAAAATGTAAAGTATCTCGTGTATTTGAAGTCATTTTTCACCGCGAGGAAACATTTGCACATAGTCCAGCCAAAAAAGGTTAGATTAATGGACTTGAGTAGAGTCTTGCAAATCGCCCGCAAATTCTTGTAAATGACGTTTATTTTCGTTTCAGTAACGTAGGGGAATGTTAGGTCTAGTTTAAAAATTACACGATGTAAAAAATAGAGTTTGCACTGTGCAGTCAAAAGTGTTTGACTGGTAGAGAAAGGCTGTGATATTTTTTAATAATATACCGTTATTATGCGCTTTTAATTACGATTTGATAACAGTACAAAACGTTTTTAGATTCAGTTTTACAAAAGTTAGGTAGTTACGACATTTGGAAAAGTTTGCACGGTGCAAGCAAAAAGTTTTGCACCGTGCAGCCAAAATTGCTTCACTGATACGGGAAGGCTATGACATTTTTTAATAAAATATTTTTATTATTTGCTTTTTAGTATGATTTTGTAATGGCACAAAAGGTTTTTTATTAATTTTTCCTTAAAATTAGGTATATATGTCACTTTGAAATTTTTGCACCGTGCAGTCAAAAAAATTTTGCACCGTGCAATCAAATATAACTCATATTGCCACGAAAATCAAAATGCTTAATTTTTAAATCTTAAAAAAACTAAACAAAGTTAATAATATCTAAATTTAGGTTATGAACCTCAGCCGACTATGGCACTGGTTAATCCCGATATTATCCATCGCTGTACGAGCCGACTATGCCCCGTTGAGCCACAACTGTGCCTTGTTTCCGGAGCGCCAGATAAAAGTCACGCTGGGGGTGTTGTTGCCGGAGAGTTATCGCGTTTCGGTGGGAACGGCAATCGAATTGGCTTTGAAGCATGTCCATTCGAATCCGAACTTGATACCTAATTATTGTATCGACATCTTGTATCGTGATACCCAGGTAAGTGGGTTTAATTTGATTGGATAATTGTGAATATACTGTGATTTTGGTTTTTGTCTATTATAACGTCATTCCACAGGTAGGTACCTGTACGCGAAAAATCGAAAAAAAAATTTTTTGAAAAATCGGTCCACAGGAAAAAAAAATTTTTTTGGGTCTCCACCCCCCCACGAAAACTTTAGTATTGCATAGAGGTGTTCTGAAGTACTAAAAAAATATAGATAATTAAATTCCAAAAACCAAGGGGTACCGCCACGAAAGCTTTAAAACATCAACTTGGATCCCAACGAGAAAGCCTTAATCCCTCATTTTCAGTGTAAAACATCGCTGGGAATGAAGTCATTGTTTGAGTTAATGAACGCGGAACGTCGACCAGTCGCATTATTCGGAAGCATGTGCACCACCGTCAACGAGCCAGTAGCCATGGCTTCGAAGTACTGGAATATACTACAGTTATCGTATGCCGAAAGCCATGCCAAGTTCAGTTCGGCCGATGCGAATGAGGTAATTGTCCCCTACCCTTAATCTTACCCCACCTACCCCTACCCTTACTCCTACCCCTATCTTTAATTTTTCCCCTACCCTTATCAGTAACCCTAGCCCTACTGTACCATACCCTTACTTCAACCCCTATACCTATGCTTACCCAAGGCCCTAGTAGTACAATATATCGCCTCTAGCACAGTATAACCTTCCTCTTTCCAGTTATACCCAACATTCTTCCGAATAGTGCCAGGCGACCGGAATCTGATCTCAGCACGATGTCATCTGATCAAGTACTTCAACTGGTCAAGAGTAGGTACCATAAAGCAGAGTGATCAACCACGCTACTCATTGCCACATGAAAGTCTAACAACACAATTGGAGAATACATACGATATACAGGTGATCTACACGGCTGGGGTGTCGTCGGATCAGTTGAAGAACATTGCTTATGAACTGAATGAGTTGAAGGTAAGGGAATGTTACCTAAAATAATGTGGGAAAAGCTTTTTTGAATTGAAAGACATACCTTTTTTTATGTCATAATTGGCTGTAAAGTGGATATTAATGTAGGTATAGAGGCTGTAGATCAAAAAATGGCTTTGATATTACCTAAAGTAAAGAAAGAGATTTTAAAAAATAAAAAGAGACCTTTTCAAATGTCATAACATACCATAATATCAATATTAATGTAGGTAGAATCTGAAAAGTCAAAAACATAGTTTTTGTTACCTAAAATACGCAAATTTTGCCTAAAATTCAAATTTCCAGACCCGGGACGCGCACATCCTCGTAGCCGACATGGAGCAAGAACTAGCTCTACACGTCCTCTGTGAAGCCTACCACAAAGACATGTATGGAGTGGACTACTTGTGGATACTACCTGGTTATCATCAGAGCAATTGGTGGTTGGATGTGAGCGAAACCAACTGTACATTCGAAGAGATGGAGAAGATACTCGAGTATCATTTGTCAGTCGAATTCGCCCCGCAAAGGGTGAACACGGCTGAGGTGGTGGTATCTAATCACTCTGTCGATGATATCTTGGGTGATATCAATGGTGTCTGTCTATCAAACTCAAAACACTCGTGTGAAGCCTCGGTATACAACACCTATGCCTACGATGGTATATGGTCTTTAGCACTGGCCCTAAACGAGACCCTGTATGGCCCTGGTGGTCCACAAGGATACGAAGAGAGTGCCGAAATCACAGCACATCGCCTACTACAACTCATGGGCAAAACTCAGTTTGAAGGCGTTACTGGCAGAGTAAAATTCAACCATAATGAGAGATTAGGGCTGGTATACGTTTACCAATGGGTCAATGGGTCGTACATGAACATGGGGTACTATGACAGCACGGTGGACAAGTTTGACGTGCGCAAAATTGATGAGTGTAAGTTTTTGGGTAATAGTTATTGATGTTTTAGGTAACAAATATTGATTTTTTAGGTAGTAATGATTAATGTAGAGTATTTTAGATGTTTTGACCACCAACTTGGCAAAATTACCTAAAATTTAAAAAACAATTTTTAAATCGTATTTTACAAAAACCTCATTCCAGCCTGGACCGTACCCCTAGATTCCACCGTTGTAATCCGCCAACGTCGTTACATTAACTACTTCTTACTGGGTGTAATGTGTGCCATAGCCATTTTCGGCATCATGGTAGCCACCTTGTTCTTGGTGTTGAACATAAAATATCGCAATTCGAAATTCATCAAAATGTCCTCGCCCAACATGAACAATGTCATCATCTTTGGCTCAATGTGCTGCTACGCATCTGTGATTTTACTTGGCATTGACACGCGATTCATCAGTCCGAAGGCATTCGAACGGCTTTGTTATGTAAGTGGGTTAATATTGAAAGGAATGGGGAGTAATTGAAGGGAACGGAGAGTAATATAAGACGAATTTGGTAGGAAAAGGTTGGGGAGAGCCATATCTAAATTATGAAAACAAAATTTTACGTTTTCGATCCACTTTTTGTAGAAAAACTGCCCAAAAATATATATTGTAAATGATTTTCGCTTAGTCTTCAAAGAAAGCGATAAAACTGAAACATTCTTAGTTTTAATTTGAATAAATTAATTAAAAATATCTTCAGCAAGGTCTTCTCCATCTTTTAAACACAAATTCTTCAAGTTTTTACCTAAACTTCAAAAAATATAGCTCAAAACATCAAACCAACCTAAAACAATATCGGAAAACTAAGGCGTTTGACGAAAGTCCTTTTTTTTTACATTTATTCCTTTAGAGAACTTTATCGTGCTCTTCCTTATTTCCTTTTCCAATAATTAATACCTAAAGATCAAAATAAAACTAATAAAAATCAAACTCACCTAAAACAATATAACTTTAGATCAAGACCTGGGTCCTCAGCGTCGGCTTCACATTAGCGTTTGGCTCAATGTTTTCCAAAACCTGGAGAGTTCATTCCATTTTCACCAACATTCGAAAGGATAAGAAGGCGATCAAAGACGCCCAGTTGTTCATGATCGTCGCCATGTTGTTGTTCATTGACGGGCTGATTCTGGGCGCTTGGTCGATAATCTCGCCTTTTCGGTTCAAAATCACCGAACATGAGCCTGTTGTAGGTTTCGGCAGTTTTTTTGTTGATTTATGTAAAGAGTATTGATAAGCTACCTGTGGACCAAAACAGGTAGCTTATCCACCCCCCCCCCCTCCCAGAAAAAATCCGTAGCGACGCCCCTGATCATGATAGTTTAGCCGTTTTTTATTGTTGCACCAGTTTTTCGGTAAAAAAACATGATTATAGGTTGATAGAGTAAAATACGACGTTCTGCGGAAGTTCTATTGATTTTTTTCAACTTTTCATTTGATTATGTTACTTTAGAGGGTTCAAAATCAGTTAGTGATCCCTGAGCTGGAACGATGCCAAAGCGACTATTCTTTCCTGTTCCAAGGCATCTTCTACATCATCAAAGGGATGCTTATGGTATGTCTTGTCATTTTTATTACCTACTTTTAAAAATTACTTTACTCTTTTTTAGGTTTTTCAAAATAATGGATGTTGTTATAGATATTTGGCTGCTTCCTAGCCTGGGAAACGCGTGCCGTCAACGTGCCGGCCCTGAACGACAGTAAATACATTGGCATGTCCGTGTACAACGTAGTAGTGATGAGTGTGATTGGTGTGGTGTTGGCTGTGATGCTTCATGATCGAGTTACTGAGCTTTACATACTAACAGCTATATTGATCATCTTCTGCACGACCCTGACCTTGTGCTTGGTATTTGTGCCTAAGGTTGTTGAGCTGTTTAGAACACCCAGAGGTACAGATGCGCAGAGGTATAGGAAGGGCATGATGAAGAGTGTGGTGGGGAAGAGCAGCAGTGAAAGGTTGCATCGTCAGCTGTCCATGTAAGTTTATATTGTAGTAGAGACATAGCTCATTATTTTTTATACAGTCTAGTACTAGGCCGTTAAAATAATTTTGCGCCCCTTTTCAAAGCAAATTTTTCGGGTTTGGGGCACAGAATTAATTAAAAAATCTAATATTAGGTTGTACAAAAAGTAATGAGCTACGTTTCTTATAGAAATATGTAGTTCAGTAGCTCATTATTTTTTATACTATCTAATATTATGCGGGTTTTTGATGGAATTTTATTTTACTTGACGTCCCGTGGTATTGACAAAGGTTTATAATGCTTCAAGATCACGTTGGTACTATAATTTTTGATTTATAGCGTTCTAACTATTAAAATAATCATGTTATGATGCGTTTAGTACTATAATATTTATCTTTTTAAAGGTTTAGTACTAAAAAACTTTAGTTTCTAGTAGAAGTAGTGCTATAATATCAAACATATGATAGTATAAATACTATAAAATAGCATTTATGTTATTGTTTATGTTATGAGATCAACTAAAATTATGTTTTTCAGCCGTGTATCTGAAGGAATCAAGGAGAAGATCACGTTGATAGAAGAAGAAAACTTGCGGTTACATCAGATATTGGTTACGGTATGTTTATTTTGAACTGGATGACATATTTTTTATCCACTATCTTCCCACTACCCCTATTCCTACACTTACCCCTACTCTACCCCTATCATTATACCCTTTGTAGCAAAGAAATGACAATTTCGTATTTTAATTATTCTAGAGATCCGCCGAGTTGTGGGACCTTCTGGAACGACTTCGACTGATTGGCTCTCAAAATTGTTTGGATCGGAATGGCAAAATACATGGTAGGCTTAATATAGAAACAAAAGCAATAGAATTCCTGTCTACGAATCGCTCGGGGACTTCGATTTTTTGTTATACAAGGGTTTTGTTATAGAGGAGTTTTTACATGTAACAAAATATACTTTAGCAAGCAGAAGCAGTAACCTATGTTGTGTGTCATCTGATGACAATCCATCTACTTCATTGTATGAGGCTAGTAATCGACGAAGCTCTTCGAGTAGCTTGAGGTAAGTGAATATAAGGTTTACTTTCTCCTGCCATACCTAATCTTATCTACCTTACTAGCCCTACCTTAGCCCTACAGTAGCCCTACTTCATTACAGCATAATTTTATGTTTTGTTACAGTAACCATACCTCTTTGCAGTATCATTTTATATCTTGTTACAGTAACCCATATCGTATAGTTTTATAAATTTCGTTACAGTAACCCTACTTCATAACAGTATCATTTTATATTTAGTTTTAAAAAATCTGTTACAGTAAGACGGAGACCTTCTCCTCACTGTTCCGTCGCCCTTCCAATGGCAAATCGGTGGTGGTAAAGCAGAAGAATGAGAGTGGATGGCCGTGGTTGGACCCTAGTCAGCCTTCCACTATGTTGTAGTAACTAGGCTTAATTTCCTATTTTTAGTATTTTTAGGCTTAAATTGCGTAATACTTCAGGCCGATTTTGATTTCCTATAGAATTATATTATCATAGTAATTAGTATCTCAAAAATATTCGCTTGATCTTGCCTTTAACGCTATGAAAAACAGGTACCCTCAGGGATTGTAATCTTAAAACTTCCAAAAATAATCAGGTCTCAAAGCTTTAATTTTAATGATAACTTTGTAATTCGCTTTTTCTTACTGTACATTGTAAAACATAACTTTCGCAAGCCTTTTTTAATTTTACACTACTTTGAAAGGTCTTTTACTGTAGTTTCAATGACTCTACAATAATTTTGGCTCCTGTAACTTTAAATAATTGTGGTTTCCACCTTCGTTTATCCCTTTTGCATGACAAAATACTCAAATGATGCTCAACTTTTTATGGAGAATAAAGCTATTTTTGTTTTATGAATTGATATATACTAAAAAATGGCGAAAACTCTCGGAAAATTAAAAAAATTGCAAAAACACCCCCAAAAATAAAAAATTGCAAAGCCACCCTAAAACAAAAAAAAACCACTCCCACGACAAAAAAAAATGAAAAAACCACCTCCAAAACAAAAAAAATATAAAAACACCCCCAAAAATAAAAAAAACCATGCCCAAAATAAAAAATATTACAAAAACACCCCAAGATGAAAAAATATCACGAAACCACTCCCAAAATTAAAAATCTTACAATAACACACCCAAAATAAAAAAAATGATAAAACCGCCTCCAAAATAAAAAATATTACAAAAATCACCCCCAAAATAAAAAAATACACAACCACCCCCCCCCCCTACATAAAAAAGTGCTAAGTATAATACCTTCCAAACACCACAGGTTTTAAATGTATTTATCAATGTTACAATAATATAAAGTGTGGTTCCTAGTAGGACAGGGCGTTATCGACAAGTTCTTTTTGTTCTTTTATGTGGGTGTATTTGTTGCCGGTGGCGGGTGAGGCGGCCGACTTGCGGCCAACGTAGTTGACTACACGGTTTTGGCTGAAAAGATTGATATTATTAATAAGACAACCAATTTTCGATTATTAGGCTTAAAAATTAGGCCTAAGATTTCATTTTTTTGGCTTAAGTTTTGAGCCAAACATTTAATTTTTTAGGCCTAAACTTTAGGCGGAATTTAATTTTTAATTTCAAAAATTAGGCCTAACATTTCACTTTTTAAGCTTACATTTTAAGCCTAAAAACCTCTTATTACCCTCAACTTTTACACATTACCCTCCCTAAACCTACTCTCTAATAAGCGAGTTCAATCTTGGCTGAACGTAGGTCCAGTAGCCCATGTTCTTGGGTTCTTCCTGGCCCCATACCACTTGGGCGTTGGGGTAGCGGTCGCATTCGGCCTTGATTTGATCGTATGGGAATGGGCAGATCTGTTCTACTCTGACCAAGGCGATCGAGTCGTCCAGATTCCTTTCCTTCCGGGCAGTGAGGATCTCGTAGTAGACTTTGCCTGTGCAGAACACCACCTTCTTCACGTTCTGGGCGTTCTCTGTGACTGGCCCGTTGTCGGTGATGACACGTTGGAAGCTGGTGCCGGGTAGGAAGTCTTCGATTGGGCTTCTGGCTAGTGGGTGCCTTAGCAGCGACTTCGGAGTCATCACGATGAGGGGTTTTCGGAAGGGCAGGTAGATCTGTCTGCGGAGCAAGTGGAAGATACTGGCGGGGGTGGTGCAGTTGGCTACGATCCAGTTGGTGTCGTGGAGTTGTTGGGCTACAAACTTATCGTCCAGTGTCACTTTAGCCAAGTTGATTTCGTCATCTTCGTTGCACATTTGAAGGAACCGTTCTGGACGTGCCGAACTGTGCTCTGGGCCCATTCCTTCGTAGCCATGTGGCAACAACAATGTTAGTCCAGTCTGACGGATCCATTTGGATTGGCCTGAGGAGATGAACTGGTCGATGATGCACTGGGCGGTGTTGGAGAAGTCACCGAACTGGGCTTCCCAGATGACTAGCGAGTTGGGGTTGACCATGGAGTAGCCCAATTCGAAGCCGAGGACGGCGTATTCACTGAGGGATGAGTTACAGACGGTGTACTCGGCTTGGCTGTCGGAGAGGTCGTTCAGGGGGTTGTACACTTTTTGGTCGATTTTCTGGTCGTGGAGGACGTGGTGACGGTGGGAGAAGGTGCCACGCTCGACGTCTTGGCCGGACAATCGGACGTGAATGCCTATAACAATATAAAATTAGAAAAAAATATTTGACTTAAATGAATGTTTTTCCAATTTTCATCCTGGTAAAGAAAGTTTCTTTCATTTTCTCAAAATAAAAAAAATTTTCATTTCTTCATTTCCTCGTCTGTAAACAAAGTTCTTTTCCCCAAAACACATACCTTCTTTCAACAAAGTTCCAAAAGCCAGGGCTTCTCCAATCGACCAGTCGAGTGAGTTGTCCTGAAGCATCTTGGCTCTGCCCTTCAACGTTCTCTCCAAACCACGATGAAGATGGAAGCCTTCTGGAGTGGAGCTGATCTTCCCTACTACATGTTCAATGTTGTCCTTCTCCACGCCGGTGGGTAGGAGTTGGGTTGGATCCTTGTTTCGGAAGAAGTCGTCCCAGGGTGAGTCGAGCCAGTCCCTGTTGCGGACGGTGGTGATCTTCTTGGCCTCTTCGTAGGCGTCTTCCATGATTTGGCCGTACTTGTTCAGCTCCTCCTTCACGTAGTTCTCATCGGCCGCCCCTTCGCTAATGATGCTTTTTTGGTACAGGTCGAGGATGGGCTTGGTCTGCTTGATTCGTTGGTACATCAGAGGTTGGGTGAACATGGGCTCGTCCAACTCGTTGTGACCGTGCTTTCTGTAGCACACCAAATCGATAATCACGTCCTTTTTGAAGGTTTTCCTCCAGTCGGCTGCGACATTACACACGTGCATGACGGCTTCTGGGTCGTCGGCGTTGACGTGGAAGATTGGACATCCGACGACACGACCGACGTCGGTACAGTAGGGGGAGGAACGTGAGGAACGGGGGTCGGTGGTGAAGCCAATTTGGTTGTTGACGACCATGTGGATGGCTCCGTTTACTGTGTAATCGGGGAGATCGTCTAAGTTGAAGGTTTCCATTACAACGCCTTGACCCGAGAAGGCGGCGTCACCGTGAAGCATTAGGGCTAGATGGCTGTCGCAGCGGTTGTCGGCCGAGTAGAAGGCTTCGGCGCGGACTTTGCCTTGGACTACCGGGTCGACAGCTAAAATGGTGGAAGGTTTAATAGATTTTGAACAGATCAAATATCACTAAGATCACTTTTAAGCAAAAAAATCATTTTATACTACCTCAACATCCCACAATAGTTCACAAAACTCCATTCCAATCCCCCAAAACCTCGATTCCCCACCTCAAGCCCACCATTAACCTACCCTCCAAGTGAGACGGGTTGGCCACCACAGCAATCTTGATGTTGCGTTGAGATTGGCGGTTCAGTCGTTCGATACACACTCCCAAATGGTACTTCACGTCACCTGATCCTTCATCCGAGGGCTCTAGGGTTGAGAATTGGGACAGGATAGTGGCCAAGGGTTGTCGACAAACGTTGGACAGCACGTTCAGACGACCTCTGTGTGGCATTCCGATTACGACCGAGTCGACACCGAGAGTTGAGGAGCGGTCGATTACCTGGAATAGTGTTTTTGGAATTTTCATACCAAATTTTCAAAAATCTAAAAAATTTTAACTTTCACTGTACAATGCCTACTGTAAATCCATATTACTGTAAAATACAATATCTAAAACACAAAAATTTTTTTAAAAATTCAAATTTTAAATATTCAATCAACCTACCTGCTTAATAGCCGGGATCAAGACCTCACATCCTTCCAGACCGAATCTCTTTTCGCTAGGCCATTTTTTGGCCAAGAACTCTTCAAACTTGGTGGATCTGATCAATCTCTTGAACAACACCTTCTTCTGTTCAACTGTCAGCTCAGTGACTCGTGGGGCTTCGAAATGGCGACGAATCCATTCTTGTTGTTCGTAGTTGGTCAGATGCATGTATTCTACTCCGGTGTGGCGGCAGTAAATGTTCTGAACATAAAAAAATTAAATTTTTGAAAAATCATAGGTATAACAACTTCAACTAGAAATTAGAAGCAGGCCAGGCCCACTTTGGGGCCCGAATTTTAGACCCGGCCTGCTATAACTTTAGCTCCAGGCCAATCTGACCCAATAGTTGAGCCAAACCGACTATAAACGACCTATTTCTCCTCCCCCCCCCCCCTACTGCAACCTTATATTAACCATGCCTACCTTCAATCGATTCAGAATTTCTCTCAACGGCAATGACGTTTTCTCTCCGCCGATGAAAGTTGTTGGTGGAAGGACAAACTCTCTGTCCAAATCCTTCTCCGTGAATCCGTAAAAGTCCAATTCCAGCTCACGTGGGATCGTATCATCCAAGTCGGCACTGTTAATCCCCAGAGGGTCCAGGTCGGCAATGTTGTGGCCTCGGGTCTGAAATTGGGCTTTTAATAATTGCCATGTTTGCTGGGCCGTATTTTACAAATTATTGTTCTGTTTTTCAAATAATTCTGTGCCCCATCAATTTTAAAACGTAATTTTAAGCTGTTCAAATACTTTTGCGCCTTCTCTCAAAGCAAATTTTCTGGATTACGGACTCATAATTACTTGAACTTTTTTCATTTTTTCTATTTTAAAAACAAAAAATTTTAAAAAATTAAGTTTTTCCAATTTACCTGATAACTTCTAATCAACAATTGAATTTTCAAATGATCGTGAATAGCTTGGCTCACATCTCCAGTGGCTGGAGCAGCTACTGGTGCTACTTGAGTTGATGGAAGGCGAGCTTGATATCCACCATATGAGGTTGCTGGAGGGCTCTGAAATCAACATTTTAGATCAAAAAATCCATTTTTCTAGCTTTTTAATACCAAAAATGCTTTTGTCACTATTTATTCCTATTTTAACTGTTTATTACCCAATCATCCCTTTTAATACCCAAAAACGCCTTTTTAAACTATTTGTTACCTAAAATAAGCTTTAACTTTGACATTTTTCTAGAAAAAACGGCGTATGTTAGTTTTTTGCAAAGTACAATGTAATTTTCAAAAAACCTAATTAAAACAACCTCAATATACCATGCTTACCTGAAAAGCCTGTCCAGGCTGTGCACCAGCTTCAACATTGCGGAAATAGGAAGCCCATGACGAGTGAACCGAGTTTGGATCTTGTCTCCAGCTTTCGTACATTTGTTCCACGTACACATTGGTCGTGCCATTCATAAACGACTCTTGATTACTGATCGACGGTTTCGCGCTTGTTATCAACTAAAACAATATAATTTTTACTTTATTATGCTTTTTAAAGAAAGTTCATGAAATTTTACGTTTTTTAAACTAAGTTCTTGCCATTTTACGTTTTGTTAAGAAAGTTCTTGCCATTTTTGATTTGTAAAGAAAGTTTTTGCCATTTTATTTTTTGTAAAGAAAGTTCCTGTCATTTTATAGTTTGTAAAGAAAGTTCTTGCCATTTTCTAAGTCATACTAAAAGCCAACAACACCTTCAGACTTTACAAACACGATTACCTCTTTTCATACCTAAAAATCAAAAAAACGAATCAAAACTCCTTACCTGAGGTCTTTTAGAAGTGGTAGAAGCGTGCCGCATCCAGATGGCGGAGTTCGCCAAACGGCTGTACAAAATAGGACGATACATTATGGTAGTCCACGTTTAGCCAAGTTAAGAACGTCTCGCGATCAAGTGGCAGAGACGAGTGACGATACAGCCGTTTTACTGGCTTCTTAAACGTAAAAAGTGAATTTTTAAAATTTAAAAAAAAATTTTAATTTCAGGTTTTTAAAAATTCGCGGTATATAATCAAAAATGAATATTTTACAATACATCTATGAAATCAAGGTTAAGATGCTCAATATAGATTAAAAATAACTGTTAAGATATAATAGTAAACAAGTAAACGTCCTGTTTCGTTTTTTGATCAAAGATCAGGTGGTTTTTGTAAAAGCTCATTTTCGCTCGCTTTAACATTTTTTAATATCATTTTTCATTTTAGAGCTGTGAAAAGAAGTTTAAACCTAGTTTTTATAAGCCTAATGTTTCAATGAAGATATAAGATGGATTTTGTTACCTAAACATGAATATTATTGGTAAAACACTTACTTGTTACATAAACACTAATTTTTTGAAATAAAAGTTATTTTCCGGAAAGCCAGATGACTTTTAAGAAATCAAAATGATCTTCTTCCTCTTCTTTTCTATTATTTTTCAATTGCTTTTATCAGAAATCAAAGTAAACAACATTCTTTTTGCTGCTCTTTAACAAATGCCATGGGTAATATTGTAATATTAGATTGTACAGCTAATTCTCTGCCCCTCTATTTTAAAAAGTGTTATCAACTCTGTGTCCCTCTCAAAAAAATTTGTGGTTAGGGGCCCAGAATTATTTGAATAACCTAATTTTACAATATTAACCATGCCATTTGTTAACCTAAAGCAAAAAGAATGTTGTTTACTTTGATTTCTGATAAAATATTGATCAGAATAATAAAAAACTAGCCAATATTTCGAAAAATGCTGTCCTTTTCCAAGAAAATTAATTTTTAATTTAAAAATCACTGATTACAACTTATTTTAGCCAGCCTCCAAGCCAAGAAAACAGCTCCAACCCCACCACAAAAACACAAATCTGACCCGAATTGTTGTCAAAAGCTACAAAACCCCCGTCCTCACCTTGTCACAAACTCCCGACGTTCAAAAACGTTTCGGAAACAGTGAACTCAACCCTCCCAGTGCTGAAGATCAAAAAAAGTCTCTTCACACAAACTTTGTTCTCAAAAAACATGGCCCATTCAAACACCTTGTGTCCTGAATACTTATTTTTTTCTTCTTCATGACGCAAACCGTCTATTTTTCAAAAGAATTATAGAAAAAACGTGTCTACTTGAGAGATATGATTGGATTATGTTGTAGTAGGTAGATAAAACAAAATTTTGCCGTAAAAATTATTTTAAAGGCCAGAGGGAGTAAGAATATGCTAAAAGTAAGTCTATATGTTCAACAGAAGCTCTAAAGAAATTTGTGCGATTTTTGAAAACTTCGGATCCTCAAGATAATCAAGGACAACGTATGGGTTACCTGTTGTAATTCTCCCAAAAATAGTTATTGACTCAGTTTTCTAAATTTATGACAAACTTTTAAAGATAATACCAATAAAAAAACACTTGGAAGATCCAAATTGTTTATCCGAAGCCAGAAGAAAACAAAAAAGACTTGCCCACTTTTTTGGCTTCAAAATTCGTCCTCAAGCCGTTCTCACGGTCATCAGTCAAAATTTACAATAAAAAAAGCATAAAATAACATTAAACTTTCGCGCAATGATATCTGGTTGTAATACGAAGTGGCGCAACAAGCAAGCACAAGTAAACAATCCTTTAAACCACGATATTATCCACCATGAACAATATTCCAAAAAATCAAATTTGCGAAAAAACCTCCAGACATTATTTAAAACAAAAGTAAGATAAATTATATTATTTACTAGTAAATACCATAAATTTCCCTCATCTGTTACCTCACTGGCAAAATTTTTTATTTTAAAACGGAATGCCACCACTTTCGTTGTCGTGGTGGGACTCATGAGAACGCAAGATGCTCGTGGAAAAACTTGATTGACAGTTCCGATAATCTTATTGGTACACAAAGTACGTTGTTATCTTATCAATCACACTTATTTCCATTACTTTTTTTTCGGAAAATTATGGCATTTAAAAATTTTCAATATTCTTCAATTTTATGGCAAAATTTCGAGATTTTGTTGTTTTTGCGGTCGAAATAATGTCGTTTTCCGGGGAAAACACGAGAGATCCGTTGGATTATGGAAGTGTAATATAGAAGCTAGGAGAATTTTATTGAAATGTAATGTAGGCGCGCTAAAAATATGAATTTTGTTCGGAAACAAGGGGATTTCAGACGGAATTCCACTTTCTCCTGCGGGGATTCGACGTACGAGGTAAATTGCGTTGAGATGGCATAAATAAAAGGTGTCTATACAATTCGTGCTTCTTTGTTTTTGTCTTTTTTAACATTGTCTTCATACTTTTTTATATTTTTTAGGGAATAACTTGAGTTAAAGGTCGGTTTTCTTGCTTTACCTCAATTTAGGTGTCGGTATGTTTGTTGTTGTTAATTTGGGTTGTTTTTGACTACTTTAAGCTTGTTTTTGAAAGTAAATTGTAGCTTACAAACCAAAGAAGCTTTGCTTAACTTTTTAAGCTTATAAAGTATGAATAAGTTGATCTTTGTGGTCACTTTGGGTTCTTTTTCATTTGAAAGGTCTTGTGTAATATACCGAGCAGTCTTTCCGCTGTCGGGACCGACACTTTTATCCAGTTTGTTTTTTGCTAGACTTTTTAGTCTTTGTTTTTTCACGTTTTTATTGAATTGCCCCCGGAAATTTCTTTTGCTATTAATTTGTCTTCAGGGACGTCGCTACGGATTTTCTCTGGGGGAGGGGGAGGTCGAAAAAAATTTTTTCGTCCACAGGTCCCTACCTGTGGACCGATTTTTCAAAATTTTTATTTTTCGTTTTTTCACGTACAGGTACCTACCCGTGGAATTTTTTTCGGATTGGCTCTGGGGGAGGGGGTACCCCCCCCCTACCCCCTCCTTCAAACGACGTCCCTGTTTGTCTTGTTTTTTTCTTCACCTTCGTTCATATACCTTTTTTTAATAAGTCATTTGTAAAACGTGATTCTTTCAGCATTTCAAGGTTAATATGGATTCTGAAGACGATTATTCAGATGGAGGGGATTATGATGGTAAGTATTTTTGTTTTTTGCTTTGATTTTTAGGTTTTTGAAAGAGTTCGGAGGAAAAACATAGATAGTATAACAGAAGTTACTGTAATCGATGTTTTGTGGTTTTCTAAATGAAAATTCTAGATTACTACGATGAATCTTATCATTACGAGCCAGAAACTCGAAACTCCGATCCAGAATCCGTTGATTATCAATGTCTGAGTGTGGCAGAAGTTGAAAATCTGATAAACAATGTTGTAGTTCAACTTTGCGATACTTTGGCTGGGTTTTTACCTGCTCATGCCAAACTTGTGTTATGTTTAAACAACTGGGACTTGCCCAAAATCCATGAGGAATATAAACAAGATCCGGTCGGGTTTTTAGAGAAAAACGGGTTGAAAACGTGTGAAAAACAACTAAAACCTCAGACAAGTACTAGTAGTTCAATATTGGGCTCGAAAAGGCCGCGAATCTCGTTGAAGGCCAAGAATCAACCGGTCGATACGGGTGTGAAGGAAGTGGAGAAGGAGTGTGGAGTGTGCTTTGAACAGAATGAGAACCTGAGCGCTTTGAGTTGTGGGCATTACTTCTGCGACGACTGTTGGGGCGTCTACTTGAAAACTCAGGTGGTTGATGGTGAGTAAAAGCTTTTCTATAGAACTTACTTTCTACATTACTTTACAAACTTAAGAAACAGATATTATACTCTTATTTTCACCCAAATTTACTATGATTTTCTAGGTAATTCCATCCGAATCGAGTGTATGCAGCAGAATTGTCAGTTATATTGTACAGAAGACTTTGTGGCTCAAATATTGTCTTCAAATAAGGACGTGCGGGACAAATATGAAAGACATTGTTTTCGAGAATTTATACAAACTAATCCAGCGTTGAGGTTTTGCCCCGGCGTGAATTGCGACATGATATCGTTCTGCACAGCCGATAAACCATATAGATGTATATGTACAAAGTGTGACACTTCTTATTGGTAAGGAATTTTACATTATTTTTGGAAATTTAGTTTTTTGAGGATTAGAGTGTTGGACTGAAGCTATTTTTGCACTAACGGTCACATTGAATGTACTAAACTTTATAAAAATGTTGTTCTGCACCGTGCAGTTTTTTTCAATTGAAATTTCAAAAATTTTGAAAGATTTAAATTTCACGAGGTTTGGGATACTGCAACAGATGCTGAAAGCTATTTTTCGAAGTACTACTTTGGTCAAAAAGTTTATGGAATCTTCAAATGCTTACTTTATTTTGTGACTGCACCGTGCAGTTTCATAAAATTGAAATTTTATAAACTTTAAAAGGTTTAAATGTTACTAGGTTTGGGGTGGTTTAAGACATCTTGAAAGCTATCTTTTTGAACGTACTGACTTGGTCAAAAATTCTATAGAACATCTTATAATGTCTTCAAATTGCTCTGTGTAAAAAACCTATTTTTAGTATAAAATGCGGCCAAGACTACCACGCCCCGGCCACATGTGATATACTGCGGAAATGGCAAATTAAATGCGCGGACGATTCGGAAACTGCTAATTATATTAGTGCACACACAAAGGATTGCCCCAATTGTCATGCCTGCATCGAAAAGAATGGCGGCTGTAATCATATGCAATGTACAAAGTGCAAATTCCATTTTTGTTGGATGTGTTTTAGGGGTAAGGATAAGTTTATTTTTGTATGGAAATGTCATTTTAAGTTGTGGTTTGTATACTTAAAAGGTTTTTTTGGTGAAGGGTTAGCTCGAGTAATATTAGGTTGTTCAAAAAATACTGCGCTACTTCTCAATGCAAATCTGAGGGTTAAGTGGCTCAGAAGTTTTTGAACAACAATATTATATATTGATTTTATTAGAGTTACAGTGGATTACTGTAATTTTTTTGAGGTTATAGGACTACGGTAGGATATGGTAGATTATAAAGTGAATTAAGAATAAAGTGGATTACTGTAATTTATGGTCAACGTACTGTGACTTATGATTTATATTATTTGACGTAAAAAGCAAAAAGCTGTCATTTTAGATTGGAAATCTCACGGATCCGAGTACTACGAATGCTCACGTTACCGAGAGAACCCAGCCATAGCCCAAGAAGCCAACCACTTAAAAGCCCGCAGGGCATTAGAGAAGTATTTGCATTACTTTGAGCGCTTCGAAAATCACAGTAAAAGTTTGAAAATGGAGGAAGATCTACGAAACAAAATCAAAGCCAAGATCGAGGAGAAGGTGGCGAATCACGAGGGAACGTGGATCGACTGGCAATACCTACACGACGCCGCTTCACTACTAACCAAATGCAGATATACACTACAGTACACATATCCATTCGCTTATTACATGGATGGGGATCCGAGGAAGGAGTTGGTAAGGGTTTTATAGGGGTTGGTAAGACAAAAAAATTAGTTTGGGGAACTAAAAATGGCAAGAACTTTCTTTACAAAACATAAAATGACAGCAACTTTCTTTAAAAAACATAAAATGGCAAGAACTTTCTTTTCAAAACAAAATTTTGGACTTTTCTTTTAATCCGGCCAATACGTTTAGCTTACGTATAACATGTGATCCGCAGCCTGCGAAAATCGTAAAACTCAAAAATGGAAAAAACTTGTTTCCAAAAAGTTAAAACTTTTTTATACATGTAATTCGAACTTCAGACGTATTTTAACAAAAATCTCAAATTTTAAAATTAAAAATCTTTTTTTTCAGTTCCAATACCAACAAGCTCAATTAGAAAAGGAAATAGAGGAATTGTCATGGAAGGTGGAAAGGGCCGAGACGACTGATCGTGGTGATCTTGAGAATCAGATGCACGTAGCCGAACAGAAGCGACGCACTTTGTTACAGGACTTTTTCAACTAACTGTCTTTGGATTGGATAGGGTACTGTAACGTATGAGGATACGGTAACCTACGGGGACACTGTAACTTATGGGCATACTGTAACGTATGATGATTACGGTACGTTATATATGTCTCGAAGAGTACAATGTAGGTATTTGTTATTGAAAACGTCACTGTATAGCCACTTTCCTGGGTAATATCTTCTTATTTTGTAAGGCTAAAGTCTGTATAAATTAGAAGATTCTCTAGAAAAACCAAGGTCTTGATACAACCTTGATATAATAGAAGTGTATTGTCAAAATAAGTTATTATTACTCTCTCAATAACTTAACTTAATACCGAGTGATTTTCATTATTTAGTCGTAATAAACCTTGAAAAGTCTGTATTTGTCTTTGTATTAAAGGTCTTTTTATGTTAAAACTACCTGAACGTGTCTTACTTATGGCGAAGAACACATATTCAACTAAACAGCTCATGTACAATATATTTTTTACTTATTTTTGGTAATAAATTTGGTTTTTTTTAACTTTTAGATTTGAATTTGGTGTTTTGGATTCGGTTTTTAGCCTTAAATTTTGTTTTTTTTTGAAATTTGGAATTTAATTTATGTTTTTAATATTAACGGGCACAAATATTTGATTTTTGAAGCCTAAATTAGGCTTAAACACACAATTTCGATACAGTCAAATAACTTTGATTTTAAACAAGAAAACGTGGTGAATCTAGTAAAAATGTTTTTTTTATTGATAAAGGTTTATTCGAAACGCTTTTTTGCTTTTTTTTGTCGCTGATCAGACAGTTCAAGAGTAAAAAGAAGGGGTTTTGGGGAGAAAACTCTCTGATTTTAATTTTATTTTGTTTATATTAGGTGCCGACATAAAGAACCCGCCATTTTTTACAGGAAATTACAGGCAAAGTATGGCGGGTTCTTTATGTCGGCCCCTAATATAAAAGTACTTTACTGTACTTTACCGTGACTTATCCTACCTATATTTTTAGTTGCTAGTGTGTACCACGGGTTTGGAGAACTGGCTATACATAGTTTTTTGCCCGGACCGGTCCGGAGCGTTTTTCACCGGTCCGGTCCGGCGATTTTCGGGTCCGGTCCGGTCCAAACCTCAAATTTTTGGGTCCGGTCCGCAAAATTTTTTTTTTTATTTTTAAAAAAAAGCAAGGAGCGCTAAAACTGCTTTCTTTTTTGCTTAAAAACTCTTAAAAATACATTCTATTTGCAATTTTTAAATCAGTTCTATTAAAATAAAAAAAAAATTTTTCTTCCGGACCGGTCCGGAGCTTTTTCTTCGGTCCGGGTCCGCAGGTTTTTGGGTCCGGTCCGGTCCGCAAAAAATTTTTGTTTCGGTCCGGCCGGTCCGGACCGGACCGGCAAAACACTGGCTATACATAAAAAAAAAATGTATTATCTGTCAGACTTTTTTTTATGTTTTAACTGAAAAGGTGACTTTATGTAGAGCCTAGTATTATCTCTACAAAAAATCACGTGTATTAAGCACTTGTACTATTTTACCAAAGTAAAACTCGCACTTATCAGGTTTTTCGAAAAACTTTTCTTTCCAAAAACTGTTATTTGCCGAACACTTGTACTATTATATTAAATATAAAATGACATTTATGAGCTTTCTTTTCCTTTTTTAGAGAATTATAATCACTCCGTTGTCTGTCTTTTCATTACGTTTTAACGCTGTTACTATGCCGATTATTAAATTAGAATTACTTTACAACCCGTTTTTTTTGTGTTTTTTTCATTGGGAATTAAATATTTATGTTTTGTAAAGAAAGTTCTTGCCATTTTATGTTTTGTAAAGAAAGTTCTTGCCATTTTATGTTTTGTAAAGAAAGTTCTTGCCTTTTTATGTTTTGTAAACAAAATTCTTGCCATTTCTTGCTCTGTAAAGAAAGTTCTTGCCATTTTATGTTTTGTAAAAAAAGTTGCCATTTTGTGTTGGCTTTAGCCTTACTCTTAGTTATAACCAGAGTTCCCAAATTTCAAATTTCTAGCTTCGGCTCCAGCTCCAGCTCTAGCTCCAGCTCCGCTTTTTTTAAATTTTAGCTCTGGCTCTGTACCGTGGCGACTCTGGTTATAACCTTAGCATTAGAAGTGTGGCGCTTCTTAACCTAACCTTTAACTTAATTCTTAACTCTAGCCATAAGCAATGTCTCCTGATTTGCCTATAGTTAAGAAAGGGAAGTGTAGGTTAGAGTCGAACTAGGATCGGAAATCAGTAGTGTAAGGCTAAAGTACAAAGTAGGTCATTTTAGAGCCAGGGATACTGTTAAGGCACGGCAAGGGTGCGCCGTTAATGGAAGTTCAATGCGATCATCTAAACTACAATTTTTGAAGAACAGAACTTATCAATATTGAGAATGACTGTTTAAATATACGTGCTTTGTGTTGTCTCTTGCACTTTTTGAATAAAAAAGGCCTAAAGCAAATAAAAATTTTAATAAATAAACTTTAGGACACCTGCAAAATCTTTCATAACAAAAAAGCGGTAGTCTGTCACGTATACACTAGCTAAAAGTTCATTTGCTTTTGCAAGAGTTACAAATACAAATTTTGATGTTGTTAGTTCCGGGCTAGCGATTTTTGCTCCTTAGAAAAAGAAGAGACCTTAACAGCCTTAGTCTTAGCCTTAGGCTTAGCCTTAGCCTTAGGCCTAGCTTTAGCCTTAGCCTTAGCATTAGCCTTAGGCTTAGCCTTAGCCTTAGCCTTAGACTTAGCCTTCGTCTTGGCTTTAGCCTTAGTTTTAGCCGTAGCCTTAACCTTAACCTTAGCCTTTGCTTCAGTCTTATCTATGGCCTTAGCTCTAACTGACTTTTGCTCTAGCTTTAGCCAAGCCTACTCTAAGTTTACCTTATTATTACCATAACCTTTTCTTAATACACCTTATTTGTATGTTAGACTTACTGAAGCTAATCGTTATGTCAATTTTAGTCTTAGTATGTCTACCTTTAACAGCTGAACCCTAGTCACGCCTTAATTAATTAGGCTTTTATAGCTAAGTTAGTCACTTGTACCTGTATAAGTTACTAACTTTCATTAAGATAAAGACGTCAAATTGATCTAAGCCGCAAAGATGTCGTCATTGCCACAAACCACAAAGTAATCGTAAATGTTGTTCGTGGCAACGTCGCTGATAACCGTCTCTAATCTATAAAGGACCACAGACCATGACTGTCCTGACTTGTCGTACCGTTTTGAATCGGGGAACTCAAGGGGCTGGACTTTTTTGGCGCAAAATGTGAGCGGGTCAGTGTTTTGCCCAGACCGGTCCGGAGCGTTCTTCACCGGGCCGGTCTAGTGATTTTTGGGACCGGTCCGGTCCCAACTTCAAATTTTTGGGTCCGGTCCGCAAAATATTTTTTTTTTTCTAAATAATTTTTTTGGGCCGCTTCTCGGCATTTTTTACCGGCCCGGTCCAGCGATTTTTGGGTCCAGTCCGGCAAAACACTGAGCGTAACACAAGAAACATCAATTTAATACTGCCATTGGTTCTAAGCAATTTTTAAACGTTTTGGAAACGAAAAATGTGCTCCCGAGGTGAGCAAATAAACATTAGTAGCAGAGGGTGTGTGGGTGTATTTAGACATATATAAGGTTTGATCATTTGGTGTATTCTTGTACTCAGGCTTGTTCCACTTTCAATTAATTTTTGTGTTTTATGCAGAAAGTGTGGCATTCCAGTAAAGGAACCGGGGCTAGCTTTTTCGGCCCGGCTTCTTTCAACTTTGCTTTGGCTTAGCCTGAAACAATAAGTGCTCTTAATTTGTAGTTGCGTTGTGAAAGCTGTCGCGTGCCTAATAACGTTTGGTTTACACTTTTTGACACCTAAAAACGGTTTTTTTCGAATAAAATGAAGAGACTTATTTGTAGGGAAATGCAACTTTAATATAAGATGTAGGGTTCGTATATGATTTTTGCAAAGAGATGTAGCTTTGATATGGTTTTGTAGCTAAAGTAGGTATCTTGCAAGCCGATTGCTAAGGATAAGGGAGATAGTAGGGAAAGAGGGGAAGGGGGAGTGGAAATCTGCCTTGAATACTTTTTTTACAAATCACAGCTACAGGGCCAGGCTTATTTTTTCAGTCGGCTTAGGGTCCTGGTTTGGGTGGCCTTGTTAAACCTGACTTCGAGGTGGCTATCGGTCCGGTCAAAACAAATTTCAACTTAGTCGAGTTTGGTCAAAAAAATTAAAACCGCGGCCCCGGTCCTGGTTTCAGAACCGGGCCAAACCGATAGTCAACACTAACCGGTCTTTTCGATTTAGTCAAGGACTGGCTTTTTTCAAGTTTGCTTTGGCCGGACCCTCTTTTCAGGTCTACGGTGTACTCGTGTCTTACAATGAAACGTCTGACTTTGTCTAAGAGGTCTGGCTAATCCTAGTATTCCTTCTTTTAGGTCTAGTTAGAATTGTTTTTCTTGGGGTTTTTGATAAAAGAATAATGAAATATTGGCTTCTTCGGGCACTAGGTAGTTGGCTAATTTTTTTGCGTTTGTCGCTTTTTGTTTTACTTCCATGTATTTATGTCTGTACGTGTAAATAATATGTAAATTTGTTTTTCGGATGTGAACATTGGTGTAAAATGACAAATTGTATGTCTCAACTTTCGAAGAACAAATTTTGTATTTTGTGATGGGTACAACAAGGTGTTTTTAGATATTAGTTTTCGAAATATATTCCCTAGCCCCAGCTCAGAGCCCAGATCCCTAGGTTTGACCTAGACTTAGTTCTGGTTTTGACTTTAGTTTTAACTATAGCCCAGAGCCTTAGCCCAGAGTCCTAGCCCAGAGCCCTAGCCCAGAGCCCTAGCCCAGAGCCTTCGCCCAGAGTTTTAGCCCATAGTCTTAGCCCAGAGTCCTAGTCCAGAGTTTTAACCCAAAACCCGTTTAGCCCTAGCCTTTCCTTAGCTTTGCCCTAGCCTTGCCTTAGCCTTGTCCTAGCCTTGCCCTAACCTTGTTCTAGCCTTGCCCTAGCCTTGTCCTAGCCTTGCCTAGCTCAGAGCCCTAGCCTTACCTACCTCAGAGCCATAGCCTAAAGCCCTAGCCCTAGTTCAGAGCCCTAGCTTAGAACTCTAGCCTAGAGCGGAGGGCAGGATACGCTAGAGTTGTAGCCCAGAGCCTTAGCCTAGAGCCCTAGCCTAAAACCCTATTTTAAAGCCCTAGCCTAAAGCCCTATTCTAGAGCCCTAGCCTAGCTCTAGCCTTGTTTTAGGTTAGCCCTAGCTTTGCCCTAGCCTAGCCTAGCTTTAGCTCTATCCCCAGCCTTTTAGTTTTACCCTTAAATGACCTGTGCTCTAGCTTATCTCTAGCCTTAGTTCATAGCTTTAGTCATAACCTAGAAAAACATGTTTAAGCTACTGAATCGACTTGACTTTATTTTATCTCTTCTTCGCTGCTTGTTGTACTATCAATACCCACGTTTTACCTTATCTACAACATGCTTTCTAAGTGCCCTATGCCACCAAACCTTAATGACGTGCATACTAACAAGAACTGTCGCAAGTTCTAATTAATGTCTGAAGTGTGGAGACAAATTACATTGTACATTATATTTACTTTTTGTTATTGACACTGCTACTTTACCTTTGCTTGTTTTTTGTTATTATTGATTTTGAAATGACATTTGAGGAATTAAAAGGCCATAAAACAGCTGGAAAGAAAGGGAAAGCGTTTACTACATTAAGGATTAATTATGAGGCATAACACGTAATTGAGTTTGGAAAAGAATTTTGGAAAATATTTTGAATTACGTGCACTTCTGAAGATTTTTAGGTAAAAAACAGGCAATCAGTAGAGTTCGGAGTTAGGCTTAAGACTAGGTAGGGGTGAGGAAGGAGCCGAGCCCACTTTTGAAGCCCAGCTCAGGCCCGGGACCCAAGGTATAGCCTGGCTTTTTTTCATTTTTACTTCAAGCCGGTCTGAAACTTTTTTTAACTTGCAAACAAGCCGGGCCTGACAATCAAGCGTTTGACCTAAATTTGGCTCAAAGCCGGCCCGGATCGTTTTTCACCTTTAAGGCTAGGACTCTGGGCTATGGATCTAAGCTAAAATTCTGAGATAGGGTTGTAGGCTGTGGATGTGGGCTAGAATTCTGGAAAAGGCCTCTGGGCTAGGGGTCTGGGCTAGGGCTCTGGACTAGGGCTCTGGGCTAATGCTCTGGGCTAGGGTTCCGGGCTAAGGCTCTGGGCTAGGGCTATGGCTCTGGGCTATAACTCTACGCTAGAGCTTTGGGTTAGGGCTCTGGGTTAAATCTCTGGGCTTGGGCTAGTATTTTTGATTAAAAATTTTTAAAAGCCAAAGGGCTTATGTTTTGTACCTTCTACGTGTCTTCTTATCTCTGAAGAAACTAAAAGACAATAGAACATCCGCTTTCTCTAATTTGTTGAAAGTTGTATACCTATCAACACATTAAATGTATTATAGACTACCAGTTACTTGTTGTATTATATAAGAGATGCACCTTGGCTTTACTTTACTTTATCAAGAGTTTTATATATTAAATTGTATAAAAAAGATTGAGCGACAGCAAATTCCTAAAAAGTAGACTATTGTAATCTGTGCTGACTACTGAAACGTCTATATTTTTATCACGCGATTGCTTTTGGCAAGATTCCAAATTATGTTTATTTTAATTTCAAATTAATATTTACACTTACTTTTTACTTTTCAGATGAGTCGTGCTTGTGAAGTGTGTAAAGCACCATCTACAGAAAAGCACTTTGGTGTCCGAACGTGTCGACCTTGTAAGATAATTCTTAAACTTCAATAATTATTGTTCAGTTCTCTATAATAACAAAGTGCATATATCATATGTCATTTAGAAGCTGCTAGAAAGCATGAATTTAAAATTTTTTAAAATTGAATTATGAAAAAAATTAATTATAGGCGCAGCCTTCTTCAGACGTTCGTGTATCCAAGAACGAAAGTACACGTGTAATTTGAATGGAAATTGTAATGTTAATCAATGTGAGTTTTTAAGTCTGTCTACAAACTGTCGTTACTATGAGAATTTTCAAAACTTTTTTGAAAGCCATAGTTAACCAAACTATTATATTATTATTAATTATACTTTATTATATTTTTCAGCCGTTCGAATCCTATGCCCAGCTTGTCGATTTCAACGCTGTAAAGACGTCGGTATGCTGCAGGATAGTAAGTTTCTTCAGCGTAGAGAAGGTTAGAGTAGGATGAGGTAGAGTAGAACAAGATGGAATCGTAATAGCAATAGTAGGTTAGGATAAGCGTAGAGTAGGTATAAATGGTTCAGGTAAGAAGAGTAGGGTAGGATAGGGTAAGATGAAAGCCCAGTAAGGCGAGAATGAGCTACAGTAAGAGTACAATACAGAAGATGCAGTAAAGTCACTTAGTACACAAGAGGGTAGAGCTAGGTAGGGTCAAGTGGGAAGACTAGGGTAAAGTAGGGTAAAATGAGGCTAGGTAGGGTCAGAAGGAAAGGGTACGGTAGAGTAACGTCAGGGCCGAGAAATGAAAAACTAAAGCACGGAGGCAGGGAAAGGCAAGGCAAGGCAAAGCAAGGCAATCAAAGTCAAGTCAATTCAAGGCCAAGCCAAGGCAAGGCAGAATTCAGCTTATAAGCCTAAAACTTAAAGTTTTCAGAAATCCGAACCAACTTCGACAAGACCGGTCCAAAAAAGCGTCTCCTAAAACAAGAATACCAAGAGCCTTCTACCTCAACAGAGCCTACATTACTAGAGAAATGGACCAAATCTTATCAACGGTTTCTAGAAGACACCAAGAACTGGTACTACTCGGTGCATCCAGACGAGATCTTCAACAATAATGTCAGTTTCAGTAAGGGAACGTTGTTGGAGTTCTGTAACGTGGAACGTTGTCATCAGGTCTATGTGTTTCGGATGCTTGAGGGTCAATTTGATGAATTGCCTTGTTTAGGCAAACAGGACAGGGTATGGTAATTTTTTTGTGAATTATTTTGTATTTTAGGTAGATCCATTAATTTTTTCGTTTTTTAAACAAAAATTTATTTTTTTATAATTTTTTAGTTATATTAGCTTGTTCAAAAATTCCGAGCCACTAATCGGGCGAATTTGCTATACGAAGTAGCTCAAACTTAATTGAACAACCTAATACTTGATGAAAATCCGTTAATTCTTTCGCTTTTTGAGCCAAAATTACATTTTTTTGAAATTATTGGCTTGTTCAAATAATCCTGGGCCCCCGAAAACTTGCTTTGAAAGGTAGCTCAAACTTAATTGAACAACTTACTACCCATTTTTTGAAAATCCATTAATTCTTTCGTTTTTAGATAAAAATCTTCAACGACGTGCTAAGCCAATTCACCAGCCTAAGCGAGTTTTATTTGAACCGCCTCTACTTCCCAAATGACCGACGAAAACTTTTCTTACACTGGGGATCCTACCTTGATCTAGACGATCTGGAGTTCTTCTATTCTAAAGAGTACATCGCTACTACTGCACAGTAAGTTTGTCACAGGATTAGCACATCTCTACGATTCATACACTACCCTACCCTACCTACCATATCCTACCCTACCCTACCTACCATATCCTACCCTACCCTACCCTATCCTACTCGACTCTATCCTGCCCTGTCTTGCCTTGCACCGCTCTGCCCTGCCTTGCCACCCGACAACACCCTTCCCAACCTATATATACCTGCCCTGTCCGATTCGATCTTACTCTATCCTTTGCTGTTCTACCCTAACCTACCCTTATTTGCCTACCAACCCTTTTATACCGTGTCTTACAGTACACTTAAAACATTTTTACTCAAGCACTATTGTACTCTCGCGTACAGTATAACATATGCTATACCGTAACAAGTTTCTTTTATTCGATTTTTCACATAATTCTGTGCTCTCATCAAATTTTCGGGGTTACAGGGCAAAGAATTATCTGAACAACCTGGCTGTTACCCTAATCCTAGCTCATAATCACGCTCACAATCCACCCTGCCTGTCTGATTCACCTTCACCACCCCCTCCTGCTAACGCTCCCTTTGGTTTCAATCTCACGCTTTTTACTAACCCAACCCATCCAAGACTGGATATAATTGTTGTAGAGGGATCAATTTCAGATTGCTCAAGACCTACAGGACCAAGCTCTTCAAATTGGCCAACAAAATGAGAGATATAGCCATAGACGAGGTGGAGATAGCTGCTTTGACTGGACTAGTCTTTTATAGGGAAGGTGAGACAAATTTGAATATTGAAAGTTTGAAAATGGCTTTAAAATACGAAATAATTAATGGATTTACAATAAAAACTTTTTATTTGATTTTGCGGTCAAAAAGTTTTTAGAATTAAGCATTATGAGTGAGCTTGGTCCCCCCTGTGGATATTTCTATGAACTTTTTGACCAAAAATTTTTTTTTGAAAAAATAGGTTTTTTGGAACTTGAAATGCCATTTTTAAACTAATACACCTTTATAAAAAGGGCACTTTAGCTTACTGTAACTATAAACAATGTCATTTCAACTTACAACAACTATAAATACATAATGCCATTTTTAACCCAATACACTTATAAAAAATGTAATTTTAACTCCCTATAGCTATAAATAATGCCACTTTTAACCCAATGTACCTTTAAAAACTGTGATTCCAATCCACTATACCTATAAAAAATCTCATTTCAGTCCACTGCCACCTAGAATGCCAAGACGCAGTAGCCGACCCGACCGAAGCCCTGATTATCAACCTGACAGATTACTGTAACACAAAAATGTGTCGACAAAAAGCGCTAATCCGAGTGGGCATGTTACTGAACTACTTGAGAGATCTACACGAATCAGTTTTGATCTTGCGTGAAGCTGAAGTCATCGTCATGATGACCAACAACTTCATTCGAAGTACGACGGCACAGCCAACGATTCAAGAGAACATTGAGGTCAAAGTTGAGACGTCTGAGTTCACTGAATTGTAAAAATTGTTGATGAGGTCAAAAAGTTTCATGAATTTACAAAAAAAAATTCCGGTCAAAAAGTATCGAGAATTTACAAAAATTGTTGTTGCGGTCAAAAAGTCTAAAGAATATACAAAAAAAAAAAAAAACTGCTTGTTCAAAAATTTTTGAGCCATGCCAAATTTCTGAGCGGTCAAAGAGTTTCGAGCAAATACACAATTAAAAATTGGGTCAAAAAGTTCATAGAAAAATAAAAAATTTCGATTATAGGATATAAGCATAGATTCTACGAACTTTTTGACCTCAATTTTTTGTAAATTTTTGGTTCATGACCCTATTGTACATATTCCTTCACCCTCCTCTATCTATCAGATTGTTCAAAAATTCTGAGCCACCTAACCCTTTAAATTTGCTTTGTGGGTAGCTCAAAATTTTTTGAACAGCCTACTAGTAAGCTTATAAACCCTCTACCTAGGTTTTTCAGCCTTACAAACCTTTTAACTTTAGCTTGTTCAAAAAAATCTAAGCCCCTAACCTCAAAAATTTGCTTTGAGAAGAGCGCATTACTCTTTGAACAAGCTAATACATCTTGATAATGCCCATTTTTGTTGATTTTAAACTTAATAATGTACATAAAAATTTTAATTTAAGTAATAAATAATAATAATAATGAAGATCATACTTTACTTCGTTAGTAGTAACATTAAAAATGGCATTTTTCTTCAGTTTATTCAAAACAATCAACAACAAAAATCAACAAGAAAGGTATAACAATAAAATTTGACCAAACCTTCAAAAGTTTAGCCTTTTTAACGAAAAAAAAGTTTTTTACAATTCAGTATAATATCTGAACTTGTATTTTTCAATTTTTAAATTTTAAAAAATTTCAAAAAATTGTCGAAATCACTCGTTTTTCTCAAATTTTTTGAATTTTTTCTTATTTTTTCGTTTTTTAAACGAATTCGTTGGATTTTCATTTTGATTCGAAGCTGGTTTCGAACTGGGATCAAACTGAAGATATTGTTTGCCTTCTTCAATCTTCTGCTTCAGATTCTGTCGCCATCTTTTTGGATCTTCACGCAATTCCCTTACACCGACCTTGTTGATGAGGATGTAGACAAAGGTGTTCTTGTCCTGAAAATTAGGGGTTTAGATGTTGACAAGATATTTTAGGTAATAAATTTAGTTTTAAAAGATAGTTTAAAGTCTTCTTTTTCTTTTAAAAACAGATTTATGTGCCTAGCCTAACCTTCGACCTAACTTTTTATCAAAATTATATTACACTACACACTAAAACCAAAAAAATAAAAATCAAAATTTTACATTAAAGATAATTTAAATACTAACCAGTATAATCACAAAAAGATAGATTATTCTCTTGTTTACTATGCAAACAAAAACTTCCCAAAATCTTATATTACATCCCATATTTCATCAAAAGTTATATTCCACTACCCACCTTTGAAGTCAGCATTGGAACGAACTGTTCTCGGACCAACTTTTCCCTGTAAGTTACATCCAACTCCGCTTGAAACCAAAAGTTTTCAAATACTCGACTTCCATACTTGTCCTTGATCAACATTTGTGGCTTAAAAGATGTATGTTACATTATGAATTTGTCATCATTTTCAAAAATTTTAAATTTTTAAAATTCAAAACCTACGTTTAACTTTTCAAACATATCAATCTTAACACTCGTATCAATGTGCTTTGAAGCGAAAAACCCATCAAAGACGTGAGATCCAACTGGACTTGATATCAAGGAGACCAGTGTATCTTGTGATAGGGCATTTAGGCTTGTTAACAATGTTTGGTTCTTTTTGAAGTGGAATAGTTGGGTCAAAATTAAAGACCTGAAACATTAGACGACGTTAAACATGTTGTTAACGTTCAATCCCCAAAATTTTAACTTCAGCGACAAGTTATACGACAAATTGTGTACAAAAACACCTTTCATCGTATAAAATGTCTCCACTGTCCAAATCTCAAATTTTTCAAAAAACCAAATCTCACCCATTAACTTTAGCCTTTGTGACATCAAAAGACACTGTTCCATCGTTCTCCTCCACCTCAACATCATTCAAACATAGCACATGCGGTAGAAACTTCTGTCGACTGTCTTTCCGCCCAGCTTTGAAACATGACCTCAGGGCTTTTATTAAATCATCTTGAAGATCAGCATAGTTGGACAGTAATTTCAAAGCCGGTCCGACGATCCACAACTTGTTTTGTTCGATTAACTCTGGCAGGATTTCTAGGAACAGGGCCGAGACTTCTGTCGCCTATAAAAATATCAAGTAAATACCATCTCAAAAGCTGTAAAATGTCCTTGTCTACGTAGTAAAACAGTTCAAAATAGACCTGTTTTTACTTTTGTAATAGGAAATTTCAAAATTTTAGCTGTAAAGAAAGTTATTGCGATTTTAAACCAGCTTTCGAAAAATCCAAAAATAATGATCTATATCAATACAAATCCCCGCAGACGGCTCAAAATAAAGCTAGTAGATCCAAATTTAATACCAAACCAATACGCAGACTCTTGTGCACCCCCTTATACTATCAACACCAAAATTCACCCCTCCCACAAATTTCTACAAACAAAAACTTACAATCTCCTCCGACTTTGTGGACGCCAAAAACTTTTTCAACGGATAATTCGCGGTCGGATGTGTAGCCAATTGCTTGAAATTGTCTGATATGAAGCCAACAAACAAAGATTCCTGAATTTGTTCATCTACATTAGCAATCAGCTGTTCCCAGAGTCTTGAAGAAGCTGGAGTTGAAAAAGATGACAATAACGAGCCTTCGTCTTCGATGAATTTGGCCACAAAGTTTTGAACTTGGCCGGTTTGAGCTTTTCGCTCTAGAGCGGCAAAGTCTTGAAGAATGAATGAGACTGGTTGCAAGATCAACATGGCTAAAATATTTCATATAGAGATCAGAGTGTCATGTAATAAGCCCGAGTACCAGCCATAATAGTTTCAAAGCAGCTATAAGCATTTAAACCTCCTACAACAATATAAATTTCTCATAACCAAAAAAGTACCAGCTGTACCATATTTCAAAACATACTTTTTACATACATTACAATCGCATAATCACTATTTTACTAATAATTTACCCATATTTAAACTATAACCTCACGTTTAAAAGCTTTATTACCCAGCCCCATCTAACTACTCTAAAACAATGTAAACTACCATACCTAAAAAAGTACCAATAGTACCAAACTTCAAAAACGTTTTTTACATCCACCATTACCTTAAAAAAACAAGACTGCTACAAATTTGCCTCAAGACCACCTTTCAGCCATTTATATTACCCATCCCCAACAGATCCCCCTAAAACAATATAAACTCTTCACAGCTAAAAACCTACAATTCATAGAAGTGTAATCAAAAGCCCTGATAAACAATTTGTCCAACTCTTGCTTCTGCCATCCATTCGAAAGCTTTTTCTTGTCTGGTACAGCTTTTAGAGCTTCTGGTACATCTTTAATGGTAGACAACTGTGAATCGATTCCACATAAGGCTTTGGCTATTCCTCTGATCAAAAATGAGCAAGCTTGATCGGCAATCACATCATTCCAGTTTTCTATCAGTAAATCAACCCATGAGGATATTACCTATAATAATAAGAGAGCTTTACCTTTATCTTATCCTTTATCAAGTGTAATATAACTTCAAAGCCGTGTTTCAAATTCATATCAAAGCCTTAAGCTACCATAATAAAACCATAGTAATTTGACCTAAATTCCAATCAAAGCAAAAAAAATAATCCACTTACATCTTCATGTTCATCCTTAAATGGCATCATTTTGTAGATCATCTTCTCGATCACTCGCTCAGCGCTTCTTGTGTACATCAACTGAATTCTTTGCTTCTTTTTCTGCTTCTGAAGCCGTTTTAGATACTCGAATGATCCTGTTGCGGATTTTGTGAATACAGCTTCTACCACCATGCAGCCATCGACAAAGTGAAGTAGATGTTCTTCTTGACCTTCCACTTCTTCCAGACATTTTTCGGTGTAGATTTCTACTAAAAATAAATTTTAGTTTCGTAAAATAAGCTTCAGATGTAGACATGAGAAACGGGCCGGGCCGGCCTTGAGCAAAATTTCGATCGGGCCCGGCCCGTTTCCACGTAAAAAAATTTAGGCCCGAGCCGGGCCTGAAAATTGGGCCCGACCCGGCCCGTTTCTCATGTCTATTCAGATGTTAATTAAAATCATGGTTTTAAAATTTTCGAAAATTTAATTACAAAAACACCTTTCATCGTATATAATGTCGCCGCAGCCTGCCCCCTCAACAGCTCTTCTAAAAATAGAAATAAAGTATAAAATCCTTACACAGCTCTCCAGTTGGTTGTTCCTTGGCCATTTGCTCCAAATACCGAACCAATGCCACTGGGAATTCACCTTTTCCTTCATCTTCACCTTGATCCCTTTGATCACGCTTCTGTCTTTTATCGTGATATTGCTTTTGCTCTCCTTGATTACCTTGTTGTTCGCGACTTCCATGGTAGTTACCACGTTTTCGATGTGAAAACTCATTGGTCTTGGGGTGTTTTTGATATGAATTGTCTTCGTTTTGGGGAATCTTACGTTTACGGGTCATATTTGTGTAGTTATTGGCTAAAAAGTGTTTGAAATCGTATTAAAACAAAGTAAAAAGAATAAAATAGCTAGAAAATTTCAATACCTATTCTATTTTTTTGAAACAGTTATAAAAAATAAAGAAAAATATATTTAAAAAAGTAATATTTGGTTTATCTAACCAATGGTAACATACATAATATCAAAGAAAAGCCGAAAAGCAACAGTAATTAAGTTTATTGGAGCAAATCGTATATTAATGTAGTTAATATTGTTAATACAGCATTTTGTACTGTTTCCATACTTGGATCCATCAAGTTTTGTCGCTGAAATTGTCGTAGAAAAGCCGTTTTTTATGTATGAGACTGGCCAAATGTTTGGACAAATCTTTTACTAACTGTCCGTACGTTTGACCAAACTTTACTAATCTTTATAATCTTTTGCTGTACCAGCTAACCGTTTTCACCTTGCAGGTCCATTAACCTTATTATCAGGTTGAAAAATCTAAGAAATTTTTCAAAAAAATTCCAGCCCCCTTTTCAAAGCAAATTTTCGGGGTTAGGAAGCACAGAATTATTTGAACAACCTAATAATAAACTTATAAACCCTATATAGGCGTATAGCTTTACCTCTAACTTTACATTATCCAAGCTCATAAATCCTATATAGGCCTATACCACCCTCTACCTTTAGGGTTTTTAAGCTTATAAACCCTGTATTAGGCCTCCACCTCTAGGTTTTTCAAATATTTATTGGAGCTTTACACTTTTGTTAGCCAATAATTAATAAAAATGAGTAAAATGAGAAAAAAAACAACAATAAATAGACACAGATAAGAGATGAAATCAGTGGCCAGTCCAGCAGAGTGTTAGTTTCAGAGTTAATAAGTAAAAAAATGGGATGGCTAGCGACGGAAATGGACTAATTATGATAAAAGCGAACATAGATAAATGCCAGCCGAGTTAAATAGACAAAATAATGGAGAAAAATCGTTAAATTGGGGTGATTTTAGGGGTTTTGATGGCGTTTTATTATCGAATTTCAAAAAAAGTTCTAATAATCAAATTTTTAAAAATTCAAAAGTAGGCAAAGCCAGTCTAGACTAATCCCAAAAATTTCAGAAACTAGTCCATAAAAACTTGCCAACTAGTCCAAAAATCCTTAAAATTGAGAGTTTAGCCAAATTTTAAAGTTAGACCATTGAGAACGGGCGAACACTGGACTAGCCATGAACAATGAAAGCATTAAGAAAGTGAAGCGATAAAGCCAGTCCAGCCAGCCTTATGGACTAGCCTCAACACGCACACAAATGTCCTACGATATCTACACGAATGGTCCAGGAGGGGGCAGGCGGCTGCTAAAATGGTACTAATGGGGCAGATGGCTGTGTCAAAATGGTACTAATGGGCAGATGGCTATGGTAATGTGGTACGGTTGGGACAAGCGACTATGTTAAAATGGTCCGAATAGGGCAGGTGGTTATAATATGGGCCAATTAGAAATTACCAGTTATTCAAAATGGTACTAGCTTAGTCAGGCTGCCGTTTCTAAACTGTTCTTTAGTAAGTGATGTAGCTAGCTTAAAATGGTACAAAATGGGCAGGAATACTAATCTAAAATGGTTTAAATAGGGCAAAAGGCTAGTGGGTAACTAACTCAATATGACAATCACTACATGTTATAGTACCTCGCTGTACGAAAAAACCTGTACAGAATATGAGAATCAGCCAAAAAATCCAAAGAGAATAGTCAAGGTGATAATAGAATAGTCAACATGATCAATCCTGAATCAAAAAATCTCAAAAGTTGTATAAACCAGCCTAATCAAGCCAATCAAAGCTCAGTTCAACAATTACGTCACCTTTGGATGAAGTATACAGCTTCAGAATGCAAAAGATCAGATAAATAGTTACAGATTATCACATAATTTATCCGAGAGTACAAAATAAGATGCAGTGGAACTCCCGTATAAGAAACTCCACTATAAGGAACCCCTGTATAAGAAACTCCTCTATATAGAACTGTATATAACACATCGCTAAAAAGTCCAAACTTGTTCGTCATGAAGAATATTGAATATAGAAGAGCTTCAATGATCCATATAGTGATAGCCAATGACTTAAAAAACTGATCGTTATGCAGAAATTGTGTTATGGAAGAGCTCCTTATAGAGAATTTCATTATACAGAAGTTCCACTGAAATTTACCAAATAAGTTAGTTCGTTAGCTGTTAAAAAGTCGCCATTTCGAGTTTGAAAAATGGCGTAAATCTTTGAAAATGACAATAAAATTACCAAAAATGACTGTAAGGACCAAAAAATCCAAAAAATTGCCATAAATACATACAAAATGCCCGAAAATGATTGTAAAACAACCGAACTGTACCAAAAAATTCAAAAGGTGACCACACTGTACCAAATTTCCAAAAGATGACAATACGAATCCAAAAATGACCATACTGTACCAATAATCCAAACAATGACCATTCAGTACCAAATTTCCAAAAGATGACCATACTGTACCAAAAGTGACCAAAAGATGACCAAACAGTACCAAATTTCCAAAAAATATCCCCACTGCGCCAGTATTCGCATTCTGTGAGTGCCGGCTGGGTTTGTGTACAATACCTCACAAAATGTTGCACTTCTTCTTCTTCTTCGGCTTTTCCTTCTGTTTCTCTTTGTGTTTTCGTATCTCTCGGACCAGTGCGTGGAATGCGTCGTCTACGCCCACCCTCGTTTTGGCCGAGGTCTGTTCGTAGGGGACGCCAAAATTACGGGCCAGATCGTCGATTTGCCGCTGATCCATGGCACGTTGGGGGAGGTCGCATTTGTTGCCTACCAGGACCATCGGCACCTTAAAATAAACCATAAACACTATAATTAGGGAATGTTAAGATAATAAAAACTAAAATAAATCAACCTGTTTAAACTAAAAATGTAAATTATCCCCCAAAAGTTATAACTCAAAACGTCATTTCATATTATCCATCATGACCCATCTCATCATGATGAATATAGACATAACTAAAACAACGAAACACCAAAAAGCTGTGACCCTTACCTCTTCCGAGTCCTTGACGCGTTTTATTTGTTCCCTGTACTGATTAATATTTTCGAAAGATTTGAGTTCATTAAGTGCAAAAACAAGTAGAAAGCCCTCGCCCGTCCGCATGTACTGATCCCGCATCGCTGAATACTCCTCTTGACCGGCCGTGTCAAGAATGTCCAGCAGACACGTCTCGCCGTCTATTAGGACTTGTTTGCGATAACTGTCTTCTATCTGAAATAATTTGGAAAGATAAGTTTGAATTTTCGAAAACACGAGCAATATAATTGCTTTTAGGGAAGTCATATGCACAAATTGAGTACTAGAGTGTGTGTAAAAACATGAGTAACTATTCGTTTTGTCTAGTTAAAACACCTGAAATCTATATAAAGAAGCAAAAGCACAATTACAACATTTTTCGTCAAACATCTGTGTCACATAAGACAGGAACAATATAAATAAATGTACCACGCCCATCAATGCATATAACATCTAAACACACAACTTATTAGAAACATAAAACCCTATTTCACGTAAATATAGTAAATTTTCTCATATTTAAATTAGCAAGCTAAAGTTTTAACTTATTGTTATAGGTACACCCAAGAAAAGTGCCTAAAGTAATATAACTTGACCTACCACCGTCAATAAGCGTAAAAAAGCACATATAGTCAATGAGAAATAAATATAATATGTATTTTTTTCAATATATACCAATGAATTATAGTCTAATAGTCAAAATATTAGCTTACAACAGCTTTTTGTAGGTATACCCATTAGACCCTGCTAAAATAAAGTAATTCAACCTAGACCTTCAAACGTTTAACCTAAAGCCCAAATAAAAAACAAAAAGGCTAGTAAAATCCCTATTACATGTTTTCCTATCCCAATATTAACCATACTGCACCTTTCTTTAACCTTTTCTACCTCTTCATCTCTTTAATACCTAAAACCAGGAAAACAAAATACAAAACCTCACCGTTGGATCGTACTCCACAACGAACTGATTCTGAATTAATTGGATCGTCAACGCCGATTTCCCCACACCACCATCGCCCACAACGACCAGTTTGTATTCGGTCATTGACGGTGTGCTCGGCCCGTTCCTGTCGATTTCTCGCCGCTCCCAATTTGAACTCTGCCCAAGTGAACCCAAAAGTTGACCTGAAAAGAACAGTTTGAAGATGTGGAAAGTTTAAAATAAAATATCATCACGTATGGTCATAATGAACGTAAGAAAGTTCATGATAAACATAGAGCAGCTCATGATAACATGTTAAAAACAAATGCGTCATCTCGTGATTAACATATATTAGTTAAGGAATGTAGCAAGCAGCCAAGAGTGAATCAGGTGAATCAGTTGGCTTTATTTGAAGATATTTTTAGATTTGAAATTTATAGAGCAGAAAAGCAAATAAAATTTAAAATATGAAAAAATTGAAAAGCCAAGTTTTATCAATATATAACGTGAATTTTATACTATCCATGATAAAAGACAGTTCGAAAAGCAAATTTAAATTGTTTTGATTAAATTCCATTAGACTAATGATAAGAAACAGTTCAAAATACCCTCCGGCATCTAATTTTATCAAAATTTCTGAGTTTTCCTCTTTAAAAGTTGAATTTTTAAACTTTTTTTCCATTTTAAAATCCAAATATTGACTAACCTTTCAGGGGGGTAAATTTGGTATTTCTGGCTCATCCATATATGAACAGGCTGATAAAAGTTTTTTCTTAAATTAACTTTGATACTAATCAATTTTCAATTGAATTTTCAACGTTTCAAAATTTTTAAAAATAAAAAATTTAAAAAAATAAAAATCAACCCTTCTTAACAAATCAAATTTCAAAACTTTTGACATATCCAAACCGCGGCCAAACCTTGAAATCCAAGTCCTCGCGCAACAACGGGTTTTTTTTCGGCCGGGGGGAGGGGGGATTGGCCGACAGAACCGAGACCATTGAAATCTTGGGGAAGTCTCGCCGAAATCGGGGTCCGGTTTTTCGCAAGGTTCGAAAAAAGGAGGAAAAAATAGAAACGAAGCCGGGAAAAAGGCCGCAAAATGAAGACGAAACAGCGGGAGAGAGCCCCCCGAAAGTCGCCTCACCCCAGCCCCCCGACCCAGCATTTTACATGAAATTACACTGCAAAACCGTGTTCTTTCGCCAGCCAAAAAATCCACCGATATAGTGGATGGTATTGGTTTAAAAAATGAAAATATTTAAAATAAAGGATGGTATTGGTGTGAAATAAGGTTTTTATTGTTGTAGAACGAAGAATTTAGTAATGTAAAATCTCCTTGAAACGTTCTCTATTATTTTCAAGCCCTTAGGCTCCTTTAAATTCAAAAGGCTTCGCATGTCAAGCCATTATCTGTAAAATACATTAAAAATCGGCGCTAGGACAAATGCGGTTTTTGGACATTTGCGGATCTTCGGTTTTTGGACACTTGCGGATTTTAGACATTTGCGGATTTTTTAAAGGGGTTTTTTTATTTTTTAGTTAATTTAGTTGTATTATGGTACTAAAGTTTAAATTGGTACTGTTTTAATATGTTTTAGTGCTAAATAGTACTAAATTTTAAATTGGTACTGTTATGTTAAAACCGCACCAATTTAAACTTTAGTACAATTAAGTACCATACTACAACTAAATTAACTAAAAATTAAAAAAAAACCTTTAAAAAATCCGCAAATGTCCAAAAACCGCATTTGTCCTAGCGCCTAAAAATCATCGCTCTACCACCAACTTTTTGATAGTGCCCAATGAGCAATTTCACCAATATCTTTCTTACCCTTAGTGCTAGAGTCAAAAATCGTATTCTGTAGCATACAAAAGACTATTAGGCTTCATTTAATTAAAAAACTATCAGATATCAAGCTATTTCCTACGAGATATTATCCATCAAATCCTATAAGCATCTCCAAAATGCCATAAATCGCCAATATTTTAAAAATTACATTAAAACGCCAAATCAAATTATAAAAAAAACTAACACTGGAGTCTTCAGCTATCTTTAACAATCAATTCAAGAAAAAATTCAATACTGTTGATCAGCTCTTTGATCAGTTTAGACCAAAGAGAATATCATACATGACTAATATCAAAAAAATTAGCCATAACTTCAAAGAAAAGAATAAATATCAGTAAAATATATTGTACAGAGTAAGATGTAACAATTTCTTAAAATATAAATTGGATTGAACATAAATTATAATGACCAAAATATATTTACACCCAAAACTATTCGACCACCACCTTATCATGGATAATATCAGAAAACTCCCCAAATTTAAACCCAAACACCAGTAAAACCAATAAAGATAACGCTTACTGAGTAACACAAAAAGCTACCTAAAATCTGTTACCCTTTTCCAATATCTATACCTAAAATAACATAAAATAATAGCCTAAACAGTAGATGTAACAATTCTAATATCGCAAAAAGTTTAAATTTAATTTTATCAACTTCTTTTTCACAAATGGGCCTAGATGGACAGCAGGCGAGCAAAAGGAAATGGTTCGATAAAATTTTTTCGTCAAAAAAAAATAAAAAATGCTACAGCGATTTGGGCGCGGAATGCGAAGGAAAGCTGCAGACTGCGAGACGGATTTTATACGACGAATTATTTTCTTAAAGGGCTGATTGTAAACTGCCGAGTATTATTGTTGTAGATTAAAAAAATTGTTAAAAAATTTTAAATCTTAATTAAAATTTAAAAAATACTCTTAATTCTTTAAGAATTCATAATATTTGTATGTTTATTGATATTGTAATACATTAGGTAGGTGAATTTTTTCCTTTTTTTTTAAGTTTGTATATCATCTTAACTTTACAAAGTTATACTGTTCGGATATAATAAGACAGGGCAGGGGTGATGTCTAGTGACTGAAACTAGGAGCCGAAGTGAGGGAGGTGGGAGCTTTTGAAGGTAGGGAGGATAAGGAAGGAAAGAGGAAAAGTAAGCGAAAACGAGATAGCAGGGCAGGCTTTAAGATAGAGTAGGATATGGTAAGTTAGGGTAGGGTAGGGCAGAGTAGGGTAGGGTAGGGTAGGGTAGGGTAGGGTAGGGTAGGGTAGGGTAGGGTAGGGTAGGGTAGGGTAGGGTAGGGTAGGGTAGGGTAGGGTAGGGTAGAGTAGGGTAGGGTAGGGTAGAGGGGCAAAAGTGCACATTTTAAAATGCTGTTTCAATCTTTTTTTCGAAATTTCAAGCCGCAAACCATTTTTTCGTTTCCAAACCTTAAACTTGTAATCCACAGACGGAAAGCGTGGAAACCAGGGTATCTTCATGAAGCACTCATAACGGATAAACGAGGTATGGGGTATTAATCCAAAAAACAAAAAAGCATCGTTTTTTCTCGGCTGTAACAAATCCCTACAGGTTTACAGTCCGCTGGTTTGTAACTCCAACTACTTTTTACTACTTTTTTGGGTTTTGTTTCTAAATTATGGTTAAAACTTTGATTCTAGGGGGGGGAGAGTTCATTAGCTGATTTGATTTTTAGAGAGTAGGAGGGGGGAGGGGGTTATGTTACGTCTTTTTTAGAAAATGAGGGTTTTTATTTTAAGTTATGTCATTTTTAAACGAATGGAGTTTTATAAGAGATGTCAAATGTCATTTTAACAGACCGACTTTTGATTTTAGAACCTTATACGGCCGATGTAAACCCGATGATGCCATTTTTAAATAATAACTTTTATAAAAATTGTAAAATACAACTTTTCAGAGACGTTACCTAAGTAATATCTAGAGATACTAATAATCACTACTTGAAAACAGTAGTAACTTTCTGAACATTTTCTTCACCGAGCCGTCAGCATGGTCAACGTCCTCGGTGAAGCGGGTGAGTATTCTATTATAATAGTGCCAGAAGGTTTTCTCATTTCCGGATGTAAAAAGTAATGTATTATATAATATACAAGCGAAATGCTAAGCTATGTTTATTGTATTAATTTTAAGCCTATAAATTTTTAACTGAACTTTCTATCTTGATGAAGTAAGTATTTTAGCTTTGTACCCAAAACCAGAGCCAGTAAAAGTAATCGACCCGGAACCGACTGTAAGTATGGCTACTTATAAGCCTATTTTGTATAAAAAAAGTTTAAAAACTTGAGATAATGCATTTTATAACAATGATAACCACATTTCTTTCAGACATGTTGTGGTATCTTGTTCACATGGCCCAAATCGACATTGATTGTGTACTTATATGAATGTGGCGAACGATTTGTCTTTTATGGACTCAAGGGTAAGTATGAATGACTAGAGCTCTGGATTAAGGGTCTGGACTAGGGCTCTGGGCTAAAGCTCTGAACTAGGGCTCTGAGCTAGGGCTCTGGGCTAGGGATCTGGACCAAGTAGACATGAGAAACGGGCCGGGCCCAATTTTCAAGCCCGGCCCGCGGGCCGGTCCTAACTTTTAGGCCCGGCCCGTTTTTGATTTTGGTCAGGCCAGGCCCGGCCCGTTTTAAAAAATTTTAAAAATTTTAAAACTTAAAAACTAAACGGAAAGTTGGCTTTAAATTGTTTTTTTAGATCATTTATTGATCATAGAACCCAATAAAATCGAAAAACATAAACGGGGATTGAAATAAAAAATTTTAAAAAATTTGGAAATTTTTTTTTCGGGCCCCTCTATCCAAGGCCCGGCCCGATCAAAATTTTTCTCAAGGCCGGCCCGGCCCGTTTCTCATGTCTAGGACGAAGGCTCTGGGCTAGGGCTCTGTGCTAGGGCTCTGGACTAGGGCTGTGAGCTAGGGCTCTGGGATAGGGCTTTGGGTTAGGGCTCTGGGCTCCTCCCCCCTCCCCCCCCCAGGGCTAAAGTAGGGTTAGGATTAGGTTAAAAAAGAAGAATACGTCGTATTTTACAAAAAAAATTTCAGGTATATTGATATTGTACCTCCTGAAAAACGTTGGATTTTCCCCACTAACAGCCGGTTTGATATTCAATATTTTTCTGGCTCTAAGCTATATTATACCATTCCTTGGTGGTTATTTAGCAGATGGTATATTTGGAAGGTTCTTTACGATATTTTGGTTTTCAATCATTTATCTTACTGGAATATTGTTCTTGGTCATTGCATCAATTTTTCCTATGGGGCATCCTGTACATCCGTAAGTTAAAGCATTATGCCAGAAGCCCGCCAAATCAAAAATTTGAATTATTTTTGAAAAATTGAAGTATATGCTTAAAGCAAGTTTGAGCTAGAGATGATTTTTTACTACAAAAAAAAATTTTTTTAACTTAGCTTGCAACACAATGCCAAAAACCTACTAACTGCTAACAAGCAAACTACCCAACCTACCTCATTCAGAATCAGCTCAAATTTTTATATAAACTCTTTGTCCCACCAATAGTACCCATAAAAAGTTTTAGCTCTTGCTTTTGAGTTTTAAATTTTAAATATTTAACTTTCCCGCCAATTTGGCAAATTTGGTATTGTGTTTCAAGCACTTTTTTTGACTTTCTAGACAAGCTACGTTTACAAATTTAAAAATTTAGGCTTATTTTAAGGTTTTCTTCTAGTATATCAAAGAAAAATGACTAAAAGTCAAAAAATGACAAAGTTATAAGCTGACACCCAATGCCAATTTGGCGGGAAATTCAAAACGTCATTTTTTAATCTCGATTTTCTCGAGATTGACTGGAAAATGGGGGTTAGTACTTTGCTGTAGATCTTATATTTAGTTGTTGTATCATTATAAAAAGTTTGAAGTCGGCCAGAGCGGGGTAGGTCGGGCACTTTCCTTGTGAAGTCAAATTTTAAAATAAAAAAAATTTTTAAAAATTTTAATTTTTTAAAAATTTATTAAATTATAATAAATTTTAAAACTTCCAGCTGGCTAGACATTTTTGGCATAGCAATCCTAACAGTCGGCAATGGTGTGATCAAGCCTTCAGTCACCGTCTTCGGGGTGGATCAACTAAAACCCCATCATTTGTCCATGATTTCCATATTTTTCGCTCTTTTTTACATTTTTATTCAAATTGGTGGGATTCTTGGCACAGCCATCGTGCCTAGCTTCGTTGCCATGCCTTGCATGGGTCAACAATCGTGTTTTCCATTCGCTTTTGGCATCACTTTCCTGGTACTACTGGTGTGCATGTTCGCATTCTCGGCTGGATCTTGCTTGTACCAGCCTATACCTCCTATACCTGGCGTTTTTGCTAAGGTTATTAATACTGTTAAGGTAAGATGGTGCTTTTGTAGCTGTTAAAGACTGATCTAGCTCAAAATTAAAAAAATTTTTTTTTGATATTTAAAAATTTTAAAAAAATTTTGAAATTAAAATTTTTTTTTAATTACAAAAAGAAATTGCCACAAGAGTACAAAAATAAGTACAAAATAGTACCAATCCCCTTCAGATAGCCTTATACGTAAAAGTCAAAGGAATTGGTACAACTCGAGAACATTGGCTTGACTACTACCTTAATATCCATGACTGTACCAAACATCTCGAATGTATTCAAGCAGCCAAAGCTAGAGCACCTGGATCACCGCCTAATTGCCCTCAAGCTAAATTCATCGACGATGTCAAGAACTTCTTTGCTCTTCAGAATATCTTAGCACCTGTCATACTGTTCTGGGCTCTCTATGAACAGCAGGTAGGGTAATGAGTGTATAATAAGTTGTGATAGCAGGGTTGGGTATGTGTGTGGTATTGGTATTGTAAATAATAAGTGGGGCAAGGAAGAAGAGCTTTGGCTAGGGCATGGCCATACCTTGGCATTAGGGGCGATGATATGAGATGGGTAGAGTATGATAGTCTAGGGTAGGGTAGGATACCGTAGTATACAGTAGGCTACGAATAAATACGGTAAGCCACAAAAGGCTGTGAGGGTTTACAATACTGTACGGTACGGTAGATTAGCGTGACGATAGGTTAGTTTAGAGTAAGCTACAATACGGTAAAGTGCGGTAGGGTTCAGTAGGGTACTGTAGGTTATTTTATAGTAGGGTAAAGTAGGGTAGGGTAGGATAGGGTAGGGTAGGGTAGGGTAGGGTAGGGTAGGGTAAGGTAGGGTAGGGTAGGGTAGGGTAGGGTAAGGTAGGGCAGGGCAAAGAAAATTAGGGTAGAATAATGCAAGATACGGTAAAATTAAGGCAAATTTTAAAATGTTATCTTATAGTCATCACGCTGGATGGTTCAAGCTCGTCAAATGGATGCTCAACTCTCCCCAACCTTCTTCTTACTGCCCCAACATATGCCCATATTTTTTGGAATTTTACTCATCATTTTGATCCCAATCTTTCAGTTTTTAATCTACCCTATACTGGCTGGCTGTGGCATTAGATTAACGTAGGTGTTTTAGCTTGACCTTATCTTCTTGTAGTTCAAAAGAAGACCTAATCTATGTTTATTAAAAATTGTTTTTAGGTACCTAAAACGAATGATTATCGGTGGCTTGTTTGCGGTTATGGCATTTATTTTGGCTGGAATCATTCAAATGGGATTAAATGTGAGTTTCTCATACAATAATATATGACCTTTAGTAGCCTTTTAAGCCTTCTATTGGCCAGTAAAGAAGCCTAGCCGAAAAAAATTGTATTGGGGAAGAGCACAAATTTATTTGAACAACCTAATAGGTCTTTCTTTACCATAATGTATAGTGTAATTCCTCTTACCCTGCCCTATCATACCCTAACCTACTGTAAGCTACCGTACTCTTCCCTACTCTTTTTTACGCTACTCTATCGTCCTTTATCCAACCCTACCCTACCATACCAATATCTTGCCACTTTTCAGCAAACAATGCCAGCAACACCATCAGCAGGCCAAGCTTCATTGGCTGTTATCAATGCTTTCCCAAAAGGTTGTCGACTGGTCGTAGCTGACGTGCCTGGATATGTTACTCCGGCTGTGATTCCAGCTGGCTTGGTAAGAAAATTTCATCACTATATCAATTTTTTATCTTACCCCATGCTAACTACACATTATTACCTAAACTAACATTTTTTAATTTTAAAATTTGAAAAAAAAATCAGCCTGGTCCCCCCCCCCTGTGAATATTTCTTTTTTAAATTTTAAAATTTCAAAAAAATTTAAATTTTGAACTTTTGTACGTAAAGTTACAGTAACCCATTTTAAACACAAATTTTAAACTCCAGGGCTTGACAGACAATCCCCTAGCAGCTCGTCAAGAAGCTTACCAAGTGCCAGTTGGAGCTTCGAGTCGAATCAACCCGGGAATTCAAATGAATGGTTCGTGTTCAGGCCGTGGATTCGTACGATACCCAATGGATTTGAATAGTGGAGACAGTAAAATCATAGTAGTTTTACCTCAAGGCATCTTTTCACAACCGACTGTCACTACGAAACCTACTGAAGGATTGATTTCTAGTGGGATCAGGTGGGTTTTTGAGGAGAATTTGTGGAAAATGCCACCTTTAAATGCTACTGGGCCGTAAATATTGTTTTATTGTATCATATTTTACTCTCCCTACTCTACCCTACCCTGCTCTGCCTTGCCTTGCCTTACCCTACCTTACCCGTGTCTTGTCCTGCCTTTCCCGTGCTATCCGTTGATCTGTCCTGTCTTACCCTACCATACATTGCCCTGCCCAGCCTGCCTTGTCCTGCATTGCCCTGTTCTACCCAACCCTACCTTACTATATATTAATCTATCACAGCCTATCTTATTGTACCCTACCCTTCCTACCATACCAATTCTGTAGTAATACTATTCTAATACCATCTCATAGTGTTGTTACCTATTGTATAACATAATATTACACTGTCACATCAGACCCAGGCTTTACTGTACCGTAAGCATACTCTTAATATACCATACCTCCCTAAATTGTTGATCAATATTACTCATTCCATACCCCACTATTTTAAAATTCTATTTTCAGTATAAACTTCCTAATACCGTGCAAGTTCCTACCAGAAGACTTTAAGAAATCAGATATTTGCTCAACGTTAGCTAGTGGACTAAACAGTCTGACACCTTACAATGGACCACTGGCTGTATGTAGGACTAATCCCAATGCTACAACTCCATGTGATCCTACTGATCCTACGTAAGCTTTACTCTTCTTCTTGGCTATGGCTAATCATTCTTATTTATAAGAAGGGAAGGGTGTTTCATTTTATTTATAAGGGGTGGTTTTTCAGGTTCAAATAATTTTGTGCCCTTAACCCCAAAAATTTTCTTTGAAAAGGGGCACAGAATTATTTGAACGACCTGCCACTTTTAATACCTAATATGATACATATAGTCCTAAATGCACCAATTTCAGTGGCTTTTACCAATGGGAAGCCCCAACCGACCAAATGGCCCTAAAGGCCTTTCCGCCAGTTGGTGATAAGCCTCAGGGCAAAGCGACATTATCTCATTATGCCGATGGAATCATTGGCCCAGGACCATTCTCAGTCTACTACGTTAAACCAGGTGCTACACCAGCTGCTCCAGCTCAATATGTGGCTGTGGAGAACTCGGACTTTGCCATAAATGGCATGGGCGGGGTTTATGTGCTGACAATTGGCCTGGCTGACAGTGTGTTGGTTGATGATACTGTGGTAGGTTTGGTTATTTAATGTAGTAGATACACTGTTATATGAATTTACTGTAGAGTAAGGCAGTAGAGTAGGGTTAAGTACGGGAGAGTAGGATAATGTAGGGTAGGACATAGTAGGATAGGGCATGGTAGGGTAGAGTAAGATCTCATAGTCATATCAAATCCATTTCCAGGCCAATGTCCAAGCCTTTCACCAACTATCACCCCCTAATTACATGAGCATTGTCTGGCAGATACCTCAATATGTTCTCACGGCGGTAGCTGAGATCATGTTCGCCATTACCGGATTAGAGTTTGTTTATACACAGGTATAGTTATGTTTTACTCATACTTTTTAATTTTTTACTTTTCAGTTGCCAAGGTGTATTAAAATTGTCATTTTCAGTCAGCACCCCCACTAAAAGCCTTTTCCATGGCTTTCTGGATGGCCAACATCGGTTTTGGTGACCTTTGCGTCATCATTGTTCAAATGATCAATCCTTTTTCTAATATGGTAAGCTAGTTCAGTTTTGTTATTGAAGGGGTGAATACGGTATGGTAGAGTAAGGCAAAGCAGGGTAGAATATCGTATGTTAAGGTGAGGCCGGGTAAAAAGGCACGGCAGGACAGCCCAGGAAAAACAAGGCAGGGCAGGGAGAGACAAGGCAGGGTAAGAGAGAGCAACAAAAGCAAGGCTGGGTAGGGCAAGGCAAGACAGGGCAGGGCAAAGCATGGCAGTGTAGGCATCAGGGCCGGGCGCGAGGGGGGGAGGGACGGGGGGGGTACCCCCCTTCCAGAAAAAAAAAGAAAAAAAATTTGAACGTGGTCCCGTCCCCCCTGTGGATTTTTGGAAAAAAATTTTAGCTCCTGTGCCCATTTTTTGGACCCCTGCCCCCAGACCAAAAGTCCCCGCCCGGCCCTGGTAGGCATGGCAAGGAAAAGCAAGGCAAGGGCACGGCAGGGCAAGGTAAAAGCAGAAAAGAGAAAGGTAAGGGCAAGGAAAAGAAGGGCAGGGCAATGCAGGGCAGGGCAAGGCAGAGCTGGGCAGGACAGGGCAAAGCAGGGCAGGGTGAGGCAGGGCAGGGTGAAAAGCAAAGCAAGGAAAAGCAAGGCAAGAGCAGAGCCAAGCAGGGTGAGGCAGGGCAGGGTAAAAAGCAAAGCAAGGAAAAGCAAGGCAATGGCAGAGCAGGGCAAAGCGAAGCAAGGCAAAGACGGGGCAGGGCAAAACAAGAAAGGGAGCACGGCAGGACTGGGTAATGAAGTGTAGGATACGGTAGGATACTGTAACAAATTTTTGTAATTCAAAACCCCATTTCCAGGCCTATGAATTCTTTGCATTTGCAATCGCACTCTTCCTAGTCCTATTACTTATGACATACATGTCATTATCGTATCCATATGCCAACTACACTGGATTGGACGAAGAAGAACAAGGTCTACTGGACGTACCACCTGATGTTGGAGCTGATAATGAAGGTTTTGTTAACACACTAGTTACTCGGTTGTGATATACACATTTTCACCTTATAGTTGTTACAGTGGTACTCATAGTACTCATATTTACTGCAATTAATGCTCATTCTGTAGTAGTGTTACTTCATACTGTAGTAGTATTACTGTAACAATAACTTTTAGTAATATTTTGAAGATATGTCAAATCGAGTAGTAATGGATATTATTGTAGAATAAGTAAGTTTATATCACATTGTATGTTGTCATAATATCACCTTCATTATCTTCTCTGTTAAACTCTGGGAACTCACTATATTATCATTGATGTCAATAACAATGTTCTAACCAATTTTTCTCATTTTTTAAATATTTTTACAGACTTTAATAAAGCTTTTAATTCAAAATTACAGTAAAATTAATTTTTTAGTTAATTGTTAACAATTTTTTAAAATTTTTAAAAATATGACGAAATGTCACAAAAATTATCGGATCTTGAACTTTTTGCAAAACATAAACTTGCGACATTTAAAAGCAAAATAAATTTGATTTTACCATTTTTAAGCAATTTATGCAATTTTTGACGAAATGTCACAAAATTTATCGGATTTTATACTTTTTTCAAAATTTTGAATTGCGACATTTCAAAGCAACATAAGGGTGATTTTGCCATCTTTAAGTGATTTATAAAACTTTAAAGTTTGTGACAAAATGTAACAAAAATTAACGATTTTCGGCACTTCAAAAATATTAATCAAAATCAGTTGATAGAACAAAGTTAACATTATTTTTTTATGTCAAAAGAGTATGATATGTCAGAAATCGATTAAATGTTACAAGCCTTTCAAGGTTTGGAGCATTTCCGAGGTCCTGTATAGAAAGGTACCCCTGGAGACGCCGGATCTTCGTAGTGCTTTTTGTCGCCATTACATTTCAATGTCATTTTAGAGTGTTTGTGGTCTGGTTCTATTTTTTCACCTATAAATTCTAAGTTTCTAAAGATTTACTTTGCTCTAATCTAACCTACTTTACCCTCTCCTACCCTACGTTACCCTATCTTGCAGTACGCCTTGAATAAGTACATAATACGATATCCTATCAACCCCACAGTCGTAAAACTACATCATTGCCATTTTAGACATAATAACTTCACTCACCCTCATTCTTGCACTTGTACTCGAAAGTATGTCCATTGAGTACGTACTTCTCTCCTTCCCAGGTGATCCTACTTTTGGCTGATGTAATATCAATGGATCGTATGTCGGTTGTGTCAGAAATGTCAAGACAAGCATTCGTACATGGAAACTCTTTGATATTTTGCATCGTTTGTTCTGGAGCTTGAGTCTCACCAACTTTACAATGATATGGAAGTTCAGCAATTTTGTATTTGATTGGAGCTGCGGCTTCTCGAGCAATTTCTGAAAGAAGTTACAGTATGATAAAGCTAAGAAAAAATTCTTAATGTGAGGCAAGCAGTAAGAGAAGGTAAGACTGAAGTAAGACTAAAAAAGGGTTTTGAAAACAGATTACTTTGCGAGCTGGAATAGGTATTACGGTATGGGCTAGGGTAAGACCAAAAGTAAGGATTCCAGTAGAAACAAAGATAAAAACTAACGTAAAATTTTTTATTTTCTTGCATGTAGAACTTAAGGCAAGCCAGAACAGATAACATAGAGCAAAGTAGAACAATGCCAGTGATAAGATAAAGTAGAGTGGAGTAGTGAATATAAGGTAGTGCAAGGTAAGGTGAGTACGATAGATTAAGGTAAGTTTATTGTAAAGTAGAGTAGGGTAAAATAAGTTAATGTAAGGTAACACAAAAAAAGGATAAAATAGAGTGGAGTAAAGCATTTTACAGTGAAGCAAGATAGGATAGGGTAAGATAGAGTAAGGTAGAGTACAATACAATAGGTTAGTTTAAAGTAAGGTAGGATAGGGTAGGGTATAGTAGGGTGAACTAAGGTATAGTAGAGTAGAGTATAGTAGGGTAGGATATAGAAGGGTATAGAAGGGTAGGGTAGGTTAGGGTAAAGTATAGTAGAGTAAAGTAAGGTCGGGTACGGTAATGCAGGGTAATGTAGAATAGGGTACTGCAAAGTAATATAAACCTACCCTTCCTGCACTTGACTTTAATGCCAGTTTTCTTTGAAGTGAACGTTCTTTGTTTATAAGCAGTTTCACTTTCTTTCAAAGGTATTTTCGGTCGATTAATACAACCACGACTACACTTCATAATCCAGTCTTTCGTCGAGTTATCAGTCTTGTTCTCCCATTCATTGTTTTTGCAGTTTGTGACTTGATAACCAACTTCTTGATACTTCCTGTGCGATGGGTAATATCCTAAAAAACTAAAAATTAAAAAAATTATTTTTAATTTAAAAAAATATTTTTAAAATCAAACAGAATCATAAAATTCTCAAAAAAAATTTAAATCCAACTCGTTCGCCATCCCAACTCACCTGACTGACAAGTAACATTAGCATAAACAATACTACCACTTTCTTTACTGTAGTCTACCTTCACACCTTCCTCCTTTTCAAACTCTGAACAGCCTTTTCTCTCCTTCTTCTTACATTTAAAGTCAAGTTCTTTACCTTCATCATTGACAAACTTAGTACCATCACAAGTAAAGTCAGATGGAAGTTTGACTTCTGGATCTGAGGGTTCTTCACCTAGAATATAACATCGTATTTTATAAATTTTTATCTTCTACCTTTCTCTATCCTACACTACCCTACTCTACTTTACCTTACCTTATCCTATCCTACCCTACTATACCCTACCCTACCCTACCCATCCTACTTTACCCTACCCTACCCTACTACCTTACCCTACTCTACCCTATCCTACCCTACCATACCCTACCGTAACCTACCGTACCTTACCCTTCCGTAGCCTACCCTATCCTACCCTACCCTGCCCTAAATTAGTCTACCCTATCCAACCTCAGCGTACCATAGCCTACCCTAATTTTACCAACTCATACTTACCATAACCTGACCTATCCTGCCCTTCTCTGCTCTTACCTACCTTACATTAACCCTATCGCTAAACCCTATCCTGTCCCAGCTATTCATCTTTGCTTGATGTTGCCTAACAAGGTAAGTACCCTACCTGTCCCGCTCAGAATCAGCTAAAAATTTTTATATGACTTCCTTGTACCACCAATAGTACCCATAAAAAATTTTAGCTCGCGCTTTTGAGTTTTAAATTTAAATTATTTGGGCTTCCCGCCAATTTGGCAAATTTGGCATTGTGTTTCAAGTACTTTTTTCGGCTTTCCAGACAAGGTACGTTTACAAATTTAAAAATGTTGGTTCATTTAAAGGTTTTCTACTAGTATATCAAAGAAAAATTATTAAAAGTCAAAAAATGACAAAGTTACAAGCTTGAAACACAATGCCAAGTTGGCGGGAAATTCAAAATTTCATTTTTTGATCTCGATTTTCTCGAGATTTCCTGGAAAGCGCAATTTAGTACTTTGCTGAAGATTTTATATTTACATGACTTTTCTTTATAAAAAGTTTGAAGTCAATCAGAGCGGGGCAGGTCGGGCACTTTCCTTGTAAGCCATAACCCAGCCACTCTTTATTTTAAATCAACCATCCTACTTCATTTACTGTACTCTAACATATACTATCATCTAACAATAAAACTAAACCCTACCTTTCTTGCAACTGACACTAATCCGGCATCCTTTTGGCTGTTTCTTCGATGATTTCTTGCATTTTCCTTCCTTTTTATGTAGCTCAATCTTCAATCCCTTGTGTTTATTTAAATCACACCTTCCATTATCTTCACCTAATGCTGGCTTTTGATCTGGTTTGTCACATTCATTATTAGGTATAAGATGTTTTGAATCTGGACTACCATAATATGCTATTCCATTGTTTCTTGTACATTTTAGAGGGCGTGGAGAGGCTAAAACAAGGTACTATAGTAAGTTATATGTTATAGTAGATTAAACAAAAGGTTACAGTAGTATAGTACCCTATAGTGTAGTATATTATATTATAGCAGGCTATAGTGTAGAAAATGATACTATGACTTACTATAATACAGTAGATTATAGAATGGTACACTATAGTACAGTAAATTGCATTATAGTACAATATAGTATAGTAAAGTATATTTTAGTAGATTATATTACGGTACATTATATTTTAGTACAATATAATACAGTAATCCTTACCATCCTTTCCCTTCTTGCAATTCACAGTAAGTTTACATCCAATATTAACCATGTCATCCTTCAAACACTCATCCTTCATTTTAACCTCAAACATCTCATTCTCAATCTTCTTGCAGCCAACAGCACCAAATATTGGTACAAATGGTCCAACACTGTTCACATCTGGCGCTGGTCCTATTGGTCCCAACTTGAATTCGATCACAATCTTCGGTGGGGATTCTGAAGTGGGCACGGTGAAGGTTGGAGGTTGGTTTTGAGGCTGGGGTAGAGATGGTAGTGGGATTAGGATCACGGGAATGTTGTTTGATATTGTTATAGGTATGAACTGGGTGTTTGGTAGTTGTAGGTTTGGTGGTAGTAATGGTATGAACAGGTACTCTGGGCTTTGTGGTGATGCTGGTTTGTATGATGCTAAAACTTGATTTTATAGTACTACTTAGAGCTTGTGGTACTATCCATAACCTTATCCATACTTCTACCTTTACTTTTACCCCTACCCATACCCTTACCTTACACTACACCCCTACCCCTCCCCCCAATCCGACCCCTACTTCCCCCGCCCCAAACCTACGTAAATTAAGTACATATGGTACCCAATTGTCCGGTACCAGTTGCTCGAACAAAATTACAGTACCCACTGGTAGTACGATAACCAAGTCTCCATTGATCGTCGTAACAGCTACTGGAATCTCAGTAATGCCACTCTTTATCGGTATGTAAACTCCAGGTAACTTGTATTTGTTTACTATGGTAAACGGAATTACAATGCCTGTTGATGTGATATTGACATAGATTCCAGGTATTGAAGGCGTTGGCCGGTCGATAGAGAACTTGTTCATAACATAGGTAGGATTGACCACGTACATATTTCCGGTTGTGTTTGAGGGTGGTAAGGTTGATGGATCAACTGAAATGTTTAGAGATATTATGTTTACTTATCCTTCAGTACCATACACTACTTTGTCATAACCTGTCTTGCCTTCCTGCTCTACCTGACTGTACCCTATCCTTGCTTTACTATAGTCTACTACACCGTACCTCACCCTACTCTACCTTACCCTACCTCCCATACTAAAACCTACCTTAACCGTATCTTACTCTACAGTATCCCAGCGTATCAAAACAAACACTACAGTAACTTCCTTGTCTTGTCTTTATCCAAGCCGTACTACATCTATAATGCAGGCCTGTCCTGCCTTACTCTACTCTAAAGCCTAATTTTAAAATATTATACATCATAAAGAAATCTAACAATTCTTACGCTGCCCTAAGCTGGTCTTATTCTACCATGCCCTACTATACGTTGCCCTATCTCACCCTATACCCCCCCCCCACACTATAAAATGCCCTACCATAAAGAATCCTACCCTACTCTAAACTAAAGCCCTCCTGCCTAATCTTACCTTTCTACTACCACTAGTTACTGTACCCCTACCTTTTTCACAACTTTATTCACTTACCCGGTGACAAAGGCAAAACTTTGTGAGCAGATGAAGGTGTTGCTAGCATTTCATTTGGTAAGGCCTGAAATTGTATTTCTCTATCATCAACTTATTCAGAGACGTCGCTAGAAGAAGGTGAATACGGGTGGATTCCCTTCTCCCTCCCTCCTCACAGAAAAAAACTGTAGCAACGAACCTACACCTACTATCATAACATGACTTTTTAAGCCTAAATCATTAAAAATAAAACAAATTTAAAACTCTCATCCAAAAATTTTAAACTTCTCCGCAAAAGTATATAAAACCCACTTTCAAAGCTGTCAATTTACAATCCATCATATTGGTCTGTGTACCATTCTCCAATTGATACAAAAATGGGTTGCCCATGGTCAAGTAGCTCTTACTTTTATGGGTAATCACATCACATTTGTCATTGTACTTTCTAATCGGCTTTAGAGAAGCTGGAAATTTTCTGAAAAAAAAATTTTAAATTGAAATATTTTTTAATTTAAAAAATTTTTTAATTTTTTTAAAAAATTTTTAAAAAATTCATATCTTACTCAGTAATCTCACAAACCGGCTTACAAAGCCCTGGCCGAGACGTTTTGTCCTCAGGATGATGAACATTCTTCCAGCCTTCTCTACCTCCAATACATTCATGCTTATCAGTACCTCGACTTCGCTTGGCTTCTGTATCAAACATGTAACCTAAAACAATATTTTTCTATGTTTACATTACAGTAAAATACTGAAATAACCATGTTTTACCTTACCTTCTTTACATTTAGTTTCAATAACGCTCCCTTTCGGATATACACCATCCTTTGCACTCCCTTCTTTCACCACTGTAGCATTCCCCAACTCATTCTTATCATTAACATCAAGTGCAACACAACCTGCTTCACATTTTAAATCAGGATTCATAGAAAACACGTCATTATCACAACTGAAAACAGCAGTTTTCTGCGAAGATTGCGGATAATATCCATGATTACACTTCAAACCACTCTTCTTCGTACAGTCAACTGATCCAGTGATAAAGCAATTGATGTCAACTGGCTTTATCTTATGTTCATATAACCATACAGCCAGTTTTTTAAAGGTACATGATGAATTATGTTGAGTTATAGCATCTACATTACTACAATATAAAATGATAGAGAGTAATAGTACAATATGTGCCTTTTTCATGTTAATACAAAGTAAAATAGATTCGAAATTATAGAAAAACAGCAGATATCAGTAGCGACACAGTAAAAATAAAGAACGCGTGTAGAAAACATTAGCATCACAATGATCAAGGATAATATAGTTCAGAGACATATTAGCATCAGAATAAAATAAATTTCTAAATTTTTTATGAAATTAAATTGACCTCATCATTTTTCTTAATTTTCAACTATTTTAAACCAGAAATAAACAAGGAAAAAAATTTTTTTTGTTAGAAATAAGACCGCACGGTGCAATGACAACACTTAAATCGTTCTACGCGCAAAATAAACATAATTTTAATACATTTCCTTTAACGTTTTTATAAAAATTGATAGTTTAAACCATATTTTAAAAGCATTTTGTTCTAAAAGTCTTGCCCGACCTGTACGATAAAGTGAAAAACGCTATTGCACCGTGCAAATATAAAATCTTTAAACTATAAGTTATAAGGCTAATAGCTAAAACCATATTACAACAACTTATAAAAACTTATAAAAGCTTGTTTATAAGCTACTCATTGACCAGTCGACTAATTACTACTTTTAATCAACACATGGCCGCTCAATACGTCCCAACACGAAAAATTGTTTCGCATTCTCTCCATTTATTTTTTTCGCGAAATGAAGCTAGTTTGACTGAAATTAACTCACGTGAGTCTGGAATACCTCATAGTTAGTCGAAACTAGTTGTAGAATCATGGAAAATCTTGTTAATTCTATGAAAAGTGCCGTTCTCAGTGTGGGCGAGAAGTTGACACCGGTTTTGAAGCAGTCCAAGTTTCGCGAGACTGGTGTTTTGACGCCGGAAGAGTTTGTTGCTGCTGGTGACCATCTTGTACATCATTGTCCTACTTGGTCTTGGAGTAGAGCTGGTGATCCAAGCAGGTATGATTGCTTTTTTGTTTGATTTTAAAGTTTTAATGGAAGAAATGGGACTTGTGTGGGTTTGATTATAACTTTTTTCGAAGCATAGTTGAAGACTTGAAATTTTCTGTGAAGTTAGTCTAGATATCAGCCTTACTAATTTATTAAATGTTAGTCTAGATATCAGCTTTACTATTTATTAAAGTGTTGGATAACTGGCGTTAATTTTGAAGTTACAGCAACGTTTCTGGATTCTTATCTACCAAATTTGCTTTTTCAAGTGCTTGTTATTAGGGAATTTATTAAAAATAGGCATAATTTTGCATGATCTGATTAAACTAGTTGAACAAAACTTTCATTTATATATTTTTTACAGAATCCGAGAGTATTTGCCTGCGGACAAACAGTTTTTAATCACTAAACGGGTACCTTGCCATAAACGATGCGCACATATGCAATATGATTCGAAGCTGGAGTTAGTATGTTCTTTTCTTTGTGTTTTAAATTTTTAGATAGTCTACTGAGTCTTCGTTCTTTTTATGTGTCACATTTACATTTTGCGGTCCAAAATAATCAGAATCGATTGTTTTTGGTCAAAAGGTTGTTGAACGAGCTAGCTTTTGGAAACTAGCTGGATTTTGGATCTAGCTAGCTTTTGGATTTACGATTGTTCTAAATTTTCTTGTCTGAACCACTATTTTATTGTTATCGAAAGTATACTTTACTAAAACCGTCACATTTCAGGTGATAAAAGACGATGACGGGAACGACGAATGGGTAGATACACATCATTATGCACCTGAACTAGTAGAAGAATCCAAATCTGCTGATGAAATTGTAAAACCTGTCTCCGCACCGACGAATCAAGACGAAGATGACGACGACGATGATGATGGACCAGCAATGGACATGGACAACTTTATGGAGAATGGTGATTTCGAAGAGGAAGTGGACCCAAACTGCTACAAGCCTGATCCAGTAGCCGATGAATCTGGCGATGATAACATATTGAAGACTCGAACTTATGATCTGCATATTACATATGACAAGTATTATCAGGTAAGGCTTTGTATTTTGATGCTATAAGGGGATTAAGTAGGTAACAACATCACTTTTGGTCCTTTTTAGATGATGTTATAGTAGACGAATGGATGTCTTTAAAAATTAGTTTTGACAGATTTTCAAAGCATTTTTATAGAAACATAGGTGCTTATAAGATGAAAAAGAAACAATATTACGATATTAAAATATTATTTTAGGTACCAAGACTATGGGTAATAGGATACGATGAAAATGGCAAACCGCTAACAGTCAAACAAATGTACGAGGATTTCTCAGCTGTAAGTCGAGTTTTTAGGGTTATATGTATATAAATTGGTGTTTGAAAGTTGTATTAAAGAATTATTTTTTGTCTAACAAAAATATTTTGTCCATAAGTTCTGGGACAGTCTAGACAGGGCTGTTTTTACCTTTTTTGTCTTCTTTATCAGCTAGAAGATTTAAAAATTTAGTTTTTGCTAGTTTTAACCCATTTTACGGTTTATTTTTCAGGACCATGCCAACAAAACCATTACAATAGAATCTCATCCTCATCTGAATCTCCAAATGGCCTCGATTCACCCGTGCCGACATGCTGAAGTGATGAAGAACTTGATTGAGCAATATGCTGACGCTGGGAAAGAATTGAGCGTCCTCCAATATCTGCTGATCTTCCTCAAGTTTGTTCAGACCATTATACCCACCATCGAGTATGATTTTACAAGAAGTATCCAAATTTAATTTTTTTTTGAAAATAATTTTCATTTTGAAAAATTTAAATTTGAAAAGATTGAAATTAATTATACCATGACTAGTGACTTATAAAAGTGCATACAGCTGTAAATACTATCATTTTTTACATTTTATATCGATATTAAATAATGTGTTTGCGATTTTTTACTCTGTAAATAAATTTTTCATCATTAATCCATCACAAATGACAATGTGCAACCTACTACAATGTAAAAGAACCAGACCAAAAGGGTACAATAGAATCAGTCAGTTTATTTCATTAAGTGCAACCCAGAAAGTGATAAGAGATTAACAGAATACAGTTAACAATTCAGAACATTAATAGCACCAACTTGTCGTTAGGATCTTGCCATTTTTAAAATTTGTGTTTTAAAAATGAGGAGAAACCTTAAGACAAGTTGATACTCGGCTGATTCCAAAATGGCACGTTTTGTGACATTATTTCTTCAACCTAATACGTTAATTAAAAATTTGAAAGTGCTTTATTGAGGAGCGACGAAACTCCACAGTTTGTTAAGGAAGCCTTCTTCTTTACGGGCCGTGTTGAACTGAAAATACAGAGAAAGTTAGTCATAAAACACACACCTTAATAACATAACATATAAGCATTGCGGCTGAGAAAAAAGCTTTAATGGCTTATAAATAACACAAAATACAGTATTTTAGGTATTAAAACCCTAAAAACCTCAAAAAGTATACGAAAAAGAGTGTTTTGGCTAAAAATCAACTTAAAAATAAAATAAAAGCATGATTTTAAGGTAATTAAACTTACACTAGTATCAGGATCGTATGCTGCTCTTCTCAGCCCATTTCGTGACCATGTGGATAGACGAGAACGGCTGAAATTGAAAAGAAATAAAATAATATACATCTCACTATTTTTTCAATAAAATATTATATTGTTTAAATAATTCTGTGTCCCTTAATACCAAAAATTTTTCTCAACTAATCATGCGCCTTGAGAGAGCAACATAATGAGCATTAGCTAAAACCTACTTTACAGTCGAATTAATGGACTGATTCAATGAAAATCGGCTAGAATTTAACGTATCATTCACTGGTCCTTCAAATGCGACGTCTGGTGCTGTGGTACTTGCATTCCATGGGGTCATGGATTCATCGGCCAGGACTTCCTAAAAATTATATTGCATTACCTTCAAAGAAAATATATCACATAAATGTGACTTTAACAACCCTCAATTCTACCTAAAAAACAAAAGTATTGTAAATAGGTTCCTTACCTTATCTTTGCACCTTTCAACACCAATTTTAATACTGTGGTCCAATACAAAACCATTTCTTTGCAAAGCCTGTTGAGCATGTTGTACTGAAGAGTATCTGATGTGAAGCCAATTTCCTTTTGGCGGAAACTAAATATTTTCGTAATTATTACGTTTAAAATAACCTTAACATTATAAAAACCCAATAACCGTTAATGTAAATCAATTTAACCATCAATTTCTGCCTCAAAACCACAAAAAAAGTTAACCTTACTTTATGGCTAGCTATTGACCCGTGCCGAGAAAACAAAGGTAATATCATGTCCTTGTGCTCCTGATCAAAGCCAAACACAGTCACCCAATAATCGGCAGGATCTTCTGAAGCTCCTTTAAACTCGAAGGCTTCTTTAAATTCGGTTTTCTGATCCACACGTTGCATTTTAGCTGGAGGTTCGGTGTTTAACATTGACCTCAATGGAGGACCTTTGACCATTGATGCTTGTGGAGCACTCCAAGTATGAGCACTAGCAATCGTAGCTCGACGATGAAGAGATGGGGCAGCATTATGAGTTGTAGCCGCTTCTTGAGCTTGTTCTTGTGCTCTCACCAAGTTTGGGCTCCAATGAACACTCTTGTTGGCTAAAACAATATTCTTTGTTATAATTTAAGAAAACACAATTTCCTTTACAAGTTTTAAATTTATTAGCTAGAAGAAACAGTGTTTTAAGATCAGAAACGTTGCCAAGCCGTTACCTAACGTTTACAAAAATTGCAGCAAAAACCATGTTATTCAAAAGTTTTTGATGATACTGCAATATTATAACCTCAATTTTTCCTCAAATATGTAAAAAACAGCTAATCATTAATAAAATGGCTTTGAAAGTCTATATTCCATTAATTAAAAGCATAAGTTTTTAGTAAAGTACGTAAACCATAGTAGTTTTCAACAAATTATACCTAAAGTTCAACAAAATTTAGAAAACCCTACCATTAACTCGGTTCTGCAAAGCTAAACTCTTCCTCTTCTGAGCATTTCGGTTGCCAAACAAAAAGTTTGGAGCCGATTCATTATCAGAAGGATCTCCACCCGGAGTTTGAAATCTCGAATACATGCCTAAAACACTTCAAAACTTAGAAAATAGATAAAATAACAATCGCTTAACGTCAACGAAAATCCAAAATAACATAAGATATGTATATTGTTAATACAGTTTTTAAAGCTAAAATTAAAAGGTAAAGGCATTTATTTTATTCGCGCCAAACAAATTTCACTAAAATTCCAAAAATATCGGGCGCGGCTCGCAAAAAGGCTTGTTGCAACCTGCGCAAAAATGTTATACTACAAATTTAGCACCTCGATGAAGACCCGATCTTGATGAAGACCCGATCCTGATGAAGACCCAATCATAATGAAGACCCAATCATGATGAAGACACGAGCTTCATGAAGACTTGATCTTGATGAAGACTTGATCATGATGAAACCCAAGCTTGGTGAAGACCCGGTCTTGATGAAGACCCGATCTTGACAAATATCCGCCTGTATATTTGTGCTTTACATGGAATATTAATAAAATTTAACATCTACTGAAATATTTTCATCTGTTATTCAATTTTGTAATTGTAAAGTTCTGTTATTACTATGCTTTCATCACATTTTATGTAAAATAATTTCTCTCACCTGTAAAAACATTTATTTAACACAATGCCAACGATTCTGTGCAAAATCAGCCGCGCTATTGGCGATTATTTGTTTTCGTGCCAGGACCAAATCAATGTAAACGTGCGAATGGAAAATGTTCCGTGCGAACAACGAACGTTGTGGCCAAGGATTGCCCGAAATATCATTATCATTCGTGAGGCTTCAGAGTCGGAAACGATTTTGATGGTTTTTGTCATTGATAGCCACGAGGTGGCCGTTGAGAACTTTGATCCCCCGCCCCGTTTCAATGACAAATAGAAAAGGTTTATTTTTGTTTTGGTTCCTCCCAGTGACCGCCCAATTCGTTCTATTATCAGTTTCAGAACGTTGTTATTAGAGGCGCACGGTTTAGTTGGGTTTCCATGTCTTTATATTGTTTTAGATTGAATGTTGGAAAGCTTTGAAATTTTGGCTTGTGGAGCCAAAAGACGGTGAAGATTGGCCAAAATTTAGATGACTTTGCAAAATTAGATGTTTATGAAAGTATAAGGGGCTTGGTAATTGACTTATATTCTGTAGAATATTGTTTTATGTCTAAAATCAAAATTTTAGCTAAAATAATGTCGATATTGGACTAGAACTTGGAAATTATCTTTTTTTTGATACTATAATTTCTTATGCAGCTTTATCAATGCTATTCCTTTCTATTCACCTGTTTAATATATCGAGCTTTAAATCGTGTCATCTTGATATCATTTCAGTTTAATGTTATATCCTTATAGGTATTGAAGTTGAACATGGCTGTAGATCCATCCAAGCTCACTCCATACAGAAACACTCCAAATGCGTCGAGTTCATTGAGACAGATCAGTGAAGATGCCTTCTACGTTGTCAATGAGGTCGTCATCAAGAGATTGGGCCACATGCCCATTGTTAAGGTAAGTTTAGGCAATTTACATTGTTTTTTTGATGGTATTAGGGCATGATTGTTTAGATAAGGTTAGTAAGAAGATTGGTCTAGGATTTGATTAGCTATACATTCAAATTTTAAAAAGTTTAAGGTAGTTGCTCTTGAGTTAAAGCTATGTTAATGTGTTTTATACTCATTTTTTGGCCAAAAACGTCCTTTTTGGGAAGGAAAAATGGAATGTTTGAATACGGAAGTGTTCTCTTTTGGCCATAAAAGTGCGAGAAATACGTATTTGTCTTGTGGGTGTTTATCGTAAGAAACGTATGACTTTTTATGAACGTTTGAGCAAAGGAAACATGTTTAACACAGCAAAAGGTTAAGGATAACATGGATAATACTGAAAATATTCGAAGACATGAAATATAAGGCAAATTAGGCTATGAAAAGGTAGTAAATGTTAGAAGATAAGAATGTTTAAAAATTTTTTTTTTAAATTTGAAAAAAATTTAAATTTCAAAATAATTCAAAAATTTAAAAATAATCGATTTCCACCTAAAACAACATTTCTTTTCAGGGAGATCTCCACACCTTACCCTTCAAGGTCCAGCGGTTCATCGCCGAGAAGGCCGAGCTGATGCGTCCTCGTGGTATCTACATCTGTGACGGCTCCGAACACGAAGCTGAAGAGATTACCCACAAGCTGATCGAGCGTGGTATGTTGACCGAATTGAGCGCATACGAAGGCAACTACTTGTGCCGTACCGACCCCAAAGATGTAGCTAGAGTTGAGAGCAAAACATGGATCGTCACCAAGGATAAGCATACTGTGAGTTGGTGGTTTTTGGTTGATAATGGAGAGTATGGCTTGGCTTGGTATCAGGGTTACTTATGGTTGGAAATTTCGGGTTTGGATGATATTTCTCTAGATTTTGGATAAAAGATGTCAAAATTATTGCTTTTATGCTTCAAAAACATCATTTTTACTTATTTTTCTCTTTCAAAAACCTAACTCAACATCAATTACAGACCGTGACACGCACTCCAGAAGGTGTCGAACCCATCATGGGCCATTGGATGCCTCCAGAAGTCTTTGCCGACGAATTGGACGCCAGATTCCCGGGATGTATGGCCGGTCGTATTATGTATGTGATCCCCTTCTCGATGGGTCCTTTGGGCTCTCCATTGTCTAAGATTGGTATTCAATTGACCGATGCGAACTACGTGGTACTGTCGATGAGAATCATGACCCGTGTCACACCACAGCTGTGGGAAATTTTGGGAGAAGGCGACTTTGTCAGATGTATCCACTCGGTCGGTCTGCCAAGACCTGTTAAGCGTGAGTTTTTAGATTTTATGAATTTTTGGGGAACTTACGTTAAGGAGATTTAAAAAATTTTGATTTTGCAAGAAATTTTGGTCGTTTTCATTCAAGTTTTAATGTATTATGACCCCATTTAACCCTTGTTTACAATCCTTTTTGATCAATTTTGTTTACGAATAGCTATATCACAAAAGAGATCATTATGGTTACAATAATTGGTGATTATTATCACTTTTTCTTAAGCAAACATCTATGATAATATCAGTTTTTTAAGAAAACATGATGATAAATGTTTGTGTATCACCAAAATTAGTTGTCAATACTTTTTTGACAAAAAAAAACTGCTTGATTACCAACATTTTTGACAAAAAATTGATATTGAATGCCTTTTTGTAAACGTTATCAATGTGTTCAGCTGAGAAACAGAGAAGTTGTTTGTGTTTTTTAGTCTTATCATTGTTAGCCTTGAAAACAACAAATGTCCTTGGGGTTTTTGATAATTAATGATAAGAAATTACATTGTTTATACTTTTTAGACTATCATTTTTTGGGTTTTCAAGGCTGTAAATGTTTTTTGGACCTTCTGAATCCTTTAAAATCCTTCTTTTGGGCATTCAAATTCCATTTTTAAACATTCAGAGTTTTTTAACTGACTTTGCCTAGATACACGTACATTTTTATTTCAGAAAAGGTCATCAACCACTGGCCATGCAACCCCGAAAAAGTACTTATCGCTCACCGACCAGTCGAACGTGAAATCTGGTCCTTTGGCTCAGGCTATGGTGGCAACTCGCTCCTTGGAAAGAAGTGTTTCGCCCTCAGAATCGCCTCAAACATTGCCCGCGACGAGGGATGGATGGCCGAACATATGTTGATCATGGGCGTTACTCGACCAAACGGCAAGGAACACTTCATCGCCGCCGCCTTCCCATCGGCCTGTGGCAAAACCAACTTGGCCATGCTTCAACCAACCCTCCCCGGATGGAAGGTCAGATGTGTTGGTGACGACATTGCGTGGATGAAGTTTGGCGAAGACGGCCGTCTCTACGCCATCAACCCAGAAGCCGGCTTCTTTGGCGTGGCTCCAGGCACTTCGGAGAAGACCAACCCAATGGCCATGGCCACTTTCCAAAAGAACTCGATCTTCACCAACGTCGCCGAAACCGACAAAGGCGAGTACTACTGGGAGGGTTTGGAAGACGAGATCAAGGACAAGGACGTCCAAATCACCGATTGGCTGGGCAACCCATGGAAGTTGGGCGACCCCACCCCTGCCGCTCACCCCAACTCGAGATTCTGTGCCCCAGCCTCACAGTGCCCAATCATCCACCCCGACTGGGAATCCCCCAACGGTGTGCCAATCGAAGCCATCGTCTTTGGCGGCCGTCGTCCAACTGGTGTGCCATTGATCTACGAGGCCTTTGACTGGGAGCACGGTGTCTTCACCGGAGCCTGCTTGAAGTCTGAAGCTACTGCCGCTGCTGAACACACTGGTAAGTTGAATTTTTTGTTAGTTTAGGTAATATTAAGGAAAGAAGGTGAAAATATGTAGTTTTAAAATTTTGAATTTATATTGTGAAATTTTAGGCAAGAAACTGCTCTGGGACCCCATGGCCGCCCGTCCCTTCATGGGCTACAACTTTGGCCATTACCTCCAACACTGGCTGGACATGAAGCAGCCAGGCCGCCAAATGCCCAAGATCTTCCACGTGAACTGGTTCCGCAAGGATCAGAACAACAAGTTCTTGTGGCCCGGATTCGGAGACAACATCCGTGTCATCGACTGGATCATCCGCCGTCTGGATGGCGAACAAGGCATTGGAATTGACACCGCTGTCGGTGTGGTACCCAAGCACGACAGTCTGAACTTGGACGGCCTCGGCGACATCAACATGGAAGAGCTGATGAGTCTGCCACCCGAGTACTGGAAGGACGACGCCAAGGCGGTCAGAAAGTTCTTGGAAGAACAAGTTGGTCCCGATCTCCCGGAAATCCTCAGGAAGAAGCTCGACGAACAGGAGAAGAGAATCGAAAGCCTCTAAACTCGTCAACACCAGTTTTTTCATTTTCAAAATTTTTAGTTTTTGAAATTTTGATTTTTAACTTTTTGAGATTTCAAACTCTTGAGGTTGTATATGTAGTTGTCTAACGTTTCGTGGCCTTGTTTTTAACTTTTAATTTTTGAATTCTTAATCTTGATGTACTACAATATTATTCTAGGTATATTACTGCATTCTTGATTAGATTTATTAGTTATACGGTTAATGTAACATTTTATAGCCATTCTTGTGAGATCTTGATACATTGTCTAAACCCTAACATGTAAATACGTATATTGAATAAACTTAATGTATTTCATTTTTAATGTGTAGTATCTTGGATATTTTGTAATTTTGTGAAAGATTTGGGTAAGATTTATATTGTTTTACATTACTATGTAGAAAACGGTAATTTTGGCTTGAATCATATTAATAAAAAAGTGATTGGTAACTAATTTTTGGTTCAAAATCAACAAAATTTTATAGCAATATCTTAAAGAATGACAACAATCTCTTCAAATACAAACAAAAACCGTGATAATATAGAGCTTTTTAACTTAGTTGGTGTGTATAGCTAATAATCGAAGCTGCGATTGAATTTCTTTTCGCAAAACGCCTTCAACTGTTGAGATCGTTTCTTGAGCACCGCCGACGCATGATCACTATCATAAATGTTGGCAAAGAGCATTGGAATCACAGTTTTAAGGAAGTTGTCACCGGTAAATAGGTCTTCGAAGAAATCGTTCTGAATCAACTTGATTTGGAAGTAAAACAGCACGATGAACTCTTCGAACAGAGCTGGTGCTTTGGGAATGTCTTTGGAGCAATCGGCCAGTAAATGGAGTAGTCGTTTCCATTGGTCCAGACCAACGTAGGACTAAAATATAGCTGATATAACATAAAAAACACTAAGATAGTTACAATTTAAATTTTAGGTAAGTAAAGTATTCTTTTTTAAATTTTGGTACTTCCTTGTTTACTTTCTTCTACTTTATTACATTATAAGACTAAAAACGTAAATTGTTTTCGCTGAAACTCAACGTGACTTCTCGTCAGGTGTTACTATGATAATGTGCTTTGGGAGTGACCTTTGCCCAAAAACTGGTTTTTCATGACATCACAGAACGTGGTGTTCCACGTAACATACATTAAACCTTCAGTTTTTTACGAAGCACCTATTCGAAATGTAAAATATCATCGTTTCTAATGCAAAATTTGAATAAATCTTAACTTTTTTATAATTTTTTTTATTTCATGCCAAATGCAACCATTTTTGCAAAAAATAGCAAGTAATATTTTTACAAAAAGTATCAAGAATTGATTTAATTCTTAAGCCATCAAAAAAGTAAAAACACTTGCAAAGTGAACCTAAGTTTAATAAAAACAATGTTCTGTTTACCTTTTACTTTAAAATTCGTTCAAAAGTGCACGATTTCAAATCAAAACATTGAAAAAACAGAGTCAGTAGAGACGATTGCTATCAGACACAACAACATAATAATGACAACAGGTCATTATTATTATCTATTGAAGCTTGAAAACAATTTGGTACCGCTAGAGCAATGTTAAAAATGCCTTTTTTTATATAGAAAATCATCATTAATTTCAAAACTAATTAAATATTTAACAATTTTGATGAAAATTCAAAGCTCTGGCTTTACTTCATGTTTTGATGGCCAAGAAAATGATAAAATATAAATGTAAGGTATGAAAAATCAGTTAAGACTATCTTATTGTAAAATACGGTGAATTGAGCTTTATATGGAAAAGTACAAATAATTGGATTTTTTTTCTATTTTTAACCGAAAAGTCTATTAATATTCATGTTTTAAAGTAAAATAGATCAAAGTACACCACAAACACTACTAAAACATAAAGGCGATTAAACTCTGTGAGTAACGTTGAAGTGTTCTGTGCTGCAACGTGACTTCCCGATCGCAATCGTAATCAAGATAAAGCTTCTTTGTTAAAAACTAAAATAACAGACATAGTAGGGATTCAATTACATTTATAGCTGTCAATTAAATTGAATATTACATTAACTATCCATATGTAAAAAAATTCAAATTTTGCTATTTTTCAAAAAAGTGCGCTTGTTATTGTAATTTTCAATGTAATGCACGACTATAAAAGCTTCTAATACGTTTGTTATTTTTATTGTAAAACAAAGAAGCTTTATCTTGCTGACCTTTACGATCGACAAGTCACGTTGCAGCACAGAACACTTCAACGCTAGTCTCAGAGTTTAATCGCCACTATGTTTATTAGTGTTCGCGGTGTACTTTGATCTATTTTACTTTTTAAAAACTTTAATATTTATAGTCTTGTTAACTAAAAATAGAAAGAATACAATTACTGGTCATACTTTACAATTTCAACTGACCCTATTTTACAATAAGACATTTATTAAATGATTTTCCATGCCTTTACGTTAACATTTTATCAATTACTTGGCTATCACAACATTTAATTAAAGCCAACATTTTAAATTTTATCAAAACGCTCAATATTTGATTACTTTTATAATTATTTATGATTTTCCATAACAAAAAAAGCATTTTTAGCATAGTTTTAGAGGTACAAAGTTGTTTTCAAGCCTCTAAAGCTAATAATGTCCTGTATAGATGATCGTTCTTTATATTCTTTGTTGTGTCTGATAGCAATCGTCTCTACTGATTCTGCTTTTTCAATATTTTGATTTAAAATTGTGCGCTTTAGAACATATTTTAAAGTAAAAAGTAAACATAACATTGTTTTACTTAAACTTGGGTGTTAAGGTTCTCTTTGCAAGTGTTTTCCTTTTTGATGGCTTATGAATTGAATCAGTTCTTGATGCCTTTTGTAAAGAAATCAGCTGTTAATTTTTGTAACCTTATTACTTGATATTGTTTGTAAAATTATCATTTGGTAACTTCTGTAAACAAAGCTAGTTCCACGGAAATAGCCTTAGGTTTTATAGTGGTCAATATTGTACTTTATACCATTTAGAAGGACCTTATCAATTTTTAGGTATCAAATCATCTTTAAAAATCAAAAATTACATTCTCTACAATTAAGAAAGGTCAGGTCATCATTTTTTCGAATGATAGAAGTCAAGGTTTACAAGATATTATCAGCTTGTTTACCTTTATCAACAAAAACCAAATTCTAGTTTTCCTATTGTAAAATCCAAACTGTTTCAAAGCATATTATCCATCAAAAAATTACGTTTTAGTACCTTATTCATCAAGAAAATCTAAAAAATTACTTCCCTTGTTAACCTTGTTCACCAACCTTATTCATCACCCAACCTACTTATCACCTACTATCACTTCAGCTACTATCTTTAGTTACAACTTGTTTATCAGACGTGGTTTACATCGTTACGACGCTGGGTGATTAAATGAAACCAAAAACCAACATTTATAATATAAAGTACATCTGATTGCGAAAGCCCAATCTGTTGGGGGAAAGAGTGTGGTCGGCACAGAGAGCGATCAGAGTATGAAACCATTGTAAGGCTAGGTAAATAGTAGAGGCGAACGCTCTCTGAGCTTTCGAACCGCTTGCTGTTTGTGTTTTGGGGCGTAAATGATATGTCGTAAAAGGTGAATAACATTAAAATTTTTGGAAAAAAATATTATTATAGTTTGTTCAAAGAATTCTGCGCCCCCAGTCCAGAAAATTTGCATTGAAAAATAGCACATGATTATTTGAAAAACCCAATAAATTAATTTTTTTTTAACATTATTCAGACGTTTTAAACAAAAAAAACGACAAATATTGAAGAAAAATGACTATTTTGTACCGAAAAATTAAAAAAATAGACATTGAACCTACCTGTCCTATTAAAAAGATGACATACGCATATTGAACTTCGCCCAATAACTGTTTGTAGTCAATCTTTTGCAAAACCCTTTCCAGCCTTGTTTTTGTTGTCTTCTGACCCGCTACATTCTAAAAATAACAATTTTTAAAAAACTATAAGATAATCTCTTAAAAAACCTATTGAGATTGTTCAAGTAATTTTGGGCTTTCTCTCAAAAAAAAATTTTCGGAGTTAGAGTGCACAGAATTATTTGAACAACTCAATATTCGTTAAAAATTTTGAAAAAATATACTACCCTACCATACCCCACCATACGCTGCCCTAAACTACTTTATACTATAAGACCCTTCCCTAAACTACTTTACACTCTACCCTACTATACCCCACCCCGCTCTACCTCAGCCTGCCCTACCCGCGTCTACCCTCGTACACCACCCAACCCTAACGGCCCTGTTAGTTCGCCGTCCTCTATACCACATTATCTCATTTTCTCTGCTCTTTCGTCCTACCCTCAAAGTGACATCCCCAAAAATTTTTTTCACTCAACCATAACCAAGACAAAAAATTACTTCTGCCAACTCTGTGAAGAATATCCTTCCACCAGGCTTGTATTCGAATACTGGCAGCCCTGCATCGTCTTTGAAGCGTAACCTTGTTGGCTGATCCTTATTTACGGTGGAAATGCCTTCTGACGTACCCTGAAAGTCAGAAGCTTTAAGATTTAAAAAAACATGCAACTCGCTAAAAAATGCTGAAAACGAGTAAATATCAACTAATATTACTCAAAAGCCTGGCCAATAGATAACCTCAATTAAAAATTTACCTGTTTTTGCTGTTCCTTATGTTCCTTCGTTTCAAATTCCAATTGTTCGCTAATTTTACCAAGCTTATTCGCCGGTCGCAACCTTTCAAACACTTCTTTACTGATATGCGACGTGATAGACTGCCATTCTTTCAGCTGTGGATATGGATAACAAGCCAAACAGTCGTCGTACTTCTTCATCACACTTTGAGCTTCTTGTTTGTTCTTTTTTGAAGCGTCCTGAAATGTAAAACATTAGTTATCTTTTAAGAAAAGTCATAAAATAAGTAAAATATGTTAACGCATAGCTAGGATAACATTAGGTGGCTTTGAAGCTAAAGTACAGAAAAAACCAAGATAGTAGTAACAAAGCCCTGATACTATCCTAAACAAAAAACAAAAGCATTTTAACCCAAAAACATCTTACTTCCGACCAAAACTCGCTGTAAAGTGAATCCTCAAAGTCTTCGTTGGCCAAGTTCCATTTTGGAGCATACACTGTCCCCAAATCCATCCAAACAAAAAATGAAATCGTTGGAGCTTCTTTATACTTCACGGTGATGTAATGTAGTCCAGGTGGAATCATTTTAAAACCCATAAACTTTTCAGTTGGTGTGAAGTTACGATAATCAATGCCTACCGTTATATCCTTCTTTGGTAAGTTTAGAAAAACCTGAAAATTTTCATTTTTAGTTAATATTAAAAATAAAAGGATAATCTCTATTATCATTTACACTTTTTCCATGTAGTAAACGTCTTCAATTAAAAAATAAAAAAATAAACAACAAGATAATAAGACCAAGTACAGAGACAGTGAAATACCTATAATATAAAAAGTATCCACCCTGCTATTAGTTTCTCTTTCTCATAAATTAATCTAATAGCTAGTCCGTAAAGACATTCAAGCCTCTACCTATTATACGGGGAAAAAACGTTGTAATAAAAACTGCAATTCAAAGAAAAAATTCATTTCTAACTCAATATACAGCCGTTTTTTACAATTTAACCGCATCAAAATTCTTCAAACCGCTCATCATCACATTCCTGATATTGTATTCAATCTAAAAACCAAAAATAATAACAAAAAGCTTACTATGAATCCTCCATTGTTATAAATCTCGTTAGCCAAAATCGGATTGATGCCATTTTGGATCATTTCGTTTTCCTTTGCCACGAAATGACTAGGCATCATATAAGTTGTTGTGTTTTCATCAGAAGATACTATTCTAGCCATTTTGTAGTATTTTTTGTTGATTTACCTTTACAATTTGTCTAATTTGAGCAAAATTCAGTTCGAAAAAATTCTTTAAAAAAAGTTATAAAACTCTTCAAACAACAAAACTACATTTTTCTATATTACAAAAATAAAAATAAAGAATAAAACTTGGCGCAAAATGAGACAGTTGACCTAGGATTTTTTTCTTTCAACAGCCCGCGCAAAAATCGAAAAAAGTCACTCATTTCAAGGCTCTTTTACCGCACAGTACAAGCACTCCCATCATTTTATATCCCATCAACGCAGCCTTCACGTTTTTTAACTACGATAGCCTTTGAATATGATGGATAATGTAAGTTAAATTTGTTACTATTTTTGATATAATATTGTTTTAGCTTAGCGATCGCACGTATGCAAGTGCTCATTCTGAAAATTCACTAATGGTAGATGACGTAATTAGTTTTCGATCAGGTTATAGCAATAATACAGTACCGCGGGTTAGTTTTTGTTTGGTTTATGTAAACTTTTTATCGTAGAATGGTTTTTGATTGATTATTTATTATTATAATAGATATTTTTAGGTAGAATAGCTAGATAAGTGAATGTTTTACTTATGAGTTACATAGCTATGCTTATTTCCTTTAAAAATATTACTTTAAACAGTAATTTTTGTGTAAAGTTTTAAAGTATAACACTATTAATGTTTCAGCGTCCAAGAACTCCAGAAACTGCAGACTCCGGATTTCCACGTGATAACACTTCTTCATTACGCAATTTAGAAGTTAACATGGACAATGTATTCCGTGGTATTAATGATAGTAAGTTATTTTATTAGTTTCTTCAATTTTTAGATATCGTTTAGACGTGTAATTATAGTTTATTGGCTAGTTTAAGCTAAAGAATATGTTTTATATTAAAACTTATACTTTTTTTAAGTTTGCGGAAGGTTTAGAAATACGTTTTAAGGGTAATATTATAGAAAATATTGAAAAATGTTGTAGTAGGTAGCAAAGCATGTTGAAGAAGATATTTTTGTTATAACTTTTATTAATAAATAGATAGATGGCTGAACATTAGTGAGGTATTGGATTAGATATTGTGTCAACTATTCCAAAAAACGGAATGTTGAGATTCAAAGAAGTCAGAAAATTAAATATATAGACATGTATTACAGCAGGCTCAACCTCAACGCCACCGTCCTCTTCTCGTGCCACAGTGCCACAACGGCTAGCGACTCCACGGATTGAAGCCAATCCCGAGAATTTATACCCAGCCCATCTCCTTTAAACACGGGGATTTTGAGTGATGTAATAGGGAACCGTGAGTATTTAAGAAGTGAGGCGTCGCTTCATTTTAATGATCTTCTTACTGCTTCAAGGAACACAATTGATCAGATGTGTGATGAATATAATTTTTTGACTGAGGTGAGTTGGTGCTTTGGAAAAGGCATGAATATTATAGAACAACAATTTTTAGGGTTTTTGTTATCTAAATTTCAACTTTTTATAAAAATTGTTACCTACATCATATTTTTCATTATTTTCTCACTTAAAATTTGGTTTTTAATGCCACAATGCTTTATTTCAGTCAAAGAACAGCATCTTATCCGAACTAAGAAACCAGGTTTACGATTTGCATTCAAAGCTAAATATTCTAAGCCAGGAGAAGACAGAGTTGACTCAAGCTTTAGCTGGTATTCGAGCTGAATTGGAAGAAGAAAAACAAAAGGATAACAATGAACTTGAGGTAGGTGTTTATGGTTTAAAAAAGGCAGTTGAATGAAGGTTTATTACCTAAAATTGACTTAAAATGAATTTTTTTATGAGTTTTGATAAATTTGTTACCTAAATTTTGAAAAATGATAATTTTTGTCAAGTTTGTTACCTAAAATTAAAAAAGTTTTGATTTTTGCTACATTTGTTACCTAAATTTTAAAAATATTGAAATTTAAAGTTTTATCTACCATAATATCTTGTTCACCTTGAAATAACCGTGTTTTAGTTAGTCAAGAAGCTGTTGAATGAGAAACGAACTCAACTAATCGAAAGTGAGAAAAAGAAGGCCATTCTGGCCAAAGAAGTAAAGACGTTGAAGGAGAATGCAACGGCCGACAAGGAGAAGATGGATGATTTGCAACAGAAACTCTCGAAGCAACATGTAAGTTTAATAAAATACTTGAAATGTCAAAATTTTGGATTTTAAGCTTATTTTGTTATCTAAAATACAAAAAACTATGAGTTTTGCTTAGTTTATATAAAAATCATTTCATTACAGATAACAGCCCAAAAACTTCGACAAGAGAAAACGAAGATTCAGAACGAGATGGAAAAGGTAAAAGAGGACCTAGCACAAGCCGAATCAGCGGCCAGCAGACTGCCTTTGGCCGAGTTACCTTCAGCCCGACGACCAACAAAGGCGTCGGCTGCGAAAGCCCAGACAAAGAAGCCGGCTGTCAGCAAGGGAGCCTGGAAGAATGATGATTGCAACCCGAATCTGAAGAACGTGCATAAGAATGAGAATTTGGATGTTCCTAATGAGATGGTGAATTTTTTAAATTTAAAAAAAGTTTTTTTCATAGATAATAAGTTGTATAAAAGTAATGCGCTATGTTTTTCTTAGCGATATGGAGTTCAGTAGCTCATTACCTTTTATACCACTTAATATGTTTGGTATTGCATATTTAGGCAGTTTTGTGTAGTATTAGAATGTTCAAATAATTCTGTACCTTTCTCAAAGCTTACGGGGCACAGAATTATTTGAAAAGTTTAATACTATGTTTATACTTGAATTTAAGTGACTTTGAAATCAATATTGCTAGTATTGTGTTCATGAACATGTTTAAGAGGCTAATATTACTCATTTTTAGCCGTGTGCATCAACTGGAGGAACGTCGGCGGGAACAATGTTAAACACGTTCGTAACACATACTTTATTCTTTATTTTTCCTTATTGACAGCGTTTGTATTCATGATTATGTATATTTATTAATAAGGTAATAAAACTGTATATAAAAACCAGTTCATTTGTACTCTAGCCTATAGAGTTTGCAAGAAACTTGTAAACCCGGTGTGAAAAAACTTTCAAAAAGCTATATTATGTTGTTAAATCTTGTTATACATTTGGCTCTTATGTAGGCGACATACTAGCTTACACAATGCGTCGGATATGGGTAGAGCTGAAAATTATAAGGTGCATTTGGGGTATGGGAAAGATATGGGTCAAGGTATTATTTTGTTCAAGTAATTTTGTCCCTTTAACTCCAAAAATTTGCTTTCAAAGTAGTGGCCAGTTGAATTGTTTTCAACATTCGATTGAACCAAAATGGAAGATGACCTTTTATTGCCCAAATATAGCCTACGGATACGTTTACGGACATTCCCAACTATTGGGCGTACATTATCCTTCAAAATGCTCTTTAGCACCTTCCTGACACTATGATCAATCTAAAAACCAAAAAAATAATAGCAAAAAACTTACTATGAATCTTCCATTGCTATAAATCTCGTTAGCCAACATAGGGTTGATGCCATTTTGGATCCTTTTGTTTTCCTTGGCCACTAAATTACTGTGCATCATATAATTTAATGTATTTTCATCAGAAGATACTATTCTAGCCATTTTATGGTATTTTTGTTGATTTACCTTTAAAATTTGATAAATTTGGGCAAAATTCGGTTTAAAAAAAATAAATTTTTAGATTTTTCGAAAATATTTTTCTTTGGCATTTCGTTTCAGACTTTTTTTGCTAAAATCCCGCGAAAATGTGCGATTGAAAACGAATGTAACGCATTACAATATACTTGAGCATGTTTTATTTTGTGTGCGTTGATGGAAAGAGTAGAAATTTTTTTGTTTATAAACCGAAGAGCCTCAGTTAACGAATCAACTCCCATCACTTTATATCCCATCAATGATGCCTTCACGTCGTATTATGCCTCAGAATCAAGTCTTCGCAAGTGGACCGCCTACAAGGATGTTGTTGCCTGTACCAGGACAAAGAGGGAGTGTGACTGTTAATGTGCCAAGATCTAGCGATATTCTTTACATACAGCGTTTGTCTCGTGTATCTGATGAACAGCGACTGTTTTTGGATTTTAAAATTAAGTTTCAGACTGTCACTGAACGTTTTACAGGTAAGATAAGTTTATACGTACATAAAAAACTTTTTATGATAAAAAGTATTTTTGTGAATTAGTCCTAGTTAAACTTCTTATAATTTTAAATTATTCTTTGCTATTTTAAATAAACTTTTTTCATTTTAAAACTCCAATTTCACCTAATTCTCTTCCAGGTGCCACATGCAGCATTTGTTATGAAGACACAAAAGCAGAGGCCATCAAATGCTTACACTGTAAGAAGTATGTAGCTTGTGTGGAATGTGGTGTAAAGTGGATTCGAAGACAAGTGACTGAAGCAGCATCACCATCTTGTTCATGCTGTCGAGGCGATTGGAAGGATTTAAAGAAAGGCGTTGTCAAAAACGTTCAGAAGCCTTTTATGAGTTCAGATATTGTTTTCAATTTAGTTGCATGGTGCGCTGGCGCAACTCTAGGTGCATTTATAGGTATTTTACTAAGATTGATAATAAAAATATATGTATGAGTAGGATATGCATTGACAGTTCATTTGTACTCTAATCTATAGAGATTCCACAAAACTTTTGGGGCGGGTAATTTTGAAGATAATTTTAAATAATCCCAAAAAGCTATATTATGTTAGGTCTTGTTATACATTTGACTCTTTTGTAGACGACATACTATCTTACACAATGCGTGGGATATGGGTAGAGCTGGAAATTATAAGGTGCATTTGGGGTATGGGAAGGACATGGGTCAAGGTATTATTATTAGGTACCAGTTATGTCGTTCAAGCATGTAATTCTGTGCCCCTGACTCCAAAAATTTGCTTTGAGAGGGGTTCAGATTTATTTGAATAATCTTATATCATTAATAGAAAGAAAAGATAGTGTAAGGTATGATAAAGTAAATTCAGTTAGGGTATTATGGGATAGTATGCGTCAGGGTATAGCAGAAAGATAGAAACCTTTTTTTGTTGTCCAACATTGCTTACCTCAATTTTTCGCTATTTTTGATTTTTCGAATTTAAAAAAGCCATTTCACTCCAATTGTTGTTTTGTCTGCAAAATTACCGGTCGAGTTGTGTTCAGCACTTGATTGAATCAAAATGGCAGATGACCTTCCATTACCCAAGTATACGCCTTCGGAGACGTTTATGGACATTCCCAACTACTTGGCCTACATTATTGAAACGAAACAGAATGTAAATGATGTTGAAGTAGATAGTTTGGAACAAGTTGAAGTAAAAGTTGGACAGGTGAAGAACAATTTTGATGTCAACGTAGCCAAACCTCCAGGACAATACGAACGTGATGAAGTGGCCAACTTCAATCAAGTGGCCAATGTCAGAAGCTCTTCAACTCAAACGGATGGCCTTCAAAAGTTCGAAGAGCTAACTCCAGCCGAGTACATTGAGAAGCTAAGTGTTCAAACGGCAGTCGAGAGAGTGAGCTATGTCAATTTGGAGACGGGTGAAGAAAAGAGTGATCCTTGTTATTCTGCCAAGGATTCTGACAGTTGGGAAGATGTTAAGACCGCGCTTCTGAAGGCTGATCTTGTTGCAGATTCAGTGGATGGTAAAGGGGCAAACGATGGATCAAGTGAAGCCTTGGGAACGGCACGGAATCCAAGCTGCAGTGATGTAAAGACGGCACGGAGTCTAGGTTACAGTGATGTAAAGACGGCACGGAGTCTAGGTTACAGTGATGTAAAGACGGCTCGGTCGTTAGAAGATCTCCACGGTGCTCCAGACGGCGTACGATACGAAGCTATTGGATTGAGGAATGACGGCTTGACTCCAGCTGAATATATTGAGACGTTGAATGTGTTTAAAGCTGTGGACAAGAATTCTCTTAATACTAAGGTAGATTCTGAAGGCAAAAACCAAAATTCAAAAGCTGAAGGTCAGGATTCTGGAGCCCAAATTCAAGATTCAAGACTTCAAAATCAGGATTCTGAGCAAGATCTTCGTACTGCTGTTAGTGTAGGTACAGGAACAGCTCAAGAATATACTATTAGTGAAGATTTGCAGTATGGTGCTGATGGTACTAACTTAGATTTGAAGGAAAAACGAAATATCGGAGCTCAAAGTCATGATTCAAGCCTTCAAAATCAGGATTCTGAGCAAGATCTTCGTACTGCTGTTAGTGTAGGCACAGAAACAGATCATGATTATACTAGTGAAGAGAATTTACAGTATGGTGCTAGTGGTACTAACTTGAGCTTGAAGGAAAATCAAAATGCCGAGCAAGATCTTCGTACTGCTGTTAGTGTAGGCACAGAAACAGCTCAAGATTATACTAGTGGAGAGAATTTACAGTATGGTGATAATGGTACTAACTTGAATTTGAAAGATAGCCTTCAAAATCAAGCTTATGAGCACGATCTACATACTGCTGTTAGCTTAGGTACAGTGACAGCTCAAGAATTTACCAGCGAAGAAGACTTACATACTCTTGTTAGCCGAAGCCTTCAGACAGCTGCACCACAACAGAATGATTCAGATTTGGTAACTGGAATCAGCGCACCAACTCACACGGCTCGAGAACCTGAAGGCGATGAGGACTTGGTAAAGGCTTTGCTTGAAAGTGGCATGGTTGAAGAATTTGTGAGATTTTTTAATTAAATAGGGTAGGGTATGGTAAAGTAGAGCAGGGTATTTTAGGGTAGGGTAAGGTAGCGAAGTGGGGTAGGGTAAGGTAACGTAGGGCTTTTAGGCTACGATAATCCTTAACTTTGATTATATTTTTAGCAGGATCACCGCGCCACTCCAGAACAATTGCTCAAAACTCATAGCAAGAGTGCCATTTTGAAGGAGATGCAACTATTCAATGCCAATTCTAATCCAGCCCCATTCGTGCCTCTGACTTTTGAAGAAACCTTGGCCAAATATAGGAAACTCTGAACCAAAACTTATATCTTGTAAACACTAAAGACTTGGTTTACTTCGGGAGGTATTTTTTGTTGTGTAAAGAAATTTATTAAAAATTGAAAAAAAGAAAGGTTAATATAAATATTTGTTTGTTATGTACTTCTACATCAAATAAACTGACATTAATCCATAACATTATAAATAATAGAAAAAAATAAAATTTTATTAAACAAAAAATAAATTATCTTGCCTAAAAACTTAATATAAATCTCATTTTCACCGTGCTAATATTAAAAAAAGCTTTGAACTTGGCGAAAAATGAGCTGCGCCCTGCCTGCCCGCGAATTTTTTGTTTGAAATAAATTTTCTTTCGGAATTTTTCGTGCACGGCGCGCCCACTTTTATTTATTTTCGAGACGTTAACAAAACAACTCCCATCACTTTATATCCCATCAACGCAGCCGTTTTTGTTCGATATCCATATTTTTTGCTCCCCTTTGAATAAGATGGATAATGTAAGTTATTAAAAAATAATCTGAAAAATAATTTCAAAATTTACTTATTTATTTTGTGATTTTTATTTTAAAATTTGTTACGATTTTTCATATAATATTGTTTTAGCTTAGCGATCGCTCGTATGCAAGTGCTCATTCTGAAAATTCATTAATGATTGATCATAACAGTACTGTTCCATCAAATGCTAGCAATAATACAGTACCGCAGGTTAGTTTTTAATACTTATTTTGGTTTATGTAAATTGTTTATCTAAGAAAGGTTTTTGATTGATTATTTATTTTTATAATAGATATTTTTAGGTAGAATAGCTAGATAATTGAATGTTTTACTTATGAGTTACATAGCTATGCTTATTTCCTTTAAAAATATTACTTTAAACAGTAATTTTTGTGTAAAGTTTCAAAGTATAACACTATTAATGTTTCAGCGTCCAAAAACTCCAGAAACTGCGGACAGTGGGTGTCCAAAGGATAACCGACCCTCATTTGACAGTCTGGAAGTTAGTAGCATGGACAATGTATTCCGTGGTATTAGTGCTGGTAAGTTATTTTATTAGTTTCTTCAATTTTTAGATATCGTTTAGACGTGTAATTATAATTTATTGGCTAGTTTAAGCTAAAGAAAATGTTTTATATTAAAAATTATACTTTTTTTAAAGTTTGCGGAAGGTTTAGAAATACGTTTCAAGGGTAATATTATAGAAAATATTGAAAAATGTTGTAGTAGGTAGCAAAGCATGTTGAAGAAGATACTTTTTGTTATAACTTTTATTAATAAATAGATAGATGGCTGAACATTAGTGAGGTATTGGATTAGATATTGTGTCAACTATTCCAAAAAACGGAATGTTGAGATTCAAAAAAGTCAGAAAATTAGAGCAATATTAATATAGACATCTATAACTTCAGGCTCAACTTCAACCCCATTCTCTTCTTCTCGTGCCACAGTGCCACAACGGCTAGCGACTCCACGGATTGAAGAGATCCCAGAAGAACAAGAAGGAGAAACGGTGATGTCGTACCGTTCCGATCCAACAACAATTTCCGGCACTACAACATGTAGCCGTCGAACTCCAGTTGTTCCTAGGCCGTCACCTTTGAACACGAGGATGTTGAGGCACCTGCCTAAAATCTATGATTCTCCACAAAGTGAGACGCCACTTCAGTTTCATGGACTTACCATGGAGTCACCGAAGGCTATGCCAAAGAGTGCCATCTATGAAAAGGTGTTGGAAAGGCAGATATGGCAGTTGCGGGATCAAATTCAGATGATTGATAGAATGCGCGATGAATATGAAGTGTTTTTGACTGAGGTACGTTGGTTTTGCAGAAGGTATGGGTATGAGAACTATGATGAAGAACAATTTTTTGTGATTTCTTGATTATTTTGTTACCTAAAATGTAACTTTTGTCAATTTTGTCACCTAAATTATGGTTTCTATTACTTAAAATTTGATTTTTAATTCCACTGTGCTTTATTTCAGTCAAAGAACAGCATCTTATCCGAACTAAGAGACCAGATTTACGATTTGAATTCAAAGCTAAATATTCTAAGTCAGGAGAAGATAGACTTGACTCAAGCTTTAGCTGGTATTCGATCTGAGAATGCCAATTTACATCAAAGAAATAAGGAGTTGAAGTCGAGTTTGGAAAAAGAAAAACAGAAGGATAACAATGAACTTGAGGTAGGTGTTTATGGTTTAAAAATGGCAGTTGAATGAAGGTTTGTTACCTAAAATTGACTTAAAATGAATTTTTTATCAGTTTTGATAAATTTGTTACCTAAATTTTGAAAAATGATAATTTTTCTCAAGTTTGTTACCTAAAATTAAAAAAGTTTTTATTTTTGGCGCATTTGTTGCCTAAACTTGAAAAATATTGAAATTTAAAGTTTTATCTACCATAATATCTTGTTCACTTTGAAATAACCGTGTTTTAGCTAGTCAAGAAGCTGTTGAATGAGAAACGAACTCAACTGGTCGAAAGTGATAAAAGGAAGGCGAATCTGGCCAAGGAAGTGAAGACCTTGAAGGAGAATGCAACGGCCGACAATGAGAAGATGAACGATTTGCAACAGAAACTCTCGAAGCAACATGTAAGGTTAATAAAACATTTAAAAATAGAAAATTTTGGATTTTAGGTTCATTTTGTTACTTAAAATACTAAAATTTTAGAGTTTTCTCATAAATAATGTCATTTTCTTTCAGCTAACAGCCCAAAAGCTTCGAGAAGAGAAGGTCAAAATGCAGAAGGAGATGGACAAGCTAAAACAAGACCTAGAACAAGCCAAATCAGCGGCCAGCAGACTGCCTTTGGCCGAGTTACCTTCAGCACAACGACCAACAAAGGCGTCGGCTGCGAAAGCCCAGACAAAGAAGCCGGCTGTCAGCAAAGGCGCCTTGAAGAATGTGACATGGAATCCGAATCTGGAGGACGTGCATCAGAACGACAATTTGGATGTCCATATTCCTAATGAGATGGTGGGTTTTTAAAGGGGTTTCCATGGATAATATTAGTACATTATATTATAATATTGTCTTCAGCTATGGATATCGACCGGAACGTCGGAAGGAACGACGATAGATACGTTCAAAAGCGATAACGGCCAATTGGTTGTACGACAGACGCTGGCTGATCGATGCAAAGTCTACAAGAATGGAGGTATCGAGGAGAAGTCTTTCAAATGGACCTACAGGGATGATATTCAAATTGAGGTAGGGAAAGATTGGCAGTTTAAAAATTGAAAAAAACGTAAAAAATGAAATTTTTGTTACCTAAAATATTTAAACCTAAAATACATTACAGATTGACTACCAAGACGAAGAACGTCTCTTACTGGTCGATATCTTCACGATAAAAGTTTATGTATACAAATCGGGTCTACTGATGGTTGATTATGGTCCAGAAGGACAAATGTACATATTGCCAGATGGTCAGAGGGTCGAAGTCATCAACAATCAAAATGAGTTTGAGAGGTTTGAATTGTAGGTTTTGAAAAGCGGAATTTTTGACTTATTTGTTACCTAAAATTAAGAAAAATGTCATTTTTGAACAATTTGTTACCTAAGTTAAGAAAAGTTTGATTTTATTGCGAATTGTTAACTAAACTCATAAAAAATGTCATTTTTATATAATTTGTTAACTAAAATTAAGAAAAATGTGATTTTTAAACAATTTGTTACCTAAATTTTCCTATTTAAGATTCAACCAAACAAATGTTCAAACATATGACCACAATACCTCAACTGACGGCCCAATTGAGTATAACAAGAAGAAGTACTCGAAAAGAGCGTTCAACGATACTAAAGTCATGTACCTAGAAGACAAGTCTATCAACTTCTTCAACAAACACTTTGAATGTAGGTATAGCGAGGACAAGTTCATCAGGTTCCTCTCCAAACCTCACAATCTACTCTTTGATCTACATTGGAGGACGGGCAGAGTCGACATACAACATTGGCATGGGCATGATCTACCGCGAGAACCGTGCTATTGTAATGAGTATCCTTCACAACGAGTTCGACAGTCGTAGTATTATAGTATCGTACTGTTAATGGCATTATATTTGGTTGTTCAAATAATTCTGTGCTCAGAAAAAATTCAAAAAACGGGCCGACGCGGGCCTCGGCCCGGCCCGTTTGCCATGTCTAGTAATATGTATGTTGGTACTGAATTCTGTGCAATATCTTCCTTACGATAGATGATTTTAAGCCTAATTTTTTTCGTTATCTACCAGAAATACTTGATCTGTTGTCTATATTGTTGTCAACTAATATATTTATTTATTCTCAATATTGATAAAAAAAATAATAAAATGAAAATCAAGTTTAGTTAAATGGTATTTGAATTGATTATAATGTCAAGAAGGTATTGAAAAACGTTTCGAAGGATATTTTAGGCTTTACAGTGTTAAAAACGGCCATTATATTGAGGTCGACGACCTTTTAGCGTAATGTTGTGGTTTATATTAATATTGTAAGTTTTTTGTTAAGATTTCTTGATGTTTAGATTGATTATAATGTCAAGAAGGTATTGAATAACATTTTGAAGGTAATTGCAGGTTTTAAAATAACAAAAACGGCTATTATATTGAGATCAACAACTTTTTTTGGCAACAACAACAATATTGTGGTTCATATTATTATAACAAAGTTAGCTTTTTTAATATTGTTTCTTAATGTTTTGGTTGATTATAATGTCAACAAGGCATTGAAGGGCATTTTGAAGGATATTGACGTAGTTGAGATATAAAAAAAGTCTGTTATATTTAAATTGATGCCTAACTCAACTCTACTTTATGGTTTTTGTTATAACTTCCGTTTGTTTTTAGATAGAGACTTCAAATCTTTGGTGATTAAAGATTATTTATTTTTTTAAGTAATGCAAAAAAGAAAATGGCAAAATCAACATTAATTTTAAAGTTACAGTATTTGCCATTATAACAAAGAGGCACGCCTTCATTAGTGTGTCAACCAGAAAAGCACTTTCATTACTGTACTTTTCTAGTTAACGCACATTCTTTACAACACTATTCTCCAGTTTCTTCCAATCACCACGGCACCATGGACAAGATTGTGAGGCTCCGTCTTTCTCACGGCTCAGAATCCACCGTGTAGCACACTTCTTACAGGCCACCCACTTTTTGCAATGTAAGCACTTGATGGCTTCTGGCGCTGGAGTTGTGAAGCAGATTCGGCATTCGACTTCTGAAAAAGGTTGATTTTAAATTGGTTTAGCTCTTGATTAACTTGTTTTTTGAAGTTACAGATAGTAGGTAGGGTAAGATAGAGTAGGGTGAATGGGTTAGTGACTTTTCGGGGAATGCAGTTTCGGGGAATGCATTTTCGGGGAAGGCTTTTCGGGGAATGGACTTTTCGGGGGATGGACTCTTCGGGGAATGCATTTTCGGGGAAGGCTTTTCGGGGAATGGACTTTTCGGGGGATGGACTCTTCGGGGAATGCATTTTCGGGGAATGTACCCTTCGGGGAATGAACTTTTCGGGGAATAAACCCTGACTGAATCACATGTGCCTTTATTAAGTATCGTTAACCGAAATGTCTTTCCCCGAAAAGTCTTCTCCGAAAATGCATTCCCCGAAACTGCATTCCCCGAAAAGTCCCGCTCCCAGGGTGAATTAGGGTAGGGTAAATTAAGGCAGGGTAAAGTAGGGCAGGGTATAGGGAGAAGGTATAGGTTCTTCTTTGACCTACTATAATATTGGGTTGTTCACTATAATATTGGGTTGTTCAAAAAATTTTGAGCTATTTCGCAAGGCAAATTTCCAAGAATATATGGCTCAGATTTGAACAGCCTATTGTTTGTTTTAAATTAGGGTATTTTGCTAATTTTCGAAATTTTTTTGATTAAAATAGGCCTAAAATGTAGAAAAAAGGCTTACGCCCGCAAGCCCGCATTGATATAATAAACGAGCTTACCCCCCAAGAACTTGACCTACCTGTAGTACCTTCATTAACTGTCGGAAACACAAGTTCTGGTTCACTCTCCGCTGGCGCTTCCCTTTTACATCGATGAGGGTTCCGTATCCCACCATACGATGGCCGATACAACCTGTGGCCAAACCGATTCACCATCGGTAGGCCACGTCGATGCTCGATCAAGCTGAACGCACTCGACATACTGGGTTCACCGTTCATGTGAGCACGAAGATTGTTACCGGAGACTCGTAGCGGTTGAGCCAGGACCTCGTATTCATAGGAAATGTCTTGGTGATAACTAGAGTATGATGGTTGTAATCGCGATTCACTGAGGTCTGGGCGTACTATATCGGCCATGAATTCGGTGGCTGGTAGAGGGGTTACTACTGAGCGAGGTTTGCGTAGCCGGGATGGTGACAACAGGCGATGGGCTGGCATTTTGAAAGTTTTGGTGAGGAAAAGAGGGGTTTATTATAGTGGAGGCTGAGCTGAAAGTAATGGTAATGTTATAATAGTTATTAGTCTTAAATATTAAGCATTCATACTACATATTAAGTTTTAGTACATATATATATAGATTATTAATGCTAAATACTAGGTTAGAGTAACATGTATCAAAAGCGGTAACATAAAATGGCAAAAAATGGCAATTTAAACCGTTAAAAAAGTCTTGTCGTCGATTTACATGTAAAGACAAAGTAAAAAACGACAAAAATTTTTTTGAAATTTAATTTAAAAAAAACCTTTGTTATAGTAATATGATTTATTAAAAAAAGCCATATACGACAATAAAAAAGTTGAATAAAGTCTTATCGTCGATTTACATGTAATTGCATTGTCAAAAACGACAAAACTTTTCTTTTGAAGTTTTAGACTAAAAAGCTTTTGTTATAGTCAAGAACAATCAAATCAAATCTCTTGTTATAGTCAACATAGTCGTAAGAAAAGACCAGAACTTTTCTTTACCGGTCGTTTTTTTCATATTAATACCTTTTCTAGCCTTCTATTCATCTCTTTTCTTATAACTAGTCTATACCTACATAGCCAGAGTACATTTATAACAAAATCAATCAAAATGCAAACAAAAATCAGTGTAAAATTCAAAAATACGACAAGTCGAAATCGACATATCGATTGGAAAGCATTTGATAGCGTTGCAAATGCGAATGCGTCGTTATGCAGCCAATGACCTAGATATGTTTGATGTATGTCAGGTCTGGCAAAGACGAACACAATCGTCGTATATTATATACGACTGGAGAAAAATTACGTACGTTTGAAAAAATATCTGATATTACGATAGATGATGTTGTATCCGCTTTTTTATGAGTACATGCTTGGACCTGCAACAGAAATTAATTTTTAGGTAACAAGTTGGTCAAAAACAAGGTCTTCAATAAGTTTAGGTAATAAAATGTTAAAAATAGCCGATTTATAAAAATTTAGATAATAATTTTCATAGAACTTGTGTATTTTCACCAGTGTTTAGGTAACAGATTTTGAATTTTTAGGTATAAAGTTTTCTTAAAAAATCATTGTAGCTTTAAGTATACTGTAGGAAAGTCATGTTAACTTATACTTATATAACTAATATTACTTTATAAATCTCAGGGCGATGCAGGGTAGTGTAGGGTAGACTAGTGTAGTGTAATGTACGGTAGGATAGCATAAAACCGTTTACGGTACAGCAAAGTAGGCAGTGTAGGGCACGGTAGGGCATGGTATGTAAGACAATGTAGCGCTTGATGTGATAAGGTGTAACTGGGCAAAAGAAGAAGGTTAAGGTGTAGATTAGATAACGTAGAGTATGGTGGGGTAAGGTAGGGTAGGGTAGGGTAGGGTAGGGTAGGGTAAGGTAGGGTAGGGTAGGGTAGGGTAGGGTAGGGTAGGGTAGGGTAGGGTAGGGTAGGGTAGGGTAGGGTAGGGTAGGGTAGGGTAGGGTAGGGTAGGGTAGGGTAGGGTAGGGTAGGGTAGGGTAGGGTAGGGTGGGGTAGGGTAGGGTAGGGTAGTGTAGGGTAAGGTAGGGTAGGGTAGGATAAACCTAGTAATGCTAAGGTATTTATGTCACATTATGTTGATATTCTATTACATTTTGCTTCAATATACGTTCAGAAACGACAATGTTCGTTACCATTTCAAAATAAATAAACAAAAAGAAAATAAAGAATTGATCAAAGAGCGATCGTCACCCACTTACAATATATAAAGTATCTGCTCGTGATTCGAAAGTAACTTCTATAGTAATGTTGTTTGTTTTTAGAACTTTGTTTCTTTTTACTCTGTTAACCGTCGTATTAGCTGGGTTTGGCGATGGTAAGTTGTAATTCAAGTTTTAATTTTAAAATTTTAATTTTTCAAAATTTTTTTTATTTAAAAAATTGAAATCTTAAAAAATTTAGACTTTGTGACATGCATAGTAAACAACTGTCAGCCATACTACGGCAAACCAGAATACAAATGTGTGCCAACCAGCAGTTGTAATGGTAAATTGTACGATCAAGATGGGAAGTTTTTGATAGATGTGTAATATAATACTTCACCTTGAGTATAATGTGTAACTTTTACTGTCAGTTATGAGTTATGTCAAGCTTAACAATAATAAATTGTTTTATCATTATCTTTTATTGATACAGTATAAAACTACAGTGTTACTGGGGCACGGGAAGAATTTAGGTATGAGCATAGCTAGAAGGATTATCACGTAGAGAAAGAAAAAGTAGTGTAAGGTATGTTAAAGTACTCTCAAGGAGGGTAGCATAGAGATGGGTCGAGTAGGGTAGGGTAGGGTAGGGTAGGGTAGGGTAGGGTAGGGTAGGGTAGGGTAGGGTAGGGTAGGGTAGGGTAGTGTAGGGTAGAACAGGGTAGGGTAAGAGTAAGATATTGTAGGGTAGGGTAGGGTAGGGTAGGGTAGGGTAGGGTAGGGTAAGGTAGGGTAGGGTAGGGTAGGGTAGGGTAGGGTAGGGTAAGGTAGGGTAGGGTAGGGTAGGGTAGGGTAGGGTAGGGTAGGGTAGTGTAGGGTAGGGTAGGGTAGGGTAGGGTAGGGTAGGGTAGGGTAGGGTAGGGTAAGGTAGGGTAGGGTAGGGTAGGGTAGGGTAGTGTAGGGTAGAACAGGGTAGGGTAGGGTAGTTGAATATAAGATGCTGTTGAATAGAGTAGAAATGACAAAACATAAATAAACATAATATTACTCATCACGTCGACTGATAATAAACAAGCGTATAAACGTATCATTTGTTCCATATAAAAGGAAAAGGCTTTTTTTAACAATTTTTAAATTTATTAAAGCCTTATCAGCTAATTTAAGGCTATATTAACAAAGCTCTTAAGTTATACGACATATTATACTATGCGTCTATTTGTCACACTATTACTAATTCTAAGCCTGGTTGGCATTGGTCTCGCTAATGCTCAAGAAGGTAACACATTAGAAGGTGTCCAGTGTCTTGTCAATCGATGTTCATCTTATCAAACTCGACCTGATTACAAATGTGTTCCGACCAGCAGTTGTGGTGGTATCTTGTACGATAAAGATGGCATCTTTGTCAGAAATGTATAAAAATATGTGTTGCACTAAATTTGAGAAATAAATTTTTGTAAAGAAAGTTCTTGCTATTGCTCGCTCTGTAAAGAAAGTTCTTGTCATTTTATGTTTTGTAAAGAAAGTTCTTGCAATTTCATGTTTTGTAAAGAAAGTTCTTGCCATTTTCTGTTTTGTAAAGAAAGTTCTTGCAGTTTCATGTTTTGTAAAAAAAAGTTCTTGCAGTTTCATGTTTTGTAAAAAAAAGTTCTTGCAGTTTCATGTTTTGTAAAGAAAGTTAGTTCTTGTCATTTTATGTTTTGTAAAGAAAGTTCTTGCCATTTTCTGTTTTGTAAAGAAAGTTCTTGCAATTTCATGTTTTGTAAAGAAAGTTCTTGCCATTTTATGTTTTGTATAGAAGTTCATGCAATTTTTATGTTCTGTAAAGAAAGTTTTTGCCATTTCATGTTTTGTAACGCAAGTTCTTGCCATTTTTTAATTTGTAAAAAAAGTTCTTGTCCTTTTTATGTTCTGTAAAGAAAGTTTTTGCCATTTATTGTTTTGTAAAAAAAGTTCTTGCCGTTCTTTGATTTGTAAAAAAAGTTTTTGCTATTTCAAGTATATCCGTCACTTATAAATCAAATTCTGTTCATAAATTCGAAAAGATGACGTGATTGTTGGGGTTGATAAGGGAGTGAAGAATCCCGCAACCGGTTGTCTCGGAACTGGAAAAGCCGCCTCATCAGCCGGCTTTTTTTGTTTCTGATCCGGAAACCGGCATTCAACCTCGACATTCCATCTTCATAACCGACCGCAGGATTTAGAACATGGTTTGTCGTGGAATTTCTTGAGGGTTTTTGTTTTTTTTAGTTTTTAAATGATTTTTTAGTAAGCAAACTCAACGAACGGTAGATATGAAAAGAGCCCACTAGGCCCAATCGTATCAAATTTAAAAAAGGCTAAGCCAGTTTTGATTGTGCAGAGCTGAAAAATTGGGTTTGGCTGGGTCTCTTCACCGGTCTAAGGAACAGTCATTTTGAGTTTACGATATCGGGTGTTATTATCCTTGTTATTCGTTGTATTTAAAACGACATTTTAAACCATATTCTTACTTTAGCTCCACACTATTTCTAACCTAGCCCTCTCCTAGTTTCAACTTAGTTTCAGCCTATCTCTGCGCCAACCCTTGCCTAACCTTATTTTAGCGTTTTACTAACCTAGTCTTATAACACTATATATTAGCTATGCCCTATTTTCACCGTAGCTCTAAACTAGGCGCACGTTTTTCTCCATTTGTATCCTTAACGTAGTTCTAAATCTTACCTACAACCTGTACGCGAAAAAACGAAAAAAAAATATTTTTGGAAAATCGGCCCACAGGTACCTGTGGACAAAAAAAATTTTTTTGAGCTCCCACTCCACCAGAGAAAATCCGTAGCGACGTCCCTGCCTAAATCATAAATAATTTTTATTGAAAATTTTTAAAAAGTAAAACGAAACCGCAAAGATAACTCGATGGTTCTTTTTTAATCTTTGAAATCCAGCCTCCGGAAGTAAATGCGGACTTTTTAAAAATCAGATATTTGAAAAGCGAAATTAATAAAAGTTTTTGCAAGCAAAATTTATGGAGTAGAATAATGGCGACAAGGTTATTAGAGCATGCACTTTTACTTTTTTTAGTGATTTTTTGAAATTTCAGAGGATTTTTAAAATTTATAGTGAGAATTTTATGTTGGGAGAGGTACTTTAGTGCGGAAAAGCTAAAATAACCGTATTGAACGGTAGATACAGGTGGGGCTGAAATAAATCTTAGTTATCGCTAGTATAGGACTAGGTAAAAGGTAGGTAAAGCTTAAATTGGGGTAAAGCTAAGGTAAGAGTAGAGTAGCTTACGATGAGGTAGGGTTAGGAGAAGTCTAGGGTAAATTAAATGTAATGTAAGACAAAGGCGGATAGAGTAAAGTAGGACGAGAAGGGAGATAGTGTAGGGCTTGATAGAGTAAAGGCTGAAGCATTTTAAGATAAGACTAGGTTAACGTTGATCAGACTATTGTGAAATAGATATATAGGAAGACAAAGGTGTTTAAAGTAGGATTAAAGTCAATCAGGGCAAGTGGTATAGTTAGGTAGAGGTAGACAAGGCTTAGTATGGTTGGAGTACGTTAAGTTAAGACTAAGAAAAGGCTAAGGTAAACAAGACATAATGTAAGGCAGAGGTAGGTAGAGTAGAGTAAAGGTAGTGCCAGGAAAGAGATAACCTAGGGCTTGATAGAGGTAAAGTTAGAGTACTTCAAAACAAGAATAGGGTAAAGCTACGGTAAAACAAAACAATGTATGGTTAAGTTATGTTGCTTGTTTATGCACCCATGTTAATAGTTAACTTGTAAAATGTTGTAAAATGTTTTTTGGTTTCCATTCCACGTATTATTTTTAAACCGTAGCTTCTATGTTATTTATAATTCGTTTTATAGGTAAACCTACATTGTCCAGGCTCAAAATTCCACTAAAATGAGTCGAGCATCATTAGTTTGTACTACACTTTTTGTCATTGGTAATTACTTTTTCATTGTTATAAATTGGCCTCTAGGGTTTTTAAACATTGAAGTGTCAGGAAAAGTTTTGTCGTAAATTTATAAGTAATTTCACTACTAAAAACGACAAAACTTTCTTGAGCCGTATTAGAGGAGTGTTGAGATACTACTCTATCCTACCTTTTTACTAGCCTATAAAGAAAGGTCATACCGTTTTTTAAATACCCATTTTAGCACTAACAGTACTATCCGTACCATTACCTCGAGAAGAAGTTCCGATCTGTCCTTCTGGCGCCGAAGCCATGTTGAGGCCGGATGGTGAGCCAAGGAAGTGTCTGCCACATCAAAGTCATCTCTGTCTGAATGCTCTGGACGATGGGGTAAGTTTTTCAAATTTAAATTTGATTTTAAAAATGTTGACTAAAAAATGAAAATGAACCATCAAGGAAAGTGCTTGACCTGCCCAGTTCTGATTGACTTCAAATTTTTTATAAAGAAAGATCAGGTTAATACAAGATCTTCAAAAAGTACCAAATCGCGCTTTCCATTAAATCTCGAGAAAACCGAGATCAAAAAATTACATTTTGAATTTCCCGCCAAATTGGCATTGTGTTTCAAGCTTATAACTTTGTCATTTTTTGACTTTTAATAATTTTTCTTTGATATACTAGTAGAAAACCTTTAAATGAACCTACATTTTAAATTTGTAAGCGTAGCTTGTCTGGAAAGTGGCAAAAAGTGCTTAAAACAGGATGCCAAAGTTTGCCAAATTGGCGGGAAGCTCAAATATTTAAATTTTAAAACTCAAAAGTTCGAGCTAAAATTTTTTATGGGTACTATTGATAGTACAATAAAATCATTAAAAAATTTTGAGCTGATTCTGACAATTGTGAGTTAAGCAGGTCGGGCACTTTCCTTGCAAGTTAAGTAAGGTAAAAGTACTGTAACTTTATCAATTATCGAAATTTCAAAAAAAACTTTTGGACTTTTGTTGGCATTAACCTTCCCTATCTTATTTATTTATTTTCTGATGTTTCAGGCCGATCCCAACTCCGTCTGTTGCTGGCACAACAAAGTGGACTACTATTGTTGTCGCAACGTCGCTGAAACTCAATGTCCAGCCTACTCGAATGTGACGGTTGTTATTCATAACAGTTTTCCACAAAATTCATTCCCAATCAAAACGTTCCATTTTAGAAAAGGAATCGAAAAGGATCTCAAGTTTAGTCAAAAGTAAATTGCTACGTTAATATTGTTCATAATATGTAAAGTAATGGTAACTTTGATGGAAAACTGTAATAAATATATTAAATTTAAATGTGATATTAAATTGCCTTTTTGAGTAGGTGATATCTATATTATACCTAATTTCAAAATTTAGTCCAAAAAAAATTTGAAAAATAATTTTCTCGCCATTTTTGGCATTGTGTTTAAGAACGATTTTAATACTTTAAACAGGTTTTTTTAGTTAAAAGAGGTATTTTACAGTATATTTATACATATTAACCAACAAAAAATTTATTTTTATAGAAAATATTTAAAAAATTGAGCATAAATATTGTTGTACTAAAAGGTACCATATAACACCAAAAATACAGTATGAAAATACAATAAGGTATAACATGTAAAACTAATTGTAATTGCCTTTGACACTATAATTTATATATCCTTCCGATCTTCAAACCTGAGGCGATTTGTGGTCGGTGTCACACTTCGATGTGTCCTATTCAGAGCCCAATTCTTGAAAAGTCCAGGTAATGGTGCTCTTTTCCTCACGAATCGACCAAAACCACGATTCGTTTCGACCGGAATTTGAGGTCGGGAACTCGAGACTTCAACTCTGTCAGTATGACGTTGATTTGGCGGTGAAGAGCTTTGAACTGAAGCTGGTTGGAAGACTGGAACTGGAGATTGGTGGGCTGAACCACGTCTTGAGTTTAGCTTGCTTTCTCTCTGGAATTTTTGAATATTATGGTATGTTTATGAAACCAAAACCTTTAAAATTTATTCGAAAACTTTGTTTTATGTTTGTTAAACTAAAAAAAATCAATAAACTTTCATGTTTTCAAAAAATAACTGTTTTTAGTGCCATTCTTCCATAAAAATATCCCTAAACTTCAAGTTGATTCAAAATTTAAAGTAAAAAGCAAATTAAAAATATTTAAAATTACATTCTAGAACTAATAAAGACCAAAAAATATCATTTTATATTCTATTGTTCAATAAAAACCACTTTTTATCCATGCGGACTCGAACTCAACTAATTTCGCACATGAGTCTGGCGTACTGCCACTGTACTACCAAAACACAAAATTTCAAATTTTTCAAATTGTTATTGAAAAAGTTATACATGTTTTTAGATCATATTACACATGTTTTTAAATCAAAATTTCAAGCAGATCTTGAATTTCAAAACAGATTTTTAAAAAAGTAAAAATCAAAAAAGTTATGAGCATTTTGTTGTGGTTAACTTGAAATACGGCAGATTTTGGTAACAAAAACCTTTTTAAGCCTAAAATCGATTAAAAATCAAAAGAAAATGACATTTATAAACTAATAAAGTCTATTTCAAATCAAATTGTAAAGATTTTTTTAAGTTATTAAAACCTAGAAAAAATGACATACCTTATAAGCCTCCCGTCGCCAATGTTCCATTTTAGCAGTTTGGACCCTTATCCATAAAGGAACGTCAGGAATAGCCATATCTAGCAAGAATTTGGCAGCCAGAACAACATGTTCTAGTATCACTACTAATAAGACCTGACCACCGAAGGATAGACCGGGCAAAAGTCGCTGGACTAGGCCGCTTTGGCCAATTAAGGCACAGTTTACTACCACTCCTAGAACCCCCATTATCTAAAAAATATTTTTTAAGGTAAAAATTTTAAATGAGTTTAAAAATTTAAAGACTTCATAATTTAAAAAATTTAAAATTTTTCAAAAAAAACACTCCCCCCTCCCCCACCCTTACCTCCATAGCCTTCTGCCAAGCCCCAATGTTCTTGACCTGTCTGCCAAATGGTCTTTGAACAGCATTACAAAGTTTGAACGCATCCACCCTGATCTCTAACATGTTAGAGAACAGGCAAAACACTGCGGCCAACGGAAAAGCTGGAGAGAAGAGTAAAACATAGCCAAATTGAATAAACATCTCCAGGTAATCATCCAACGGCCGAGCATAGACCGTCATCAAACTTTGGAGCTCTGCGTCTGTGAAGACGAATTCTGCAAAATGTATCGTTATTTCAGACGGATCAAAAAATTTGACAAAAAATTATAAATATGTACAAGTAGGGCATGATTAAGTTAACTTAAATTGAAGTTAATATAAAGCAAAGTAAAAAAGAATAAGGCTTTGTCAAGAGCAAGAGTAGAAGTAGGAGTAGAAGCAAGTATAAAGAAAGGGGTACGAGTAAAAGTAGAAGTACGGGCAGTGGCAGGAGAGTAAGGGTGGGGTAAGAATAGACGTAGGAGCAAAGGTTAGACATGAGAAACGGGTCGGCCTTGAGTAAAATTTCGATCGGGCCGGGCCTGAAAATTGCGCCCGGCCCGTTTCTCATGTCTAGCAAAGGTAAGTCTAGAGGTAGAAGTAGGAAGAGTGGTAAGGATAAGGGTAGAGTACGATCAAGGATAGGAAAAGAGCAGAAGCAAGAGTAGAGGCTAGGGTAAGGACAAGAGTAGGAGTCAGGATAGGGGCAAGCGTATAGTCAAAGGTATAGACAAAGATAAGACAAGCGTAAGGAAAAGGGTAAGACTTGGAAAGGGCAAGAGTAGGGAAAATCGTCAGGGCAAGGGTAAGAGCAATGATATGGGCAAAAGTATAGAAAAAGGCAGAGGAAGGGTATAGCAAGGGTAGGAGCACAAGTAGAGTTAAGGGTATAGTCAAAGGTCTGAGAAAAGGTAGTATAATAGTAGAGAAAGCATTGATAGAAGTGAAAGGAGGTATAACCCATAAACTTACTGTCAGTAGGACAAAATTCGGGTAAAGGTAGTCTAGCATTAGAAGAGGCTTGAGGCGTGGCTAGTTTCTAAAATTTGCGATCATTTTAAAAAACCTTCAAAAATCTTTAAATTAATTTAAGAAATCATTTTTAGTTACAAATAGTACAAAAATCGACCTTACAGTAAGTAATTCCACATTTTTGGTCGAAAAATTGCTTCTCCTCAGTCGATTCGGGCTGAATTGATTATCGACCAACGTGCTTGGCCTTTTCACTCCCAAACTATGCCCATTCTCCTCAATTTTAGTACCATTGGCATCATTTTGAGTAGCTTTACCATTAGTTATACCTTCATTTTCATCATTCGAAAACCTGAATGACACTTCATTTTCGACCAAATTTTCAAAATCTGGGCTTTTTCCGTCTTTATCGACTGAAGTTTGTCGTCGTATCTTCTCTTCCTTTGCGATTTCGACGTGCCGTCGTAGGGAACGTTCACTCAACGTTCTCGTCATTCTGTAGCTCAATCTCCAGAATTTCAATCGTTCCATGACGAAAGGGGCGGCAACTTCAAAGAAGTTTTGAGTGAATTGGCGAGCGAATAACAGGGTGGCTAATGTCTAAAATATTTTAGTTATATATTGTATTTATGGTGTAAAATACGAATTTTTAATTTAAAACGTAAAATACGATTTGTTCTAATAATATCTCATTTTTGAACATTATCAACAGTAATTTTGTTACTTACATCTCGTAGCCGTTTCATATCGTTCATGAAGAAAGCAATGTAAAAAAGTGATCCAAATGCACTGACACATTGAAATAAGGCGATTTTTGTGATTAAAAACGTCTCGTACTCGTCGTCTGTTCGGTAGTTTTCTGGAAAAAGTCATGTTTATAAGATAAGAGTAGAGTGGCGAAATTTAAGATAGAGTAAGATATAATAAAGTAAGGAAGATAGAGACGAGTAAACTAGGATAAGTAAAGGCAAGATAGGATATAATAAGATAGTGTAACATACCAAGATCATTGAAAAACAAAGCCAAGTGCCGATATAACTGATCGGCGACCATAACCATTAAGGCATAAATGACTATAGGAACGTATATTAACCATGATAAGAAGAACGAGTCTTGGAAGTACCTAAATATTTTTATGCTAACATCATCAAAATGTTACCTAAAATAATATTTTTAACCAAAATTTAAAAAATGCATTTTTAAGCTGAATTATTACCTAAAATAATATGTTTTCTCACAACCTACTCTAAATTACCTTATCTCACCCTACACTACAACACACTACCCTACCCTACCGTATCTTATCCAAGTCTAAGCTGCTCTACCTCACCTACACAACCAACCAAATTTTAAAAATAAATTATACCTAAACTTTTAAGTTTTCATCAAAATTCCATAAACTTACTGTTCAGTAACATCCTGTAGATACAGTAAAACAAACATCATCAAGAACATAAACAAACAACAAAGTAAAGTAATCGGATATGTCACTCCAAACCGTATGATGGCATGTTTCCAATGTGGATAGTGAGGTTCAATTCGTCCTGAGACTGGGTTCGGCGCTAGATCGCCTTTGAAGGCTGGCCTTGGATCGTCCATCAGTGGGTCACGTTCTACATCGTATGTGCCCCATTGGAAGGCTAGTTCGGCTTGACGGCGCTTCCAATGCTCGATGTAAGCAGTCGACCACACACAATTGAAGAAGGCAAAGATGACGAAACATATGTCACTGAATAACTGAAAGAAACCGTATTAGATATAACCTAACTTTCTCTACCTTACCCTTTACCCTACCCTACTCTAGCTTACCGTACCCTACCCTATCCTATCCTACTCTACCCTATCATACCGTACCCTATCTTACCCTACTTTACTTTACCCTACCCTCCCTTACCTTACTCTTGTAGTCCTTACCTTAACCTGATATCATAACCCACACTGACAGCAACTTAACAACTTTTTAACATAATGTCAATACCCACTGTATTCAATACCTACCGTATTTCCATCCTCTCCATCACAAACACCTTCCTCATCAATTTGGCCACAGTAATGCTTACTTTCATTACCCACGCCCCATTGTAGCATCCACAAGATCAACCCGAATATAGCTGGAGCTCCCAAAGCAGCTGTCAAATGACCTAACCAAGCGAAATACATGGCAATTTCAGTGCCAAAGTAATCTTTAATCGAGTCCAACGGCTGAAGATCAAATGTCAATACCCACTTTCGTTGAAGATCCTTCAGCTCTTCGGCGTCGTGCAATGGTAGAACGTGATCTACTAAACCGTGCCGACCGGAGCGGAGGAATGTGACTGAAAGTTTGAAGTTAATATCAAAGGTTTACAGTTAATAACTTAAAAGAAGGGTTCTGTAAGACTAAATAAAGAGTACTGTAAAGCTAGCAACGCCTGAGAAAAAACCTACTCAGCGGCCGCCCATCAGGAACAAAGTTACATTGTTCATCCTTCAGCCCAATCTGATACGTCAACCCTCCATTAGGCGACCTTATCATATCCAACATTTGCTTCACAATCATCGTCCTTTCCATTTGACTGAAGAAACTTTCTTTACACTCAATATTCAAAAAGCATTGAGCTTCATCAAAAGCAAACTCCCTCATTCCACCCCCATAAATGGGTTTTAACTCCTTTTTCAAGTGACATAGCTCAGCCCCTTCAGTAAACTGACGTATGTTGCTGTAATGTAAAGGGCATAACAGTTGGTGAGGGTGTGGTAACGGACTTCCACTTTAAATTGAGGTTCTAGGCGTTTTAACTAAAAATTTTAAACTTTTAGGTTGGAAAGAAAGTTTTTGCAATTTTATGCATTACAAGAAAGTATTTTTGACATTTCCTGGCTATGTAAAGGAAGTTCTTGCAATTTTCTGCCATTTCAAAAAATTTCTACAAATTTTTTGTTTTGTAAAGAAAGTTCTTGCCATTTTACTCTTTTAAACTAAATTTCTGCCATTTTTAATTAAAACAAAGTTCAAAAATTCAAAAACTGAAAAAATTATTATAGAAGTAAAACACTTACCACATCAACCAGCCAAACACATTGAATTTTGGCCAATTCCTGTTCCCGGCTTTTCAAAGCTACTACAATATCACATTTTGGCGAAATCACAGAATTTTGCGATAAATTCGAATAAAGTGCAAATCTTTGACCTAAAATTACAATTATTACCTAAAAATTCAAATTTCAAACAAAAAAAATATTTTTTTCTGAAAGGCCCGTCAGAATAAAACATTGACGTCTTTGCAGGCTGCGCGACTCGGACGCAGGTCGCAATGTTGGTTTTTTTGTTTTGTAGGTAAAACTTGAATAATAGGATTGATAATGATGAACTATGAAGCTTTATGTAGAAAAGTACTATATTTTTTTAAAAATTTATAATTTAAAACTAAATCTGTCGAAAAAACTGACCTTCAGCTATCCCATCTTGAATAATTGATCCTAGTTTCTGTTTGAACATGGACTGGAATGTTTCTGTTATGCTACCGTCTGAAAAAGATTAGAGAGTCATTGTAACCAGTTTTTTAATTATAAATTCAAATTTAAAATAAGTTATGAGACAAAAACTGCAAAAAAAATTATAAAAATAAGGAAAAATTAGTGAATTTTTAGCGTCTTTTAATTTTTTCTGTATATTTAGGTAACAAAAAATTTTAAATTCACTATTCATAGAATCAGCAGAGATTGCTTTGTCAACTGGTGTAAATAAAAAAATGTTTGTATTTTAGTTTTTTTTAATTTAACCTTTTTCTCAACCATATCCTTTATTTTTCCCTGAAAAACCTCAAAACCCTCAAAATTTTTAAGTTTGAACCAATTTTTTAAACAAAAAATACGAAATTTTGTATTTTTAGAATGGTATGGTAACACTGGACAGGTCGGGCACTTTCTTTGTTAGCTAAAAATTAAAAGTTCCTTACTTTTTTGAAATTTTTAAAACATTTCTTATCAAGAAAAAATTTTAAATCGACATTATTATGGTCTACAGACCTTGGTTTATCAACAGGTTTAAACATAATTATCAAAAAACTTTTCAATTTTCTGTTTTGTCCATTTTTCATCATGCCCCCAATTCTTAGCCAAAACTTCTAAAAAAACCCTCTCAAAACCCTTTAAACTACTCTGATAAGGTCATGTCACCCCAAAACCACTATTTATATTAAACATATCTGTTCAAACGCATGATTAATAAACATATCCGTTCAAGTTTTGTTTGTCCTCATGAACCCTTGGCCCAGGAAAAAGCGACCAGAAAAGAGCATTTAAAGCGAGCGGCCGAAAAAAGAGAGAATGGAAGAAAAGCGAGAGGATTTACGCCCAAATATGGATGGTAGAATGGAAGATACGAACGCGGCGAGAAAGGCCAAAGTAAGTCGGAATCGGAAATTAGCCCTGGGTTTGTATAAACGCTCGAAATTGGCCAGGGAAAGGGGAGGTTGGTTTAAAATTTTGGGTTTTGAGGTAGTAGGAAAGGATTTTGCGTTATGAACATTAGGAGAGAAATGGTAAAGTTACTGTAACCTTATCAGTTTTGAGATTTCAAAACAATGTTTTGCATTTTTGTTGGCAATAAGATACTCTATCATGTCTTAATTTATCACATTTTTATTGTTAATTTAAAAAAAAGTTATGATTTTTTTTGTAAAAATATTAACAAGGAAGGTACCCGACCTGCAACGCATTTTTTTCAAAATTAAACTTAAGAACATGAAAATTCTGGTAAAGATAAATCATCTTATTGTCAACAAAAGTCCAAAAAATCTTTTTCAAATCTTAAAAATTAGCAAAATTACAGTAATTTTATCGTTTTGTAGACCGAAGTGAGCTTAGAATCGGGGGATGTTTCAAAATCAACATAGATTGGTATAGGAAAAATAAAATTTTATAGTTTTTACTGCGTATTTAAAAAAAGCGGTACTATAAAAAAACAAAAAGGATTTTGACTATTGTTTGACGGCCGAAGTAATATATAATATAAACAACAAGATATCACAAAAAAACTACATATATAGATTTTAAGAAAATTTTTGACCGTCACAAAACAAAAATACATACTGTGGAACTACAGAGAGTTTTCGTTATATATACAGTGGAACTCATGTATAAAAAACTCCTCTATAACGAAACTCCCATACAGTGTTTTGCCGGACCCGTCCGGTCCGGACCGGACCAAAAGAAAATAGAGCCGGACCGGACCGAAAATTTTCCGGACCGGACCGGACCGAAAAAAAAGTTCCGGACCGGTCCGGAAAAAAAATTTTTTTTATTTTAATAAAACTGTTTTAAAAATTGCAATTAAAACATATTTTTAAGAGTTTTTAAACGTAAGGAAAGCAGTTTGAGCGCTCCTGGCTCTTTTTAAAAATAAAAAAAAATTTTCCGGACCGGACCTGACCTGAGCGAAAAAAATTAGAGCCGGACCGGACCGGACCGAAAATTTTTCGGACCGGACCGGACCGAAAAAAATTCTCATCCGGACCGGTCCAGCAAAACACTGCTCCCATATAACGAACAAATTTCAAATCTCTGAGCCATTTGTTATACAAGAGATCCACTGTATTTATAAAATAGTTATATTGAAGATTGTAATACAAGGGTTTCACAGTGTATCACAATTAAAAACTAAAGAATTCTTAAAAGAAAAAGCTTTAAAATTCTTGAAAATTTTTTTGGAAAAGATGTGGCTAATAAATAAAACATATGTGGTGATCAGTGGCTGTTTAACATAAAGAAAAACATAACATAAGATGATTGTATGTTTTCAAAAGTTATTAAGCTATTAAATAATTATAAATCTCAAAAATATTTTTAAAAATAAAAAAAATTTTCAAAATTTTGTAAAATACGCCTTTTAAGGCGCTTAAAAGCCGTAAACTTTAATTTTTTAAACTTTTAAAATTTTGCTATTTTATTTTAAAAAAATAATAAAACACTCACCATGCTGAATCTTAATCTGTGGTAAACTTTTCCGACTGTCCATTATACTCTCATGGCCAAGTTTCATTTTAGTTTTGGCACCACGAGGCTGAATTGCCATTGTTTGAAGTATCAGATCAAAAGCGGTTTGAGCTGTTCGAACCCAAAACTTCCGGCATTTTTGAACAAAACAGTTGGCTCAACTGGATCTCAATTAAAAAGATAAAACTAATTTATGTATTTTTCTAGTGTTTATCAACATTTTTAGGTGTTTTTTGGTTGAAAACAAGAGTTTTTGAGGTTGGAATTTAAAGATTGTTCATTGATAAAAATTTAAAATAAAGTATGGATAACATTAGAATTCGACTAGGCTTCAAAATGCCTAGAAAAGCTTAGAATTGAGGTAAAGGTAAGGCAGAGCCATGTTAAGAGAAAACTAGGCTTAGGATTAAGGTTAAAGCTAGGGCTGAGGCTAGGACGAAGGCTAGGACTATGGCTAGAGCTGAGGTTAGAACTGAGGTTAGGGCTGAGGCTCGGGCTGAAGCTAGGGCTGAGGCTAGGGGTGATGCTAGGGCGAAGGCTAGGACAATGGCTAAGGCTGAGGCTAGGGCTGAGGATAGGGCTGAGGTTAGGGCTGAGGTTAGGGCTGAGGCTAGGGCTGAGGCTAGGGCGAAAGCTAGAACAATTGCTAGGGCTAAGGCTGAGGTTAGAGCTGAGGCGAGGGCTCAGTCTAGGGCTAGGATTGAGGCTAGGGTTGATACTAAGGCTGAGGCTAAAGCCAGGACTAAGGCTAGTACTAAAGCTACTAATCAGGCTAGGGCTCAGGCTAGTGCTAGGGCTAGAACTAAAGCTAGGGCTCGGGATAGGGCTCAGGCTAGGACTGAGGCAATGTCTGAAGCTAGAAATGTACTAACGCTCAAGTTATGGCTCAGGCCAAAACTCAGGCTAGGGTAAGAGCTGAGATTGGGTTCAGGATAAGGTCGAAGCTAGTTCTGAGGCTAGCTTTAGCTCTGAAACTTAAGCTAGGGCTAAAGCTGTTCAAAATCAAAGTTGTAGCTAGACTACTGTTAAAGTGAGGTTCGAAAACTGCTAGAAGTAAGGTTATAACACGTGTAACGTAGGCTTATAATAAGCGTCGGACAAGAAATGCAGAAATTAGATATAGATTAGAGCTATGTTTGTGGATACAGTAGGGCCACTTTAATAGTAAATTTGGTTTCGATAATGATTGTCCTAAAAAATTCAAGTTGAGATCAAGTTTATTATCAAAGCACAAATAAGGTTTAAATTGTGGCCCTGAAGAGGGCCGTTTGGGATCAGAGTTGTGCTCGGGGCATAAGCAAGAGGGCAGTAGTCTCCACGTCAAGCAAGATGAACAGCTAGTCCATTAACTTAAGCTTGGGAATCACCAGTCTTCTTGGGCAACAAGATGGCGTTGATGTTGGGCAACACACCACCCTGAGCGATGGTGACACCAGCCAAGAGTTTGTTCAATTCCTCATCGTTCCTCACGGCCAATTGCAAATGGCGTGGGTTGATTCTGGACTTTTTGTTGTCGCGGGCGGCGTTACCGGCCAACTCCAACACTTCGGCGGCCAAGTACTCCAACACGGCAGCCAAGTAGACTGGAGCTCCAGCTCCAACACGTTGAGCGTAGTTGCCTTTGCGGAGGATACGGTGAAGACGACCTACAGGGAACTGAAGTCCGGCTCTCGATGAGCGAGACTTGGCCTTTCCGCCGGTCTTGGCTTTGCCTCCTTTTCCACGTCCAGACATGATCGTTTGGGGTTTTGAGCGCTGATCGAACCAAAAATTGGTATGAAGATGAGGAAGGGACTACTTCGGTTTATATAGTTTCTATTGGAGTGGGCGGGGTTTTTGGGAAAGGCGCGAAACGAGTGGGCGACGATGTTGTTGTAGCCAGCGCCGCTGACCTCGGCTAAAAGCGCGCGCGCGCCTTTTCTAAGCTGCTAGCGATGAAGAAAATGACAGGAAAGCAAAAGAAATATTGGACATGCTATATCTAACAAGATAATGAATAGTAAAACAATAAAATATTAATTTACCCAAAAGAAAACAAAATATAAATTACATTAAACTCGTCAAAACAAAGCAAAACAGAATAATTCATATACAATATCATATGAAATTATTATCAGTTATCAGATACATCATTCAAAGTAATTTTCAATTATCAAACTAATCATTCAACACCAGTTCATTGATTTTCAGGGAGTTGCGCGGCCAAAAAGTCGTTCAAAAAATTATTTTTTCGTTTTTTCCTGATTTTTGAGCTAACTGTTAAGTTCTTCATCGTTTTTTTCAGTAAATATTTCAAGATTTTTAAAGGATAGGGTAGGAAATTCATGCTTTTACTTTCTTCAAACTGTATTTTTGTATTTTATGCAAAAAATCTGTTGAAAAATGGCAAAATTCATGGATTTTGTCTTCTCAAGGTAATTGATCACAATATTCGTTCTAAAGCAAGCTATATTGTTAGTTTAACATTAGTATTGCTCTAAAAAGTATTAGAATTCATCTACTATTAATATTTGATCTAAAATTATGTGAAAAGTTGATCTGAAAGTAAGATTCTGTCTAAAACGTTGAAAAATGGATTCAACAGCTTGGACGAAGGGAAGTTGATGTAGATTTAGAGCACATTTTGGAATTGGACATGAATCAGCTTTGAGTAAAGGTTGCTGAAGTTTGAGAGAGATTTGGTGACAATTTCAATGGAATTTTGGTAAGTATTTTATTATTTCGTTGTATGTTTAGGTTAATATAAACTTTATGGGTTGGGTAAGATGGAAATCAAAGGAAGGGATAAGTGTTGTGAAGTCTTTATTGCGATTTAAAAGCGTATTTTAGGTAATGTATGTGTAAAGATTAGCTGAAGATGAACTTTTTCAAATGGCTATGTTATTTTAAGTAATATTTGGGTGAATATTGGTTGTAAAAGGGCAAAAATTGTTAAAAAAATCAAATTTTGATTTGATTATTCTTCCAAAGTGCAAATTTTTAAATTTCAGACAATATTTTTTTTAAATTTCATTGTCATTTACAATTTATCAGTCTTTTATCGAAATTTTGCAGTCAGGAGCGGTTGCTTTGTTCAGTTCTCAGTATCTGTGTTCAAGAACCTTGGCCAGAGAATGGGTGATGAGTTGGTGGAGTTCAAGATTGGCAAAGTGGTTTGTGGTAAATGGAAAGTCATGGAGAAGCTTGGAGCTGGTGGATGTGGGGCTGTGTACGAAGTGGCAGAACCAAATCGGCTTCGATATCGAGCGGCTTTGAAGGTATGAGGTCTTTGAGTCTTATTTGTATGATTTTTGTTGAATATCTGGCTAGAAGTGGCTTGTTATTTTGGTTTTTGTTGTTATAGGTACAAGAATGTATCTTTTTTAAAAGAAACCTGTCAGAAGAGAGAATATACTTCAAGTTTTATATTGTTTTAGGTTCAAAAATCTACAGATTTACTAATCATAGCCCTTTTCTTTACAAAAACAGCTTAAAATAGGTAACAAAGACACAAATTTTCAGGTCGAGTCAAACAACATTGAAGACGGCGGAGTTCTGAAGCTGGAAGCCGAAGTTTTAACCAAGCTGTCTTCACGAAAAAAGTGTATCCGCCTTCTGAATTCGGGGAAACGAAAAACCTACTCGTTCATCGTCATGACTCTTTGTGGACCTGATCTCATGTTTCTGAAACGAGTTGATGCCGATAAGAAATCCATGTTCAAACACGTTGACAACCGTTTTTCGCCTGAAACTGGCGTTAGGATTGGAGTGCACGCTTTGTATGCTATCAAACAGGTGGGGGTTAGTCGAAAAGTTTAGGGAATTTTGGTTTTTTTGGTCGAAAAGTAGAAAGAGCTGGGGTTTTTTGGTCCAAAGTTTGTTCAAATAATTCTGTACCCCCTTAACTCCGAAAATTTGCTTAGGGGTACAGAATTATTTGAAACACCTAAATAAAACTCAACTTCAGCTCCACGAAATTGGCTACGTTCACCGTGACGTCAAGCCAGGGAACATGGTCATCGGCGTCAGCGGCTACGACACTCGTGTCATCTTCATGATCGACTACGGTATGGTACGCTCCTACGCCGGACCAGGACCAGACGGCAAAATGCAGTTACGCAAAGCCAGAAACAAGGTGCTACTGAGAGGCACGCTACGCTACTGCTCATTGGCTGTTCACGAACGTCGCGAGCAAGGCCGGGTCGATGATTTGTGGTCGTTGATGTACATGTTGGTGGAATTGTTGGTTGGTCTACCGTGGTCGAATGAGACGGAAGAAGCGCCATTGAAGGATGTTAAGCAGGGTACCACTTGTGAAAAGTTGTTTCAGGGCTGCCCTCGGGAGTTTAACAAGATTACGGACCATTTGAAGGAGCTGAAGTATGATAACCGACCGAATTATCGACTGATCTACGATTGTGTAGGTGATTTTGGGGTTTTTAGCGTTTTTTGTACTATAAGGTAACATTTTGATGAATTTTTGTGTGTTTTCTTGTTGTTTTTGATATTTTTGGTATGTTAAGGTACACGTTCGATGATTTTTTGTGGTTTTAAGCCTACAATTTAGTGTATTTTATAATTGAACTTTCGTATTTTACATATTTTATAAATTTACGGCTGTTTTTTAGTTTATTGAATCGATGAAACGAATGAAGGTGACCTTCTCTATGCCATACGACTGGGAAGAGAAGGTGGATACTGCAGACTTTTCGGCTCTGAGCATTTCTGAAGGAAGAAACGAGAAAAACAACAAAAAACCAACACGTAAGTTTTTAAAAATTTGAATTTTGGTACTTGAAAATTTAGGTTTTTAAAATTTTTCTATGGTTTGGTACTTAAACAATGGCGATTTTTTAAATTCTATAAATTAAAGTGGCTTTTTTAATCAATGGTGGTTTTTTGATTTTTTGTGGTTTAATCAAACTAATAAGCGTTATTGATAATGAAAAGCATTAAAAAGTAAGAAAAGTAAGTATTTTAGCCGAAGAATACGAATGGAAGTGCTATCCTACTACTGACCCTAAGGCATTCGACGAAAAAGTGATTGATGTATGAGTTTTACTGAATAAATAGTGTACTGATTAGCCTTTAGGACTGGATTTTTACTTTGTTTCTGAAAATTAACATGCCGAGGTTGGCTTGAACTTTTTTTCATTTTTTCTGGGGGGAGGTTAAAATTTAAGTTTTTAAGGACAAGGTGAGGATATAAGAAAAGCTAGTGTAAAAATGAGATCTTTATTCAAAACAACCGTTAAAATATGGCAAAATTTCAATTTGTGGCCCTAAAGAGGGCCGTTTGGGATCAAACTGATGCTGCGTGAAGGAATAAGCACGGAACGTTGAGATATACCATATCAAACTAGCATGTACCACCTTATCCACCGAAACCGTACAAAGTTCTGCCTTGACGTTTCAAAGCATAGACCACATCCATAGCAGTGACGGTCTTTCTCTTGGCGTGCTCACAGTAGGTGACGGCGTCACGGATCACGTTCTCCAGGAACACCTTCAACACACCACGGGTCTCCTCGTAGATGAGGCCAGAGATACGCTTGACTCCACCACGACGAGCCAGACGGCGGATGGCGGGCTTGGTGATGCCTTGGATGTTATCACGGAGCACTTTGCGATGACGCTTGGCGCCACCTTTACCGAGACCTTTTCCTCCCTTTCCACGTCCAGACATAGTTGACTTGATTCCAAGTTGAACGAACGAGTCGTATGAAGGGGTTGTGGGATTGGGCTGGTTTATATAGTTGGTGAGGGTTTCAGAGGGCGGGGCTTATTTGTGGGAAGAAGAGGGGGTAGCGCGAAGAAAGGATGGGAGGGTGGAGAGCGCTACGGGGACGGGACGAAGAGGTGAGAGTAGGAAGGGTAGGTCAAGAGAGCGCGAGGGTAGAGAGGGTTTGGCGGGAATGGTCAGCGAGCGATTAAGGCTTGGTGAAGATAAAAACGCGGTGAAATAGCAAAAAAAGCGGGATAAACAAATAGTTTGGCACAGGGAAGTCGCTAGAGAGAGAGAGAGAGGGGATGAACATCTCATGGCCTATCCGAAAAATACTGTAAATTTTTTTTGGCTTTCCTCTTCCTTCTAAAATCTGTAACTACATTCTTAATTGGGCAGATATTGGCGCGGTAAATCTATAACAAATACAGTAAGATCTAAAAAAATATGCCAAAAGTATATCTGAAAATAAATAAAAAATTAATTTGAAAATTAATTTTATGGACTAATATCAAGTTTTATAAAGTGTAAAAGTAGTTTTAAGTAGAAGAACACGTCAATTTTTTAACAAAAATTTTTTTTATTGAGAGAAAAAACACCCCTACATTAGCGGTTTGCCCTGGCTCTAACTTTTCTTTAGATTTATCACACCTTTTTCTTATTAGATATATTTATTTCTAACTATTAAAATGACTTTTTTTACTATTAGAAAAAGCGGTAGAGCCAAACCTTTGTAGTATGACACTAAAGATGCTGGTCCAACTCACTATAGTATGAAACGTAAGGACTGATCCAACTCTCTATAGTAACACACACAAAGCGACTGCTTCAACTATCTTTAGTATTTATGACTCTCAAAGGACTGGTCCAGGCCTATCCTTACAACCAAGGTGTCACACTACCCAGGTACTGTTGGATAACTGTCCTACTATATTACAAAACGCCGACAAGAAGCTGCCATTATAAAGAGGGTTTCAAACTATAGTGCACTATCAAGGGTCATACTAAAGAGGTTTCACTGTATTACATTACAATATCATTTTTTGTATATTACTATACTTCTTCATTGAACAACTGAACAAGAGATGCCAAATACTAGGTAAAATACGTTTCCACGGCCTTTGTGAAATTTTTTAAAATTTTTAATGAAATTTGAAAAAATCTTGTACGTTCAAATAATAATGAGCCCTACAAAATTCAAATTGAGATCAAGTTTATTCACAAAGTACAAACAAATAGGTACAGGTTCAATTGTGGCCCTAAAGAGGGCCGTTTGGGATCAAATGGTGGAGCGTTCAGAAGCGGCTACAACTCGACCAATTTACTTGGATGAGGTGTACTTGGTGACGGCCTTGGTGCCTTCGGACACGGCGTGCTTGGCCAACTCTCCAGGCAGAATTAGACGAACCGAGGTTTGGATTTCGCGGGACGAGATGGTGGACCGCTTGTTGTACTGGGCCAGTCTGGAGGCTTCGGCGGCGATACGCTCGAAGACATCGTTGACAAAGGAGTTCATGATGCTCATGGCTTTGGAAGAGATTCCAGTGTCGGGGTGAACTTGCTTCAGGACACGGTAGATGTAGACGGAGTAGGTCTCCTTTCTGGCCTTTCTCCGCTTCTTGCCGTCGGTCTTGGCCACCTTGGTGGACTTGACCGCCTTCTTCGCGCCCTTGCCGGTTGGTTTTGGTACCATAGTTGATCTCAGGGATAGTGTCGGAACACAATGAGGTTTTAGGGTGAAAAGCGTTTGTTTTTATAGGGGCTGGTGAGCGGGAGAAGGGGATGGGCGGGGCTAGCGGAACGATGGTCGCGAAGAGTTGGGTTCCCGCCGAAAATGTCCTCGCTAGCGATAACCAGTGGGGGTTTCGCGCCAAAATGAGCTAGAAAAGAGCCAGTTGAAACTTTTAAAAAGTAAGTATAAGGCTTAATAGAACACAAAAATGGTAAGTAATAGAACTCTTATTAAAAATTACTTGGGTATTGGGACACTCTGGTTAAAGCGACAGACCTGGACCAGTCCCTTGAGTATCATACTAAAGAGGGTTGACTGTACCAATGTTAAAATGAAGTTTTATGACAAAATTATTTTGTACTATTTACGTGCACAACAATATACAGTAATATCAGGTTGAACAAAAAGTAGCGGGACGCTTGTGAGTTGAAAAATGAATATTATGTGTCGACATAAAGAACCCGCCATACTTTTCCTATAATTTCCTGTAAAAAATGGCGGGTTTTTTATGTCGGCACCTAATAAAAAGTGTCTTGCTACTTTTGGTTCAATCTAATACACACTAAAAACTAAGACTTCGTTAGATAAAGCAGGTCTAGTTATAGTAAACATGATTATCAAATTGTGTAACACTTTAGTTGTATTTGAAATACGGTTGGTAAAGAGTACTATATTTGTATTATTGTAGATGTTAGTAGTTGTTTTATGTGTTCATCTTTTTTTTACAGTACTTTTTCTAATTGTTGATCTTTACAATAGTTGTCCTAGGTGTTGACCCTTATCTAAAAATCAAAAAATCTCAAAACAAATTTATTCACAACAATAAATATGGCACTTTCAAATTGTGGCCCTAAAGAGGGCCGTTTGGGATCAGTAATTCTTCAGAAGCTCAAAGTCCACATAGAGATCATACTCAACCATCTTAAGCACGTTCACCACGGATACGACGGGCCAACTGGATGTCCTTGGGCATGATGGTGACTCGCTTGGCGTGGATGGCGCACAAGTTGGTGTCTTCAAACAAACCGACCAAGTAGGCTTCGGAAGCCTCCTGGAGAGCCAAGACAGCGCTGGACTGGAATCTCAAGTCAGTCTTGAAGTCTTGGGCGATCTCACGGACCAACCGTTGGAAGGGCAGTTTGCGGATCAACAGTTCGGTCGACTTCTGGTAACGACGGATCTCACGGAGAGCGACGGTGCCTGGCCGGTAACGGTGAGGCTTCTTGACTCCGCCGGTGGCTGGGGCCGATTTGCGGGCGGCCTTGGTGGCCAACTGCTTCCGTGGGGCCTTTCCTCCAGTGGACTTGCGAGCGGTTTGCTTGGTACGAGCCATTGCTTTTTTTCGTCGAAGACTGATGGCTATAACATCGCGCGCCAGGCTTTTATATGAACTGGGAAAGGGTGGGGCGGGGTTTAATTTCGGGGTGGGAGAGAAGGGGAAGGGGGAGGGAGGGGGATGGGGGTGATAGGGTGGCGCTTCTGAGCTTGGAAGTGGACCTTGAGTTGAAAAATGGACTTCACTTTGCGCCAAAAAAGGTTTATTTTTTAAGAAATAAGAGTAACTTACAATAAGTTAATCATAAAATTTAAAAAAATAAAAGGTGAGGCAGGGTAGGGCAGGCAGGGCAGGGAAAGAACCGGTCAAAACAAGGAAAGGCAGGGTAGGGAAAAAGCAAGGTAAAGCAGGGCAGAGAAAAGGGTAGACAAAAGCAACGTATTGTATGAAAAGGCAGGGAAAAACAAGGCAAAGTAAAGTAGGGCATGGCAGGGTAAAGCATGACAAGACAGGGCAGGAAAAGGGTAAAGAAAAACAAGGCAGGACAGCGAAAAGGCAGGACAAGGCAAGGCGTTACAAAGCAGGATAGGATAGGCTATGTTAACGTAATGTAGGGTAGGTTAGAGCAGGGCACAGCGAGGAAGGATAGGATGGGGTAGGGTAGGATAGGGTGGAGTAGAGTTAGTTATGATAATATAGAGTAGGGTACGGTAGAAAAACGTTACTTAAACTTACAAACGTCCTTTCATATCTAGAAGCTATTAATATACTATAGTTAAAGCTGTTTATAAACAACAACAACACTTGAAATTCAACAAAACTTTAAAAAATTAAGTAGAATGCAGAAATATTGATTAATGATATGCTATAATATATTATATAAAAATATGTACATTTCTAAATAAAATAAAAGTATACAGATATGTATATTTACAATTTTGTAAGAAACGATATGTACAGTTACAACTCGATAAGACTAATGCATCTGAAGTACAGTAAAGGCTTGAAAAATAAGGTTCTCATAACAATAATAATCTAAAGATATACCAGTAACTCATTGAGCAACTTTTTCAATATCACTTTTCTCATTTTTCAACTCAACAGTAAATGCCGCAGGCTCAGAAGTGGCAAACTTATAGAAAACACAATTCGAAAAGAACAGTAGCACTGCTACACTCAAGAATATGACTCTCCATTGAGCCTTATTCGTCTCATCCTGTACCAACAACGCCACCATAACTGGTCCCAAGAATAGTACTATGCACTTCAAGAATTGACAGTTGGCAATGACAAAGTGACTGTACTGTCTTGCATACAGTACTCCTTGTTTGTAGAAGCCACCACAAGCTGCTCCGGTTACTGTATTCAGTAGGCCGATGCATAAAACGGCTAGGAATGACAGGTCGTCTGGGACAAAGCCAATGGCTACGTAGAAGACTCCTGCTCCGGCTACGGTGATTGTGTTGAACAGCATCAGCTTGGCGGTTTCTGATAAACATCTGAAGATAAAAAAAGTTAAAATTTTAAAATAAATAAGTAGGTAATAAGCAAAAAAGACATGGACCGGGTGGAGAAAGGCAGGGCAAGCAAACGCAAGGACAAGCCAACAAGGGTATTGCAATTGTAAGGCAAGGGTATAATAGGGCAGGGCAGAACTAAGCCGGAAAGGGCAGAGCAGTACAGAGCAAGGTAAAGCAAGGCGAGGCAAAGCAAAACAAGGCAAAGCAAGGCAATGCAAGGCAAGGCAAAGCGAGACCGTAAGAAGTAGAGTAGGGTACGATAGGTCAGATAGGGATGGTGGAGTAGAGTAGTAATATAAATGATATAAATTTTAAAAACTCACTTAATCTGATCGCTCAAAACTCCACAAAGTAGCCTAAACGGTACTTGAGCAACTCTAGAGATCGCTGATAAATGTCCAGTAGCCTCCACAGAATAATTCAACACATTCTTCATATAGTAAGGTGCATACACAGCAAAGAAGTTGGTTGAAAAAATCTCAGTGAATGCATTCAAATACACCACCCATATCACAATATCAGTCAGAATCGCCTTGTACGGTGTATTCTTTTCACCGTGAATCTGAGCTTCAGTCTTGTCACGTTGAATCTTCTCTAACTCAACGTCTGTCACACGGTGGGTCTCATGAGGTTTGTCAGTGTAGTACATGAACCAGAAAGAGAAGATGATCAGGCTTACCACGCAGTGACCGTAGAAAACCATCGGCCAACCATACGATGAGTTACACACCATTCCACTGACAGAGTTGGTGATACCAGTCGATAATGGTGAGTAGGAGGTCAGCACTCCTAAGAAAAGGCCGTTTTGCTTTAGTGAAGCCCATTTGGAACAGACCATGCCTACGGCTGCGAAGTCGGCTGCATAGGCTACTCCCTATAATATCATGAAGAGTAAAGTACTAAGGCTGCGTAGAGTAAGCTAGAGTAAAGTAATCCTAAAATACGCCACTACTCATCACCTTACCTGCATAAACCTCAAAACCAATAAAAAGTAGATATTAGTCATTGCTGCCACTGGCATCAACCCAGTTGCCAAAGCTGATATCAGTCCAGCTGTTAGAAACGGATACTTTGCTCCATACCTTCCATAAGCCTCGGTAAACGGAATCGTGGCAAAAGCTGTCCCAACGCCAACGGCCGCATTGATAACCGACAGCTCACTCGGAGTGTAGTCTATGGTCGGGTGAGGGTTTGGAATGTAGTGCTGGAACAGAATTTTAATTAAAATTTTAATATAGTTTCAATACACCCTCCGTATTTTACAAAAAAAAGTTTTTGAAAGTTATTTAATAATAAAAAAGCTCGTTATAATCAAAATAAAAGGTACGACTATAATTTAAAGTAAAAAAAGTTTAAAAATCATATAAAAACAGGGCGTAGTAGAAAAAGAGTAAGGAAGTTAAGGATGGGTATATTATGGTAGGGCAAGGGTTAAACAAAAAGAAGAAAAATAAAGTAGGGCAAAGGTATAGTAAGGTTAATGGAAGAGCAAGGCAAAAACAGAGCAAGAACAGGGCAAAGATTGGGCAAAGATAAGGCAAGGGTAAGTTAAAGAGAAAGAAAGTCTTGAACACGGATAAGGCAAAGGTTAGGCAAGGATAAGACAGGGGTAAGAAAAGAGTAAGGCTAGAATAAGACATGTACATATAAGGAAAGAGTAAGCTGGGATAAGGCAATAAGCAAAGGTAGAGCAAGAGTAGGACCATTCCTTAGGTTTTAAAATTTAGGTAATAATTTAAGCCTAAAATCAAAAAAAAACTTAAGTAAAGTGTCAATTTTTTCTTAATTTTAAGTGACACGTCAAGCCTAAAATTTGTAAATTAAGCTAAAAACATTACTTCGAAACTTAGAGCAGCGTATTTTACCTTAAAAATGTTTAAATAACAAAAAGTTACAGTAAAGCCTACCGTTTCGTTATGATGTGCATCGGAAGCCATGCAGACTTGTGCAATGTTGAAGGCCAACATGTTTGATGATATTGAGGTTAAGGCCAAACATCCTACGATTAAAATTAGGTACCTGAATCTGTGAGGGAATAGCTTGTCTGATATCATGGTCTCAAGTTACAGTATGAAACTGTGGTACAGTAACGTATGTTAAGACTAATGTATGATGTCCGCAGGGCTTGGTACTGTAATATACCAAAGTTTTGGTCGTATTATAGTGGTATGAAGCTAATATTAATTATACCAAATGATAGTACAGTACTGTAGTAAAACTATCACTCAAATTTCCTACAGTAATATCTTCAAATAACTACCAAATCACTACAGTAATGTAGCACACCGCGGAAAGTAGGTTTCAATCTGAAAGAACACTTTTAGATAAACAAGATGGTATGTATGAACAACAATTTTGTGAAACGTAGGTAAATAAACATATATTGGGATTTGTGACTTTGCAAAAGGAAGGTCTATCAACGACAAATCTAATTATAGCGGGGTTCATAGTTGGGTTAACTAGGTGTTGCCATTGTTGCGTCACAAAACCAAGGCATATCTATTTGTACTATGTTTCTAATGTTTTTATATGTTAAGAGGGTGTTCAGCAAAGACCCCCCCCCCATCTTTTTTTGTCATAAAAGTGAGTATAAGAAGGTAGGGCAGAGTAGAAAAGAGTAAGATAGGGTAGAGTAGGGTAGGGTAAAGTAGGGTAGGATAAGGTAGGGTAGGGTAGATTAGGATACGGTAGGGTAGAGTAGGGTAGGATACGGTAGAGTAGGGTAAAGTAGGGTAGGGTAAACAAGGGTAAAGTAAGTAAAAGTAAGGTAACGTAATATACGCCGACCTAGAACTAGATTAAAGTTAAGTTAGAACTAGACTAGGCTACTCCAGGACCAGGATATATCTAGGATACGATTAGACTAATCTAAGGTTAGAATAAGAGTAAGTTCAAGGTAAAACAAAGGTAGGATAGGGTAAGGTAGAGCAAGTAAATAAGTATCGTAGAACAAGTAGCCCTATCCTTAGCCTACCCCCATCCTTAGCATAACTTTATCCACCCTTACCTTACTCTTAACCTACCCTAGCCTATCATAAGTTTACTCAAACTTTGCCCTTCCAGCGGCACCCTTACGTCTCTCCACGCCTTGTAAAAACCCTACCTCACTGAACCGTTCTCTGAACTAATCAATATATCAACACGATCAATCTGCAAAAACATAAAACTACGTCAAACATCACCTCTCTCTACAGTAATATAATACAAGTACAAGCACACAATGAGTCAATCCATATTTTTAACAAATTCAAATGCTTTTTTAACTTTGGTAAAAGTTCAAACAAACATAGGGTTGCAAGTGCGTAGGTCGTTAATTCGAATACAATAGCATATTTGACGTCTTATGACGGTTTTTGAGCCGAACGCTTCTGATCAAGTTACAGTGTCATAAAAGTAATGTGGTAGTTCCTCAAATCATGAATGAGGTGTGACAGAAAAGCGATTCTTATTTAAGATGTCATATGAAAGTGTTTTTTCATCATACGAAAATAAGTTTACAAGATATGGTAGTAAGAATAAGGCAAGAGTAAAGCAGAGGTAGAGCAAGAATAAGTCAAAAGTAGAGAAAAGGTAAGGTATGAGTAGGTCATAAGTAAGGGAAGAGGATAGAAGGGTTAGAACAAGAGTAAAGCGAGAGTAAAGCAAAAGTAGGGAAAGGATAGGACAAGGGCAAAGGTACGGCAATGATAGAACAAGAGCAAGAAAAAGATAAGAGAAGAATAGGACAGGCAAATCAATAGTAAGACAAGGATAGAGCAAGAGTAAGGCAATGATAAAACAAGAATAGAGCGGGTAAGATAAAGGTAAGACAAGAGTAGGACAAAAGTAGGGCAAAGGTAGAGCAAGGGTAAAGCAAGAGTAAAGCAATGGTAGGGCAAGGGTAAGGCAATTGTTGAGGAAAAGTAAAGAAAAGGTCGGGCAGGGGTAAAAGAAAAGGTAAAGCAGAGCAAAAGTAAAGCAAGAGTAGAGCCTGGTAGGGCAATAGAAGAGTAAAAGCTAAGGTAAAGTAATAAGAAAGTGAGCCAAGAGTACGGCAAAGTTTGAGTAAGAGCACATCAAAGCAACAGTAAAGTATTGGTAGGAGTAAGATGAGATAGAGTTGACTAATTTCTGAGCTTTAATAGGCAATAAAATGTAAAAAACATAGCAAATCTCTATAATGACGTGATAAAAAAGTAAGTATAATACCTCAAAAACGGTAAATTTTATAACACCAAACCTTACAAACCGTACTTTCCGAACAGACATTGAAAAACACTACGATCACTTATCTACCTGCTATTGAGCAAAAAGTTAGATCTAATCTCGACTTTAGTTGACGCAAATAAAAGAAGCTACGTAAACTTCACAGTTGTTTTTTACCTCAGGTTTGTACTCTACCCGACCCTACAATGCCCTACCCTACTCAGCCATACCTTACCCTACACTAGTATACCCCACCTCACCCTATCCTGCCTTCCCCTAACATACTTTACTTTACCGTACCTACCTATATCTACCCTACCCTGCCCTACCTTCCCCTATAAAAAGCTCTATATAAATAATATTATAGTACCCTATTTAAAACGTCATTTTCATACTGTAGTCCATTTTAAAAGACCCGCAACAATTTGAAAATTCAATTTTGAAAAGCGCAATAAAAGCGAACAGCAATCATAATATATCTACTCAGTTGGATTCCAGTGTTACTTCTACATGTAGCTGTCTCGCGATAACCTCCCCAAATATGATTGCTCATACATATATTTAGAGCGGGTTAATCCAGTTTGAGCGATCAATAAAGATTACTTGGGTTGTTAATATCCTATGTAGTTTATAGTATATAAATTGAGCTATGACTAGGTTTATAAAAGTAAAGGTCAGCTGGATTTAAGCTGAACTTACAGCTCGAGTAGGCTAAGGCAAGGCTAAGGCAAGGCTAAGGCAAGGCTAAGCTAAGGCAAGGCTAAGCTAAGGCAAGGCTAAGGCAAGGCTAAGGCAAGGCTAAGGCAAGGCTAAGGCAAGGCTAAGGCAAGGCTAAGGCAAGGCTAAGGCAAGGCTAAGGCAAGGCTAAGGCAACGCTAAGGCTAAGGCTAAAACTAAGGCTAAGGATAAAGCTAGAGCAAGGCTTACACTAAATATAGAGCTACAGTATATCCAGCTGAAGATTAAAGTAGAATTGAAGTCTAGTTAAAACATAACTATAATAGGGCTATTTATATACCGATAGATCTATGTAGTTTGCGTGGTAAAACGATTTTGAGGTAATAGGTTAGTGACTCATTCTATTGAGTAGATTAAGGCTGACTCGATTTACAAACATCAACCAGTCTATTGAGTTTTTGAACTTTAAAAATCGTTTAGCCCTTTGTCTACAGAACATAAAATGGCAAAACTTTCTTTACAGAACAAAAAAATTGCAAGAAGTTTCTTTACAAGGCGAGAAATGGCTAGAACTTTCTTTACAAGGCGTAAAAATGGTAAAAACTTTCTTCAAATGCATGAAATTGCAAGAACTTTTTTTAATACAAAGCACAAAAAGACAAGAAATTTCATTAAAAAACGAAAAATGGCAAGAAATTTCTTCACAAAAAAAAACACAAAACGGCAAGAACTTTCTTTACAAATCACAAAATGGCAATAACTTTCTTTACAAAGAATAAACTGTCATTGCAAAACTAGCCGTCCTAAAGTGGCCAAGCCAACAAATAACATTCCTAGCCGCTATACCTTCAAATTTATTGAAACAAGATAAAAATGCCAAAAAAAACTTTAAAAAAGTGGGTAAATGCTACATGATCTATCTAATATAACATTATGTGAACTGAGAGTGTAGCTTTATCAATCATGTTTTAGTGTTCGCCGCGAGAAGCGTTCAAAGAGATCGCCGGCGCGGAGAGTCGGCGCGGTCAGATTATTTTTCTCGACTGAAAAGGGTTATATCATGTTCATATGTTTGTTTAGTGACATTTTAAAGAGTTAAATGTTTAGAAAATGACATTTTTAGTAATTATGTGTTTAGGAATTACCATTTTTAGCATTTATATTGTTATAGACTAGCATTTTTTAACTTTATAAAGTGTAAAAAAGTTTTGTCGTTTTTAACCACAGCTTTGTATGTAAAAAAGCGACAAGACTTTTTTAAACCCATTATACGTTCAGATATAACACTCTCGCTATAATAAACACAAAAAACAAATCATTTTGTGTTGTCCATCACAATATTAGGTTTTATCCTCATTTTTATTAATACTTATACCTAAAAAATTGATCAAACTTTAAAACTGACCGTATTTTACACTGTTCCGTGCCGTTCTCACGCCCAATCGTTCCGTTTTGATTTGGAATTGCAAGTTTTTGACCTGTTTCTCATCATTGCCATATAGAAATACATTGGCTGGTTTCTCGCCATTTCTGTTGATATAATCGACCGCTTCTTGGGCATCTTCTATTAGTACTATTGGTAGGATTGGGCCTATTAACTAAAATATGGAAAATTAGAACAAAGCGGTATTATTGAGGTTGAGAAAACGGTACTATCAGGGCCGAGACTAAGCGAATGAGAAAAATCCATCCAAAATTTTTTTTACCCCGCCCTGCCGAGACAAAATTACCCGCCCAGCACTATCTAAAAGTCCAAAAGTAATGCTAGACTAATAGAATAAAAAGAATAGTAAAATAGTCCAAGACCCACCTCCTCCTTCAACAAAATGTCGCCAACCTCAACCTTGTAGATATAGGGTGCAATATAGTAGTCACTTCTGTTGTCATACCCAATTGATGGACTAGCTAGCAAATCTCCTTCTGTTTTTGTCAAAACGTTTTCAATTTTACTGAAAAATACGATTAATAATGACATTTAAATATAATAATGTAAGGTTTATTAAAAATTAAAATCAATTTTTCCCCACCCCTCCTCTTTGAAATTACCCCGCCCTCTATTTTCTTCTAAAACTTACTCATAAAACTGACGATTTAAAACCCGTTTAAAGGCATTTGAATCTTCCGGATTGCGGCCAAATGATTTTACAATCTCATGATTCAAAAGGTCAGCCAACTTGTGAATGTCATCTTCTTTTGAGCAGATGACATAGTCAATTGACTCTGATAACTAAAATTTTTGTTTTTTCTTTGATTTTTTACCTAAATCCTTTACTTTATAAAGCTTATACATCAAAAAATATTACTATTAAACTGTATAAAAAGTAATGCGCTACCAAACATAATGATTCAATGAAAAACATAGCTCATTACTTTTTATACAACTTAATAACAAGGGCAGAATATGCCTCGCTCTTATTGAATTCAACATATACTTGTTTAGAAATAGGTAAAAGTAACATTATTTTACCATACCAAAGCATTAGCGTTCCACTTATTGCACGCGATCTCCTTGGCCGCTCCTTCAATATCAGCTCCAGGCAATATGAAGGCCAAACTGAAATTAAGCTTGCAGTAGCCTGTACAGTTAAAAGTACGCTTATTTCAGTATATACAGTCAAAAGTAAGTTCACTTCAATATGTACATCCAAAAGTAAGTTAAGTTCGATCTTATACATACCTCCGACCCAACAACTCCAAGGTAACTGGTGTAAAGTGTTGAGCAGCAGCACTCAAGACAAACTTGGCCACTCTGTGTGGCCCAACAAAGAAAATATGGTCCCAAGATTCATTTAGCAACTCTTTAGCCGTCCATTGATCGCCTGGAATTACTGCCAACTGGTCCTGAAATCAAATATTTAAATTTTAAAAGTTCAAAAATAAAAAAAATTTACAAAAATCATAAAAATTTTAACCCACCTCCAAAAAAGCCTCATCAAACGTATCAGTAAGAGCTCTGGCAGTCCTTGGAGCCAATTCCGAAGGCTTGATAACCACAACATTCCCTGCGGCCAAAGCCGCCATTGCTGGTACAAAACAAGCTGTGATAGGAAAAGTGAATGTTCCTAGGATCAGTACAGAGCCTGCTGGCCTGTCATACACTTTGCTTGAAGTTTTCTAAAATTTTTGACATTAAAAATAGACATTACTACAAAAAATTCTAAATTTTCTCTCAAAAATCGAAGAAAATTGATGTTATCCTCAAGTTTTTACTCTAAAACAAGACCGAGTTAACCATAACTTATTCAAATTTCAAATAAAATTAAAGAACATACTTTAATCTCGTTCAACTTCTCAAAAATATACTGGAATTCATCCTCAACCTCTTTGAAATGAGTATTCTTGAGTATGTCCACCGAACATTTCAAATCTCCTGACAATGCATTGGAAAAGTCCTCAATATTGGTCTCAAACAGACACTTGAGCTTATTCAGCAACGACAATCTATAGTCAACATCAAAAGTCTTCCCTGACATGAAGAACAACTTCTGGGATTCAATCAGCTACAAGAAATCAAAGGTTTTAGGTAACAAAGCCAAAATACTTGACGGATGGCACAAAATAACTTGTATCATAATCTCAAGAATAGACTATAAAATAAAATATTGTCAGGACGTTGACATTGAGTTAAAGAACGTTTTGAGAAAATTTGGTCCAATTCCATGACCTAGCCCAAAAGTTATGACCAAAACCCCAAACAAAACCGTATGTTCAAATTGATGGTCTTAAAACAACATGGTACCCCGCATAAATCATTTAAAACAGAAAACAACAGTATATATCACAAACTTTATCAAATTTAACAACTTTTCCACCTTACCTTATGTGTTTCCTCTTGACGAATCTCGGATTTTGTAGGCCTGGAAGTGATAACCATTTTGATAACAGTATTTTATCATTGAAAGCTGATTTTCAAAGGTTTAATAGTAAAACTGAGACAGTTTAATAAGTCAAAGCAGCTTTATAAACTTAGAAACAAATTTCGATCAAAAAGATCAAAGATCCGTAAACAAAATCTTGTCGGATGACGAAATTTCTGGACGAAAAACAAATAAATCCGAAAAATAAATAACTGGTAAACAAAACGTTTCTTTTTATCTATAACAACAAAGAATAGAGGCAAAACAAGCTTACTCGTGTTCAGAATCACTGCAGCTGACAACATCGTCTTCTAGGATGCTTTGAATCAAGCCCATCTTGTTTTAGACACCACAAATCGCCGAATTTCTTCAGAACTATGTTATACAGGTTGTTTTCCTTCTTTTATTGTTATTTCTTATGAGTTTAGGGAATATTGTCTTCCAAACTAATAATGAAGGCAGTTATGATGTAGTAGATTGCTTTTCCATCAAATAGCTCGATTTTCAGCTGACAATTCGTCAGGAAAAAGCTGTTACAATAATATTATAGGTATCAGAACGTATGTTATGGTTGAGCGCTCGAAAGACGAATTTATGATTGAACTTTTCGATATAATTCCGGAAATTTTGGTGGGAAAACTTTTTATTTATCAAACAGTTGAAGGAATATTTTTGCGTTCGAAATTTCAGCCCGTTAGAGTGCGACGACCTTGATAAAGAAATATTATCCATGATGGCGAAAGTTGAGCGATAATTAGGCTTTTTATCGTTTGTACTGTGATGTCAATGGATTAATATTATAGTGAGAAATTATTTTGTATTTTTAAGTTTTCCAATAGCTAAAAGGGCGAATCTTTTGAGCTGTGATGTTGTTATAGATAACCTCTGAGGTTATCCTTCAAAATAACTTATACTACTTTAGTTAAAGAGTAAGAACATCCGAAATAAGTTAAAGCAACTTTATTAACAACTATTTTATAATAATTAATGGCTTATTTTACTTGTATTTTACTTTCGAACCACGTATAGACAAAAAAAGGAACTTAAGTTCCACAACATTACCAGTATAGTAATATAGGTCTTAACAAAAACAATAACTATTAAAACGACAAAATGTAACAATACAAAGCTAATTCTAACAGGATAAACATCGGAGTACATTAATAAAACGCTTTCCTACCATAATATGCTACTTATTGTCATATTGTAGTAAGTTATAGTAGGTTAGCGCTGTATCTGAAGCCAAATTTTGGCTCGAATTAGTACTAATTAGTCCAAAAAATAGTAGTCGACTTATATTGTAGTACAATATAAAATTGTAATAAACATAAATAACAATAAAAACATAAGTTCATAACACAATAATTGGGATGTGAATAGAAATCAAGTGTAATATCAAGATTCGTAGTATTATAAGATCAGTATTTGATAAGAAAAACAACGATAATCATAAATATAGCCATACCTAATAGTAGCAATGGGAAAAGTACCATAATTGGGTTGAGTAATTGTAAAAAAGTACCATACTTGATAGGAAAATTGTCCAAAAAGTACCAAAATTGGTTGAAGAGTACCATATTGATTAAACATTTGGTTCCAAAAGTAAATTCAGGATAGGTGTTTTGAAGTTTTTAAGGATTCAGTAGCGTTGAAGCTTCAGAAGCTCATCGTAACACCTTTAGAATTCTCAAACTCCTCTACGACAATGATTCCAATGGTCCACTTGAATTACAGTGCCGTCGGCACGGTAAATTGAACCATTTGCACATAATCCTCGGCATCGTGAAGCTTCGCCCTAGAATCTCGCTGAATCGCGACGATGAAGCCTTGCTCTGCTCCGACTGAACACTATCAGCAATACTATCAGCACTAGCATGCAGATCAGCCTTGTGTTGTTGAAACAGTCGTTGTGCCACTTTCAATGCTCCACCGATCAGGTATCGCACGAAATGGTCTCCAATCACAGAGCCAATGGCAAACAGTGTAGAATCCTCTTCAGCTTCGTACTCCACCTGGAAGTTGTACTTGTCTTCCAACATCGTGAGCTCGGTCCTTAGCCCAACACATATGACCATGCACTGATAGTCGAGTAGCTGGCTTTTGCCACCTTTTCTTTGGATCTCAACCGTTGCTTCGGGGAACACCCTCTCTACGGTGGAGCTGCTCATCTTGGTATATAAAGGATGTTGGATTCGGCCTAACATAAGGCCAAACACTTCGGAATACTCTGGGTATACTGTAGATGACAGCCTCGAAATCATGGTGGTTTTGAGCTCACGTTCGGAACGTTTGAACACGTGAACGACGGGGATACTGTCCTTGAGACAGCTCATAATGGAGTCGGCGGCCGAAATCCCATCTCCGACCACTAGTACTGGTCGAGACTTTAGGCCGATTGGGGTGTCTTTGACATTTTCTGAGATTTCGTGCAACACTTGACGCATTTCTTTGGCTGTGTAGACTAGATTCATGGCGTTGTTCTCGCCGGGGACCTGGAAGAATATTGTTTTAGAGGGGTTTTTGTGGGAAAAGGCTATAAATACAGAAAAACTGAAGCTTCTAGCCTAAAAAATGAGTTTTACTGTAATTTTCAGCCTTTTTACAGTTGTTACAGTACTTTAATATAGAAAATATATAATTTTGTTTACTATACTAACTATAAAAAGCCATCATCTCACCTCCAACTGCCTATAATGACTTCTTCCACAAGCCAAGACCAATCTCTTAGCAGTGATCGAGAACTGATTCCCATCTCGAGCGTGTCCACTGACCCTCCAGTACTCTTTTTGATCGTAATCCGAGCAGAACTTGGTCACATTGGTTACTGTAGTGTATTGGGCAAAGTTATCCTCCAGGCCCATCTTTTTGGTGTAGGCTTTGAAGTATTCGCGGATTAGGCCCGCAGGCAATCGGGCAATCAAACTTTGGCCGCCGAGGAAGTTGGCTAACGAGTAGCCGGGCAGATCCATCCAGGTGCACAGGGATACGGTGGCCATCTGAAAAAGGGTACTGTATTGGAGTTGGCAGGGCTTTTTGAGGGTAAGGGAGGGTGATCTAAGGTGAGGGTACGGTAGGGTAAGGTAGGGTAGGGTAGGGTAGGGTGGGGTAGGGGAGGATACGGTAATGTACGATAGAGCTACGTGTAACCAAGATTTTCAGTAGTAACTACTTACATTATCATCATATCTATTCCAACTTCCACCAATAGGACCATCCCCCAAAACCACGTGTGGTACCCTTCTAGTAGGACAAAACTCATAGTCCAAGCACGCCCCCATCTTATTCGATTCCGAGCCTTCTGGCCTCATCAACCTATCCATCAGATCAGAGTACATGCCTACTGATGCACTAGCATGTTGTTCATACTCTGGTTGATACCAATCGAGATCCTGGTCGATAATGGGTAGTTGGGCATTCTCTGCCAGGTTCTCGTGAATGAATTGGTTTGGGTGGGGACGGTCCAGGGAGTAGTAGGGTAGCCAGCCTGAGAGGAAGGCTGAGAGGGAGATGCCGGCTGGACCGTTTCCTGAAAATTGAGGTTTTTAGGTATAAAAACGGTTGAAAAAAGTTTTTCAATTAATTCTGTGCCCCTTTTCAAAATATTTTTTTGTGTTATTTGAAAAACCTACTATGTATTATTCCATATCAAAACCTTAACTTACCAATAACAATGACTTCAGTGTCAACCTCGAACATTCTCCAAAGATTTCAAAAATAAATTATCAACGATAAGTTACAATACCAAACTGACTGTCAGTTCCAAAAATGAGGATATGTCGAATTCAAAATATTTTTAGAAATTTAGTCGCAGCGACAACAACAACAACAGTCTCCGGGAACTTCGGCACAGATGTTGGTGGAGGAGAGGGGTACTGTAACTTGTTGTTCAGTGGAAATCATTTGAAAGTTACAGTAGGATAATACTCTTAGGTTGAAGGAGTATTACTTTTTGGTGTGGTGAAGGTAATTTTGGAATGTTTTGGGGTAGATTCCAAAGTTTTGGCGTTACAATTCTACTGTTGGGTAGAGTTGGGGTACTGTAAGTTGTAAGTGCGGGGTTACTGTAACTTATAAATACGAAGTTACTGTAACTTTTTTACTGGTTTTAGTTAAACTTGTTGGTAGGGGTTACTGTAACGTTTTGGCAGGCCTAGCTTACAGTAACTTATAGGTAGATTACTGTAACTGAAAAGTTAAGTAGAAGTTGTAGTTGAATGTATTCTTGGTAGAATGGCTGTTAAGTAGATTGTAGTCGAATGTAAATGTACTGGAACGCTAGAAAAATGTCGTTTTTACATTTATATCTTGTGATATATAAAAAGTAAATCGCGTGACACGGTAAAAACAAACTGTAGTTTAACAAAATTACATGGTAAAATACGAAAAAAATTGTTTTGTATTTAAATTTGGGATTTTAAGGTAATATTTGGGAAAAAAATCAGTAAAAATATATAAAAATGAAAGAGTTATAAAAGTTTTGTCGTCAGTTTACTATGTTTTGCACGGGGAAAAACGACAAAACTTTCATAAATCTTCGATATTGGGTTAAAATTAAAATTTTTGAAAATTAATTGATACCTAAAATCACATCTTATTCAAGAAAGACGTTAAGAGGGTTATACCATGATCAGTAAGGTCCAAAAAGAAATAACAAAAATAAAAAATCCCAAAAATTAAATTTTTTTTTAATTTTGAAAAGTTGAAAAATGATGTAAAAAATCATCAAACTTTAATAAAAATGCCAATATTATCAAATTTCATAAACCTAGAGGCCGGCTATTTCTAGTGGAAGGTAATAAAGCCAATACCTCATTTACAATATTGCTCATAAGACATGAACCCCTCTCAATCCCCACTTAAAACTGCCAAGATTTAAATTTTAATCTGCGAACACTCAAACCTATTTTAAATATGTTTAAAAATGAAGCCGAAACAAAAATAATCCGCCTAACTGAACACAAAGTAAAGTCTATTCTGTGCTTTAAAACAGCATCTGTTTCGTACTACAAACTACCGCCTCAGGCCTTTGTCATCACGGTTTGTATTCTTTGAAGTGTTACATAACAGCAGGGTAAACGTATAGGTAATAATAGAAGGTAAAAAAGATAGTGGTGTTACTGTAAAATGAACATAATGAGCATGAGGTAGTGGCAGGTAGAATAAGGTAAGTAGGTCTTGTTAGTAGGGCTAGTGTAAGGGTTAGTTATGGCTATGAGTAGGGTTGTGCGAGACAGAAAGGAGTAGGGTAATATCGGGTATGGCAATGTAGGATATGATGTGACTAGGGTCGGGTATGGTAATAAAGATATAATACATGAAAATACTGTAGTAAGAGGTACGGTAAAATATTGTAGGGCACAGGTCAGTGTAAGGTAAGGCAAGGCAGTGCGAGACAATAAGGAGTAGAGAAAGTAAAATTCACACCTAATGACATTACTATGAGATAGTTCAACCAAATTACTGCTAATATGTGTTATTGTTATACCATGGGAATAAAACCTAGACCAAGTTAATTGCTATTGTCTGGGGTTATGTGACGCATAAAGGTGGCAGTTTTGATGATTACTGTATAGAATGTTCTTATAAAAATGAGAATTTAGAGCTAAACATTATGAAAATTTAAAAAAATTTAAAATTTAAAGAATCAGACCCCAAAAGCCAAAGTTAGAGCTGTCTTTTGATAGACTTTGTTACAATAAAGAGCTGAAACATTGAGAAAAACGTGGATTTTTCAAAGAAAATCTTTTAAAATCAAAGAAAATCAACAATCATGTGCTATTTTACATAAAATCATACTATAACAAGATATATAATCACATAAAATACTAAAATATGTAAGATACAATGTAAGTCCTGTATAACGAACAAATATTAAATCCTTGAGCTATTTTTTATAAATGATTACCCGTGTATAGAAAAAGTTAATCACCAATATCTAATTTAGTCATCAATGTCCAAGTTAATCACCCAGCTTCAAAACAATCTCAAGAATTTGCAAAAAACCCCAAAAAGGTCATGGTGTCTGGGATAGTTAACGCGGCCGAACAAACGAGAAAAACAGGCCCAAAACAAGGCCAAGACGATACATAACATAAACATCATAAATGCTGTTCTTTGCCACCAAAACAAGACCATATTTTTTGACGTTAATCTACCGTATAATGTCACGGTAAAGAAGGAAAACTTAGTAGAAGTACAAGTGTAAATTGAAATACGGTGGGACTAAGGGTAGACTTTTCATTTAGTTACAACAGCGCTGGTAATGTAATGCTAGAAAAACTGCAGAAGAGATTGAACAGAGAAGTGCTTGATTAAAAACCTAGAAATGGAGTTGAAGGTAGAGTATGGGATGGCCTAATACTCGGGTTAAGGCCCAGGACGAAGTTTGTCTAAAGCTTGGTTTTAGACTAGGTTGAGTCTGGGGCTGATGATAGTAAGAGGGCTAGGGCTCTGAGATAGGGGTCTAGGCTAGGGCTCTGGGCTAGGGCTCTGGACAAAATTTAGGACTAGACAAAACTACAGTACAGTCAGCTAAGCCTACTCTAGTTTTCCAACATTGAAAAGTAACCTATAAAAAAGGTTGACTACAGCTAAAAGTTCAAAAATCTACATAAAGCCACATGTAGACTACTGCTCTTCTCTTTCTTTGAAACAACAAAATATTCACCGTGACGTTATCTCGGAACAACATTTCCTATGCATTAAACGTTCGCGAAGAACGGAACGTTGAGATTGAAAGGAAAGTGTTTGAAAAACAAGATACTTAACACTAAAAATATACTTAATTGTCGGATTACAATCGCCCGTTTTTATGTGGCCAATGTATTTGGCCAAGGATTAGAGGAAGGGGCAAGGGTTGGGACAAGAGAAGGGGCAAGGGAAGGAATGGCAGTGGGGTAGGGCAACAATGAAAAGCAGATTTGACGTCAAAGCTGAGGCGGTTTAGGAAGAAACTGAGCTGTAATGATACAACAGATGCCTAGGCTACTTACAATACCTGATCTTTTTAGTCTTGGTCAAAAAGTAAATAGAAAACTAGCCAAAAACAAAAAATCGACGAAAAAAGACCCAGACTGAAGTAGTTATAATTAAGAAAAGCAATGTAACAATACCTCTAAATTAATATTTTAGCCAAAACCAAAGACCTTATTGTAGACAAAAACAACCCTAATATATGTCATACAATAACAATTTAGAAAAGGGCATCTAAATCGTTTTTAAGGCAAAGGGCGCATTAACGAGTTGTTTTGTAGGATGGATACAACAAGGAAGTTGGGGCTTCAGAAGTCAATTCAAATTCAATTTTTTTTACAAAAATAAGAATTCCGCATCAGCAAAATGATGAACTGTTAGCATTAGCTCTAGCCTTAGGCTTACAAGTATGAGCCGTTAACACCTGCTTCAAGATTAGAACTAGGTAAGAGAATAAGAATAGGTATGTGGCTGAAGTGTAGGCTAGGTATTGAGCTAGGAATTGGGCTAGAGACCGGACTAGTGATTGGGCTTGCGCTCAGACGGTGGCTGAGACTAGGGTTGGGGGTTAATGTAAGCCTGGGGTCACACATTTGCTAGGAATTGGGCTGAGGTTTGGGCAAGGATTGGCCTGAAGCTTTGGCTCAGGCTGGGCTTGAACTTACAATGTTAGACTAGGGCATAGGCTTTGGATTGGGTTGAAGCTTGGTCTCGATGACACTGAAGCTGGGTTGTTTGAGCCGTGCTCGCCATTGAACTAAGGCTCGGGCTGGAGCCAGGGCTTAGCTTTAACTTTATATCAAGTCTTAGTTCTATTTCAAGCTATAGTCTTAGGTCTAGCTCTAGTCTTAGCCTTAGATCTAGTTTTGGCCCTAGCCTTAACGCTATTCTAAGTTTAGCCTTAGTTCTACCCCTAGCCTTACTTTTAGGTCAATATCAGTTCTAAACATAAATTGGACCAAGAACAGAAGCCCATGCCCAAGCCCACACTATATCCTAAGCTTGCCCCAAGCCTTAACCTTAGTTCTAGCTCTAGCCTTGTTTTAGGCCAATCCTTAACCCTAGCTCTAAACATAACTTTCCCTAAAACCAACCATTGCCTTATACCTTACCTTAAGCTGTGCCACATTTACCGTAAACCCCCCCCCCCCTTTACCCCACCTACCAATTCCAACTTATGCTACAGATTTCCAACCCCACCAAAACAAACTTCAATTCTAATTTTCGCTCACTTTGGTCCAAGAACAAATTTCCAAATCAGCGAAATCATTTCGAATAGATTAATCAGCTATTAAGACCTTTAAGTAACAATCGGAATAAATATATTTACCACGCCGAAAAAACGAAGAAAATAAACTCGCAAAGTGCCAAAGATCTCTTTTGACGAAAAATTTCGAAAGGCCAAAAAACGAAATGGCCACAAACAAGCTTTCAAGCACGAAAATTGAAGAGAAAGAGAAATAGTGGGGGTTGGGGAGAGACGACAGACATTTTTTGGGATTGAAGAGAAGGGGAGGGAAGATAGGGGTGGGATGGGTTAAAACTTAGCAAAATTAAAAAATTTTTTTTAGAGTTGGATTTTGGTCGAAAATTGACTGCAATAACTTTATTTCCAATTTTCTATTTAAAAAATAAAATTGTAAAATTTAATTTCAAAAAATTTTAAATTTAAAAAAAAACAAAAAAAATTTTTGAAATAACATTTTCAATTATTATATCCTTAT